TCAATTTATTTACACCAGTGTTTCTCTTTGTGACATAAAACAAACTGATTGAAACATGAAATCAAACCTTTGAAAACAAACTGGACAGAGATTTGGCTCATGAAGCGGCTGGGGCTCCATGAATACTTTACACCATCAGAAGGATGGTGTAAAGTTTCTTCAAGGAAAATCTCAAGGTCAGCAGAGCGGCAGCAGCCAGACAGCTGCAGGCGTCTGCATAGTTCTGAACTTTAACCATAGAAAACAGTTTTATGCATAAAGCAATTTATTTTATGAAAATTTTATAATTTACCTTCTTTAAAAAGTCTAAATACTAACAAATGTCATTACTTCACTGTAAAAACAATAAATGAAATAATTTCTTTGGCAGCGCTCCCTGATGATGATGGCTATTTTTAAAACTTGTTCCACGTTGGTGACTCCTGGTCCAGACGAACAAGTGGGCAGTTCATTTAAAAAATAAAATTCAGTAAATTTACACTTTGGTCAAATAATCTGTCTTGATAATAATTGATCTTCTTCTTACTGTATTATATTACTGTATCTAGAATTTATAAGCTTGATGTCCTTTAATAATCTGTAGTTATTGAGAGGCTTTAAACAGACAACTATTAAATATTAAATGTATTTACACCAGTTTTTCTCTTTGTGACATAAAACAAACTGATTGAAACATAAAATCAAACCTTTGAAAACAAACTGGACAGAGATTTGGGTCATGAAGTTGCTGGGGCTCCATGAATAAGTTGAACCATTGTAATGAGTCAAAGTGATTGACCATCTGGGAAAATCCTCCATCATCAGCTGAACTGCATATGAACCTTCATTACTGCTGTTAGTTGGACTGAATGATAGAGAACAAGCCTGCAGGAGGACAGAGAGAGAAATATTAACAATGTTATATTTAATAGATTTATGTTGTTTTTGTTCATACAATATTTGTTATTGAAAAAGTTTCAGAGTAATGTTTCATCATTAGTGATTTATAGTCAAATAATCAATAAATTCAGTTTAATTACCTTTGATCATTTTCTAAACTGACACCAACATTTATTACTCACTGATGAGAGACTGAGGACAGACGGTGCTGTGCAAATGTAACACTCATAGTCAGTGGGATTAGATCCATATCTGCATTTAACATTATCTCCATCAGGGTCAAAGGTCAACAAGTTGATATTCCTCTGACAGTTTGAGGGAACTCTGAGAGAAACAGAAAACATCACAAAGTCACCTGACAACAAACAATCTGCTCAAATTATCTTATTCACATGATGAATCTTTAATGTATTGACTGATTTGTATTGCAGTGTTTTTATTCATTATGTTTTAGTTTATTTTGTTTCTCTTTGGTCTCTTTTAAAAATAAAATCTATTCACAACATTTGGATATTATTTGGAAACTATTTCTAATTATTAAAGCTCTATGGTTTTGTCAGGTGTCCTGTGTGAGAGCATGTGTATGTGAGTGCGAGTGTCACATCTCATTTCAGCGAGGATCTTTGTGAGGAGCCCGTGGAGTTGGTGTAGGTGGAGCTTATCTGCCTCATCAGCGTGCTGAGGAATACAGGAGCGGCAGAATCTTCAGTCATCGCTCGGTGGTTAACGTACACCGCTAGTCACTCTGGCATCTCCTGTTGTGAACAGTTTCTTGAACGTTTCTGAGTTTACTTGAAGTCATCTGGTCTCTGTGTTTGTTCGATTCTAGGTTTTTGTCTCCTCATTTGAGAACTCACCAGTGAATACCAGCCCTGCTCGCTCCACCGTTTCCATCGCCTCCACTTCGCTCCTTCAGCTCTCCTCCAATGCCTCCTCGCACTCACCTTCGAAAACGCTGCACACCCTCACTCAGGACCCTGGCATCTCACTCCCACGCCTCAAAAGACCCGCACCGAAGTAAGCCTGTTCCTGTTTCCCCTCCGACCACTCATTCCAAGCCCACCATAATTCAGTTCTCGTTTCAGGCCAACCTGGTCGAGTAACCCTCGTCCTCTCGCTGAAGCCCGGAAGATAGATTAACTTTTGTCCTGCTGTAAATAAATCACTCACTAATGGGCTCTTTGCACCTGTGCTTCCGCGTTCGGGGAAAACGGCTCAATTGTTTTCGATCTATTGATAACGGTACTTTATACTGAGTATCTGCAGGGCTTTTCCACAGTGGCGGAGCCAGAGGGGTGGCCGGTTTGCCACTTGCCACCCCCAACATAGCCCTTGCCACCCCTACTGCCACCCCACTGGAAATGGTAATTTTAAAATATAATACTTATGATCGGCAAAGATTTGCCAGGAAAACTGTAATTTCCGACTGTCCCTGAAGGCAGCCCGATGCCCGACGCTGTTCATTGGTTAAAACTGACATGTGGTTCCTGCTTGTTCAAAAACACATCAACGGCTTTAGAGAACACCGTCCAGGAGTTTTGCAGGTATTTACAGCATTTTACCGCTCAGCGGTAACCGCTGTTACCTTCCTAATGAGAGGCGGCTCTTGTCATACATTTCTAAAAAGAAAAAAATGGTTGTGCACCGCTGCATAGTGCCTCGTTTATTATATTAGCCATGCTAGTGCTGGTAGATCGTGTTTTAGACAGATTCTTTTAACATATGTTTTAGTGCACATGCTGCCCTGTAATGTTTTATATCTCCCAGCTCTTGCTTGAAATGTGTGGTAAGAATATGTGAAAAACTATTAAGTTTTATAATGACTGAAATGTAAGTAGGCTATGTCATATGAAAGCTTTCAATTATAACCTCACTAGTTATATTAATTTAATTAATCTATTTTTAATTTAGTATTTTAGCTAGCTACAGAAAACTAAAAACTATACTTTAAATAATAGTTAAAATAGTGTTGTCTCTGCCAAACAGTCATGGAGTCTAAATACCAGGCTCTTATTTTATGTAGAGCCCAAATGAAGAGAAAATGGAAGATCACCCAGTTCTTCTTAAAGAGGCAAAAACCAGGGCCAGACCAGACAGAACCCTGCAGCAGGGACCAGGACCAGTCAGAACCCTGTAGCAGTGACCAGGACCAGACAGAACCCTGTAGCAGTGACCAGGACCATACAGAACCCTGTAGCAGTGACCAGGACCATACAGAACCCTGTAGCAGTGACCAGGACCAGACAGAACCCTGCAGCAGTGACCAGGACCAGACAGAACCCTGCAGCAGTGACCAGGACCAGACAGAACCCTGCAGCAGTGACCAGGACCAGTCAGAACCCTGTAGCAGTGACCAGGACCAGACAGAACCCTGCAGCAGTGACCAGGACCAGACAGAACCCTGCAGCAGTGACCAGGACCAGACAGAACCCTGCAGCAATGACCAGGACCAGACAGAACCCTGCAGCAGTGACCAGGACCAGATAGAACCCTGCAGCAGTGACCAGGACCAGACAGAACCCTGCAGCAGTGACCAGGACCATACAGAACCCTGCAGCAGTGACCAGGACCAGACAGAACCCTGCAGCAGTGACCAACCTGGAGAATCCAGCCAGGAGACTCCAGGCCCAAGTGTATCACCAGCGGGTTAGAGGCTGTGACAGAGTTATTAAGTATTAAAATAAAATAAGGCTAATTCTAAAGGTTAGCATGATGCTTTTTGCATTTTTTATTGTGTCTGTTTATGCATTTCCAATTAAGTTCCAGAGAGAGATGAGGGTGATATAGATTCAGAGTCAGACTCTGGGGAGGAAGACAGTGAAGCAGAAGGAAATGGCACTGAACTGCCCCCACCCAGCACAAGCTATTGCACACCAGAAGCACCAGTTTATTTATTTATTTTTTTTTTGAGAATTTGTTTTTGGTCATATTCTGGGCTCTGAGTTTACATGTTCACTGTTCCATAGAGCCGTTTAACGTCTTGTTTGGTCATGGCAAATCTTTGTTAAATAAACCATTTTAATTTGAGTGTGTGTGAGAAAATATTTGTTTCCTTTTGTTCATCATTTGCATATGGACCCCTCTGATAAAGCCTTGCTCACCCTTTGGCCACCCCTTGAAAAAAAGTCTAGCTCCGCCACTGCTTTTCCAAGGTAACAATTAATAATGTACATCGATCTGAAGCCCCGACAAGTAAGTCGGAGAAAGGTTTTAAGATGTTCGCCTCGTTATACATTCACAGATATGAAGGTGAGTTTTACTTTCTTTCAACTTTGTGGCTAACATTAGCTTTAGCTTATGCTAGTAGGCAATATTCTCGGGACATTTTTCTTGGAAAAAAATCTGCTATTAAAGTATCTAAACATTTCTCAGCCATTCTAACAGACAATGTTTGTACCTTATTTTCAAGTATATTATATGTATTTATTGTTAACGACAATAAACGCGGGCGGGGGGGGCAGATTACAGTTCAGGCTTTTTGCTTCCAGCCTGACGAAGCACAACGAGCCCAGGCTCATTAGGACGGTGTTTACAGCGATGTGTACAGGCGGATCAGTTGCTCGGCTGTCCGGCTCTGCTCCCTCGTTCCCAATCACTCGCTCTTTCAGGCTGAATACAGAAGCGATTTAATGTTAATAACACAGGACGGCTCCTTTACCTTCGTCTTTAGGCTGAAGAAGCTGATCCAGAGACAAGTGAAGGCTGCAAACTTTGTTGTGCGGCGTTAGCTTTAACTGGTAGCTTTAACTGGTAGCAACGAATATTTACAAGCCGTCTTAATTCAGGATCGCTTGGAAATCGATGAAAACTTAAAGTGCATAGTATTTCATTTGTGTCTTAAGTACGACTATGACTTTTATAGCAGTTATAGTAACTGAATGCGGAAAAAAGAGCCGCATTTCAGCGTGCAGTTGTGACGTCAGCACTGCAGGTGCAAAGAGCCCATTCCAATCCAACGTGTTGTTTCTGTATATGGCTCGGTAAATTGAAACCAATCACGTCAGGTTCGGCTTTACAAGAAAAGAATTAAAAATATTAACAGAATCAAACTATTCTTCATGTTCAGCTAAAGACACTAATTGTTTCAGGTATTTATTTTCATGATGTAAAAACTGAATTACCTGATAAGAGGGATGATGCCGGTCTGTGGTGATGAGTTCGGTCTGTTGATGTCGGATCGTTTTTTCAGCTCATATATGATCCGAAATTTGAAAGTTGAAACACCGTTGCTGTTATTTACCCAGGTTGGAGGAGTCCACCTTCAATAGAAGATATTGGGAAGATTTCTGAAAACTACAGACCAGTAGACCAGAAAACTAACAAGAGATTTAATTCAGGAGGAATTTTAGATTTAGTTACTTCTTAGGAACAACTGAAAAATGTTGGGTATTTCTGTATGATTTTGAGATTCAGTTACCATTCACAGCGATAGTCTAAATTCTGATCAGTGAACTTCCAGGTATGCTCTTTCAGACACCATTCACCGCTGCTTTCATCAATCTTATTAGTAGAACCCAAGTATGAATCACCCTCTGCACATGAGCTGAAGCTCAACTTAATGCGACGAACAAACTGCAGATTTAAGGTGAAAAAGTGTTAAATACAAAACAATTTAAAAATAATTTTAAAAGGTCATAAAAAAACTTCAGAAAATCTGAACTTACTGTAAAACTGCTTCCTTGTACATCTTTAGCTGTGTGTGTAAACACAGTACCAGTATAAGCAGCTTCTGTCCAGCTGACCATCAGCAGCAGCAGCAGCACAGAGAGCAACATGATGAACGACTCAGTTCTACTAAACTAAGATCATCAGAGACAGACGACTTTATACAGTCTCTCCTTATTCTCTCTGTTTATTATTGGAAACATGGGAAAATCTTTTAATAGACTGTATTTACATAATGAACCTGGAAATGTCAAACGCCTGATTCACATCCATCAGAAAAACATTTCCTGGAATGTAAAATTTGTTTTGCAAACTAAAAACTAATTTTTGTTTCATCTCAGTTTTCTAAATCCTGCAGCACTACCAGGTTAATTATTTATCTCTCTTTGTCAGTTTTTGTGTTTCAGTGAATATTTACGATGTTCACAGATCAGAGCTGATCAATACCAGTTCACCACTGGTTCTACCAGATACAGACTTTAATATTTAATAGCTGCAGACCAGCAGTTTATCTCTGCAGTTTACACCAATATTATCTGACATATAATCCATGTTATGATTTTGTTTGCTTGTTTTCACACCAATATCCATCCATCCATTTTCTGAGCACCCTTCTCCCTTTACACCTATATTTCCAGATGAATTTTAAACTTCTACTTAGTTTGGTGGAAAACCCTGTTATACAGTCAATGTTTGACTATGAATCTGAAAATAATCAATATTAAAGGTATTTATGTATTTATTTTGCTCTTCTACCTGCTGACTATATCACGCAATAAATTTAGTCCTTTTTTGTCCAGACATTTCAATGAACATCAAATATTTTAGCTGTCTGGCTGGCAGGTCATCCATCCTCTGAAACTGTGAATTTAAATATCAGGTTTTCAGTGAATCCATGTTTTGAATAAACTCACAGGAAGGTCTTTCATGGACGGATCAGGCAGATTCTAATGAAACCTATTTTTAAAACGTGGGTCTAACAAACAGCTGTAGTGAGCATCATCATTTGTTTGGCTGCTATTTTAAATATGTTTTACCTATTCAGACGGATTAGCTTCTGTTCTCACGGTGATTAAAATAGCCTGAATGATGCAGGTAGAACTGAGCTCTGTGGTTTAGTGTTGGAGGCAGGAATAGGAGGAGCTCTGCAAGATCATGCAACCAGATCTACTGGACAAAACAGAAAAATGTTTAATTAATCAGTCAATACAATTTGCATAGCACATATCAGAAACAAGACAGTTCAAAAAGCTTTGCAGCATAAAAACAAGAAAATATAAAGTTATAGAAAACTCAGAGTTTCAGCTGTTTTATAGTTTTCTGGAAGTTTTTTCCAGATTTGTGCATAGAAGCTGAATGCTGCTTCTCCATATTTGGTTATCCAAACTGCTAAACAATATTAATGAATGCATCAAATGACCACTGAACAGCTATTCATAAAATATATCAACATTTGTGAATAAAACACATGGAAAGTAATGTAATGTAGAAAATATTGATGTATTTAATGTTAATCTATTAGTATGATTTGTTCTTTAACTGGCCACTTATTTTTGCTAATGCTATTATTTTTTAAATATCCAAACTCAACATCCGACACAATAATAATAATCAAACTGAAGTCACAGTAAGAAACTGAATCAATCATAGTAAAATGTTCTGTACCATATCAGAGGACGAAGAGACACTGATTTCTGGTTCTTTAGGTTCTGATGGTCTGCGGTTCCTCAGCTGATCCATTCTGTCTGTTACACAGCGGCGCCATGATGGACACATTTTCTCTTTCAAAGTACACAAAATCCAACTTTACTCAAATTGTTCAGCTTATAATGCGTGACTTTTCACTCACATTTTTTAAAGCATTTTTTCTTCTAAGGACATGGAACCACCTCTCCTTGGACTGCCACCTTATAGTAGCGGAGGGGTTTAGGTGCCCCAATGATCCTAGAAGCTCTGCTGTCTAGGGCTTCATGCCCCTGGTAGGGTCACCCAAGGTGAGGGACCAGACAGAGTGTAGCCCGAAGACCCCAATGATGAAGAAAACCTTTGGATCTCGTGTTCCCTTGCCCGGACGTAGGTCATCGTAGCCAGGCCTGGAGGTGGGGCACATTGGCGAGCGCCTGGTGTCCAGGGTTTTACCCATGGAGCCCAGCTGGGCTCAACCCAAAGAGGAGACATGGGTCCCCCCTCCCATGTGCCCACCACCTAGGGAGGGGCCAAGGGGGTCTGGTGCAACATGGGATGGGTGCCGGCCGACGGAGGGGACCCTGGCAGTCTGATCCTCAGTTGCAGAAGCTGGCTCTTGGGATGTGGAATGTCACCTCTCTGGTGGGGAAGGAGCCGGAGCTGGTGTGTGAGGTTCAGAGGTTCTGGCTAGAAATAATCTGTCTCACCTCGACAAATGGCTCTGGTTCTGAAACCAGTCTCCTTGAGAGGGACTGGACATACTTCCACTCTGGAGTTGCCCACGGTGAGAGGCATGAGGCAGGAGTGGGCATACTTGTTGCTCCCCATCTCAGCACCTGTATGTTGGAGTTTACCCCGGTGAACGAGAGGGTAGCCTCCTTCCACCTACAGGTGGGGGGACGGGTTCTGACTGTTCTTTGTGCTTACGGACCGAACAACAGTTCAGTTTACCTAGCCTTTTTCGAGTCCTTAGAGGGGGTACTGGAGAGTGCCCCTCATGGGGACTCCCTCATTCTGCTGGGGGACTTCAATGCTCATGTTGGCAATGACAGTGGAGGGGTGTGGTTGGGAGGAACGCCCCTCCTGATCTGAGCTCAAATGGTGTTCTGTTGTTGGACTTCTGTGCTCGTCACGGATTGTCCATAACGAACATCATGTTCAGGCATAAGGATGTCCATATGTGCACTTGGCAACAGGACACCGTAGGCCGCAGTTCGATGATCAACTTTATCATCATTTAATCTTCACTGTGGGACCTCTCTTCACTCGGGTGAAGAGTAGTGCGGAGAGGTCCACTGACAACTGCCTGGTGGTGAGTTGGTAATGGTGGTGGGGGATGATTCTGGTCAGATCTGGCAGGCCCAAACGCATTGTGAGGATCTGCTGGGAACATCTGGTGGAATCCCCTGTGAGACAGATCTTTAACTCCCATCTCCGGCAGAGCTTCGAACACGTCCCGGAGAGAATGGGGGACATTGAGTCTGAGTGGACCATGTTCCGTGCTTCCATTGTCGAGGTGGCTTATCAGAACTGTGGCTGCAAGGTTGTCGGTGCCTGTTGCGGCAGCAACCCTCAAACCCGTTGGTGGACACTTTTGGTGAGGGATGCTGTCAGGGTGAAGGAGTCCTGTCAGACCTTTTTGGCCTCTGGGACTCCAGAAGTGGCTGACGGATACCGGCGGGTGAAGCGGGATGTGGCTCCGGTGGTTGCTGAGGAAAAACTCAGGTGTGGGAGGAGGTTGGAGAGGCCATGGAGAAAAACTTGCGAACGGCTTCGAGGCGATTCTGGTCTACCATCCAGCATCAAAGGAGGGGGAAGCCGTGCAGCACCAACATTGTTTATGGTGGGGGTGGTGTGCTGCTGACCTCAACTTGGGATGTTGTGGGCCGGTGGGCAGAATACTTCAAAAACCTCCTCAATCCCACCAACATGCCTTCCATTGAGGAAGCTGAGCCTGGGGATGCTGGGACGAAGTCGCTGAGGTGGTTAAAAAGCTTCTCGGTGGCAGGGCCCCGAGAAGCTTTGGATAAGCTTCTCGGGGCTTATAAGATTCGCCCGGAGTTCCTTAAAGCTCTGGATGTTTTTAGGGTTGTGTTGGTTGACGCGACTCTGTAATATCGCATGGACATTTGGGGCAGTTCCCCTTGATTGGCAGACTGGGGTGGTGGTCCACCTGTTCAAAAAGGGGGACCAGAGGGTGTTCTCCAATTACAAAGGGGTCAGACTCTTAAGTCTCCCTGGCAAGGTCTATTCACGGGTCCTGGAGAGGAGGGTCCATCGGATAGTGAAACCTCGGATTCAGGAAGAGCAATGTGGTTTTCCTCCTGGTTGTGGAACACTGTACCAGATCTACACCCTCAGCAGGATCTTGGAGGGTGCATGGGAGTTTGCCCAACCGGTCCACATGTGTTTTGTGAACTTGGAGAAGGCGTTCGACTGTGTCCCCGGGGAAGATCCAGGACACGCTGGAGGGACTATGTCTCCCGGCTTGCCTGGGAACAACTTGGGGTTCCCTTGGAGGAGCTGGAAGAAGTGGCTGGGGAGAGGGAAGTCTGGGCCTCCCTTCTTAAGCTGCTACCCCGCAACCCGATCCCAGATAAGTGGCAAACAATGGATGGATGGATAAACGCACTAATTCCCTTTTCTCAACAGAATATTTGAACAGAACAAAACATGTTTTACTGTCTTGAAAACTCACATTTTCCTGTTGGATGTTTTCCCACTTTAAATAAAGTTCTATTTAACCCTGAATGACCAAAACATCATCTGTATTTAATGGTTTCCTCCTTCCTATTTCCTCCTGTTCTCCTCTTTACACAACTTTTCTTTGGATTTTGTTTCTACCATCTTTCCTCCACCTTTTGTTAGTTAATTAATTTGATTTCTCCTTTCCTGATTTCTGCAGTTTACCTCAGTGTTTATAATGAGCGCCCTCTAGTGTTGTTGGCTTGCCAGCATTTTCCCTGCCAGCAGGTTAAGTCTCCACCTACTTCTTGCCACATAAGCATTTAGAAATGTTTATATTTAGTTTTTTCCATTTCTATCACTGCTTCCTGCTGTACTTTAGAGGTTATTTTTCTTTTTGTCAGTCTGTTAGCTTCTGGATTATGTTGGTTTTCCTAGTATATATGAGGTCAGACAAACTATTTTCATTTGTTGTTGTGTTTGTATTTCCTGTGTCTCGTTTTCGGGTCACTTCCCAGCATATAATCATTCCATGTCACTGTGTCAGCTGTGAAACAAAGATGCTCAGCCTTCAGTGAAATCAGTCAGATCCATTTTTCTGCATCCTGGGACGATTACAGCCAATTGATATGCGAGGGCTTGAGTCCAGTATGGTGTATCTGGTGAGGCAAACAGCAGCAAATTGGGTTGCTTTCCAGGTGAAAGACCGTGGGAGCTGACAGAGATTAAACCTATTTAATTAAATACATATCAAAATGTGTACTTAGTACTTTTACTGGAATAACACAGTACAACCTGTACTTTTAATAGAATATTTTTTCATACTAGTATCTGTATGTCTAGTTCAATAGAAAAAGTGAGAACTTTTAACACCTCTGTCTCAAATGTATGGACAAGCCAAACAACTTCTGGTTAATTTAGCTCCAAATGAAATATTTATCTGTGAGACAATTAAAGATTTATTCAGGAATATTTAGTTGGCAAACTAAATAATTAGATTCCAAACTATTACCCAAATGGAAGCTAACTACTACCTAACTTTCAAATATTTTACATTTTCAATTCAAATTTACGTAATTTTTAAGCTTCAAATTAGTTAAATTTATTTTTAAATTTTAAATTTAGCTTTGAATTTTCAAGCTAATCAAAATTCAAAATAGTAAATTTGATAGCTAAATAAAGCTGGTGAATTATCTGGTGAATTAAATCTTTAGTTTGGAAATCTTACCTTTGTAAATTTGTGACAGGCATCATGGGCCAAATTAAATCAAATATTTGCTATTTTTTAGTGTATAAGTTTACAAATGGCAGCTCTAGCATACAATAAAGAGGGGTTTGATAAAACATTTGAACACAAATGTTACTTTAAAAGTTTTACTAATGTGGCCTTATTGTCTAGAAGGCGACAAAAGAGTTATGATTAAGACTGTATAAGCTCTTTTTCACTGAGGAACTTTAAAGGTATTTGCTGTTTTAAACTGACATTTATAATTACTGTGACTGTGTATAAAATAGAAATTGCTCATTTATTCAAAGGGAAGCTAAAAGTCTCCCACTTTGTCCACTAGCGGACGCCTTAAATAAACTCTTAGTCGTTTCCTCAAACAGGCTGAGGAGGATCTTTGGTTCAAAGTTGTCAGGGCCGCTCGGACGACTGCGTGTTTGGAGCTGACTTTGGGTGTGAGCCGTTCAGCTGGGAGCTTGGAGTCAGAGGCAGATTACTGGACAGCCTGCCTGCCAGAACCTACTGAGTGGTTCTGGGCTGAATGTCTGAACAATGAGAGCAAAGTGGAACTGTGGTCAATTTCCTTGTTTTAATGCCCAAACTTCATCAACAATGCAGATTCAGATGTTTAAAAATTACATAACAGAAGTGAGGTCTTTTTGGCCGTGGGAAAAATTTTATTTAGCTATTTTACTCAACTATAGCCACCGTTTTTCTTTAACAATAAAATATTTGAAGTGTTTGTGCTCTACCTTGGGTTAGTTTTTTCTAAAGAATAAGTGGAAACAATTTTTAACTATATAATTAATAACTTGCTATTTTCTTTTTTTGGTGTCACCACCAAAATAACTTGGTGGATAAGTGCTACGCCACCATTTGTTTTGTTTTGAACTTTTCCGGCTTTGAGATTAAATTTCCCTATGGGATCAATAAAGTATTGATTATTGACTCTGAATTTGAATAAATAAATAAAAGGTGTTAAAATACTGCTTTAATTTGAATAAACAAGCTTGTTTGGAGTATTAATCTATCCTCACAACAGCAGGTGGTGACATCTCGTCGTTAGAATGAATCAAAGTACCAAGTAAGTTAAAGAAAATAACGGGATTCTCTCAGGATACCGCGCGAGCTTATTTCCTGTTCACGCACACTGTTTGGAACGTTGCGTCATGACGTCTCTTGTGACCAACGGTCGCGTTTGCTAGCAATAGCTTGCTAGCTAGATGGAAGCAGAAACTTTAGAATAACCTGTTAACATGTAATTTTTTAAACATTTACTGGATAAATGTGACTAAATTAAACCAACGACTCAGTACCACTGGCTTTGGTTGTTGAAAGTAAGTGAAATGTATATTTTCTGATCGAGAATTTAACTTTTATTCGATACAAATAGACATAAAAGTAGAATGACTGTTACAAGTTTGGAAGAGCTTTATGTTTACTACCAAATATTCCTCCGAGGTATTTCCTAAATATTTTCTGTGTCATCTTTTAGATCACTAATCTTCACCTCCACTAAGAGTCATCTTTCTCAAACACAGCTGGAACAATGTCTTCAATCTCACAGGGACGTCGCTATAATGATACTCACAGGGACACTACCTCCTTAGACTGGCTTTCGATATGCAAACAAACCGAAAAGGATCACAATAACCCATCATCTGGCTGCACAGACAGAAGCAGAAGTGTTTCTGGTGAAGGTGCAGACAACAATAACCCTCCTCCAGGTTCAGGTGCTGCTAAAACTCCAGAACCAAGCAGATCGGATCAACCCAAGTGCACAGCAGAAACAGCTACTGAGATCCTCAGCAGGTTTGGACTCGACAAGAACGACTTGGGAGAGCTCAGTGCTTACTCTGAGGATCAGATCACCCCTGAAAATCTGAAATGCATCCTGATGAAGATTTCCATTAATAAGAAGAAAAGAGCTGCAGAGAAATCCTCTGAATCGCAGTCCACTATCAATCTAAAGAGTGACTTGCATCAAACTCCCATAAAGTCAAATAAAGTTATTGATTGCGGTGATTTTGGTAGTAGTGTGACTAAAAAGGAGACTGGAAAAGCTAGCACAGATGAGCGTAGAGGTAAGACACTGGTGGAAACTCACAAACCCAGTGAGGACCAACTGCAAAGATGTGTGTTAAAGGGCAAAAGCAGAGATTTGGACTCTAGAACAAGCCGGAAGTCTGAGATTAGTGAGCAAAATAAAACGGTTTCACCCAAACATAAACCTGAGGAGCCTAAACTCTGCAAACCTCTTCCTCCAAAGCAACAAGAGTCCACATCTAAATCATCCAAAGCTAGTAAACCAGGACACAAGAGATCCAACAGCAAGGAAAGAAAAACTCAAGTAAAAGAAAAGAAACATCCAGAGGAGAAGAACCCTGAGGTTCAAACTGAGCTGAAACATAAACAACAAGGACAGGAAAAGCCAGTGATGCAGACTAAATTTAAGGGATCATCTTGTAAAAATGAGCCTTCACATGCCATAATTTCAGCCAAACAGAAACCTGACGAGCCTAAATCCTGCAAACGTCTTCCTCCAAAGCAACCAGAGTCCACATCCAAATGCTCTGATCCCAGTAAGCCAGAACAGAAAAGTTCCAACAACAAGGAAAGTAAAACTCAAATAAAAGAAACAATAGTTCCTGGGCAGAATAAGAGACTTCCAGAGAAGAATAACCCTGAAGTTCAGACTGAGTTGAAACGTGGACAGCAAGGACAGGATAAACCAGTGATGCAGACTAAATTTAAGGGGTCTTCTTGTAAAAATGAGCCTTCGCATGCCATAATTAGAGACTGTAAAGGAATCTCACCAGAATCCTTCCCTCATTATTGTTCGATATGCAACAAGAAAAGTTGTGACTTGCAGGTGAGTGATCTACACTGCAAAAACACAACACCTTACCAGGTATTTTAGACCAGTTTCTAGTACAAATATCTGTTAGCCTACACTTGAATTAAGACAAAATTAACTCATAAGAAATATTTTAGCAAAATGTAGCAGCTTGTTTTAAGTCAATAATCTATGTTAGTTTTAAAAAGTGTATTTAATTGGCATATTATTTCACTTATAACAACATTCCCATAAATGAAATAATCTGCAAATGGAAGTAATACTTTTTCACAAATATTAATGAATTATTGGCTTAAAACAAGCTCTTGTATCTCGCTAAAAACTTCTAAGTTTGGTTTGTGGTATTTCAATAGGTTCATGTTGAAAATACAAACTTCTAAAATGTCATTTAAATGTTTTTTTATTTTCACAGGCTTGGTGTTCCCACATGAAGACCACTGATCATCGTGAGAAGTGCAAAACCCTGTAAGGTTTTTGCACAGAGTCAGACTTTGTTTATTCTTTCTTATTAAGATTTTACTCATTTTTACTTTTTGCTTTTAGAAATATAGACATTTCAGAAAGAATAGGTTCGTGTTGATGGATATGGAACTAAGAGTGGAGTTGCAATTAATGGTTCACCAATCAGATATAAAATTTCCACGATATAATGTTTAGTAAAAACTCTAACAAATTTCATAATACATTCAAATTAAATGTGGTACATCTAGTTACTGAAAAGTAATAATTGTTTGTACAGACCCTAAAATATTATAGAAAACATTTTATTACAGTTGTAGTGATTTCCATAGGATGTATTTATTTTAGGAACACTAATTCCTAAATTGCTGCAGTGGTTCCCTGTGATTTTTCTTTTTACTTTTCCCAGTTCAGTTTACTTCTATAGCACTAATTCACAAAACATATTCTCTCACCTTACTTTACAAAAAATACTAAATTAATCTAATCATAAATACCTTCTAATTAGGAGTCTACAATGGTTGACCAGTCAATTAGCCACGATTTTAGACTTATGTTAGTCTTTTAATATGCATATAAATTTCACGTTTTGCTTGTTTTTGTACTTCAGTTTGGGATTCTACTGCTTCCAAAAACAACCCAAGTGCTTAAAAACACACAAGGTTTTTTTTTTGTTTTGGCAGTGAGTTCATGTTTTATAGTATCTGGAACGTCACAAATCGGCAGGCACTACACGTTACCTAGCAACCAAGGGTAGCCAGCCCGTTACCTGGCAACCCCAATGGAATTCTGTCCGTTGCCTAGCAACCCAAGTACAGTTGTCTCAAAATGTTCTAAATTTCATCTAAAAATTTCAGAGTTTTTTGGTGAAAGTGTACGCCTCTTTTTTTCCTGTCCACTATGCCGCTGTATGTATTAGAGTCACAGCTTGCTGTTCTTTTGCTGTTGTTGTAGCTAGTTCTGGCGCTTTACAATGAATGCTGGAGAAGACAAGTGTTTTGTTGTTGACTTACTATGAAGAAACCACTCGCTGCATTCTAGTTGGTTGTGCTTTCCCAAGATTTCTGATTGGATAATTGCACTTCTGTTTGGAACCATTTTCATGTGTGTGTAAACGTTGAGGTAGAGGGGCGTGGCCACCAGCAGCTTCTTTGGATTTGAAGTGACAAGACGCTCTAAAACATCTCATTCTGAAAGCTCATAATAAACCAAAATTTATGATACTGTGCATAAAAAGAAATGTTTTTTATAGCCACTAGATCTATCCTAGCCTGTTCAAGGAACTCTGTTAGCTCTACTTTAAATATGGTCTCTGTTTTAACCTGGAAACTTACAGTATCTTAGTGTTGCTGATTAGTGAATCCGGCTTGCATCTATTGATTGCAGCCCTGATTTTCTTAATCTTGGGTTATCTTAGCTCAAGAAAGAAAAAAATGTAAATGTAAATCTTTGAACATCTGGTTTCAGCTGTATGTGTATGTTCTTTTTTTCTTCGTAGATACCCAGACTTGTTTTGTGAACAACAATTCTACAGGTAAGTCTGTCTTCAGACAAATGCGACCCACTTTATCCTATGTATCCAAATTTGTTTTTGTTTTTCCACATGTGTAAATAGAATAGATGCAATCTGGAGGCGGTGTCAGGAGACGGCCAAACACAAGAGTGATTTGCGTCGCAGAAACGCTTCCCGTTCCAGAAGTCAAGAACGCAGTCACAGAAGAGGCTTCAGTATTCGCTCACCCTGCCGGAGAAACACTTCCTGCTCTAGAAGTCATGGCCGCCAACACAGAAGAGGCTCCAGTTCTCGTTCACCCTGCCGGAGAAACGCTTCCCGATCCCGTTCCAGAAGTCATGGCCGCCAATTCAGAAGAGGCTCCGGTTCTCGCTCACCCTGCCGGAGAAACGCTTCCCGATCCCATTCCAGAAGTCATGGCCGCCAATTCAGAAGAGGCTCCGGTTCTCGCTCACCCTGCCGGAGAAACGCTTCCCGATCCCGTTCCAGAAGTCATGGCCGCCAATTCAGAAGAGGCTCCGGTTCTCGTTCACCCTGCCGGAGAAACGCTTCCCGATCCGTTCCAGAAGTCATGGCCGCCAATTCAGAAGAGGCTCCGGTTCTCGCTCACCCTGCCGGAGAAACGCTTCCCGATCCCGTTCCAGAAGTCATGGCCGCCAATACAGAAGAGGCTCCGGTTCTCGCTCACCCTGCCGGAGAAACGCTTCCCGATCCCGTTCCAGAAGTTATGGCCGCCAATTCAGAAGAGGCTCCAGTTCTCGCTCGCACAGCCCGTATCGTCAGCGCCGTAAATCCAGGAGTAGATCAACTTCCACCTCATACAGTTCTAGCTCTGAGGACAGAAAAGACAGGCGCAGGAGCCCACCCAGGTCTTCCTACAGTTATAGACACACCCTCAGGTCTGTTGGATGAAGTATTACTGTACATTGGACCCAGCAGTTGAGATCTGTGTCATCATCCATGATTTTTCGTTCTGTTTAGGTCTCGATCTCGTTCTCCACGGTACAAGAAGTCCACCTCCTCTTTCCTCCTGGACCTCTTTCTCCCTCCTGGGTCCACCTCCTCCCAGGAGCCACCTCTCTCCTCCTTCCAGCAGAGAGGTGGACCACCTCTCTTGGGACCACCTTTCCTGGGACCACCTCCTCTCTCCCAGGACCACCTCCTCTCTCCTGGGACCCCCTCCTCAATCCTGAGTCCACCTCTCTGCTCCTCCCAGGACCGAGGTGGACCATCTCGAGAAGTCATGGCCGCCGGCCAGGAGAAAGTTGGACCCTCTTTCTTGGGACCACCTCCAGTGGGACCACCTGTAGTGGGACCACCTCCTCTGTCCCAGGACCACTTCCTCCCTTCTGGGTCCAACTCCTCCCAGGGTCCACCTCTCTGCTCCTTCCAGGAGAGATGTAGACCACATCTCCCAGGTCCACATCTTCTGTCCTGGAATAACCTCCTCACCCCTGGGACCACCTCCTCTCTCCCGTGTCCACCTCCTGTCTCCTGGGTCTCCAGACCTTCCTCATTCAGCAGGAAGGAGGAGGAGCTGTTCTCTCCAGGAACGCCTTCCGAGAAACAACTTTCACCCAAAAGCAGCAGCAAGAATTCGCCGTCACCAAGGAGAAGCGGCGAGAAGCAAACGTCCGGAGAGACATCGGTCCCTCAGGATGAGAGTGGTGCAGAGACACTGGTGAAGAAACTGCTTCAATCATCAGGTTAGACACATTTTGGGATTTGGATTAGCATTAATTGAGCTTCCTGAAGATTAAATTACTATTTTGTTGAAGCTCTGATAGGTAACTTTTTAAGAAAAAGTTTTTTTTTCAAGATATTTTTTAAAATTGTCACCATGTTGCAACAGAATAACGTGAGGCAGATAATCTGAGAAATAGTGCTACTATATTTCTAAAAAAACTCGCCTCTCCCAGTCAAAAACATCCAATCAGAACCTGGATGGGCGTGTTGGCTGTCAGTTAAACTTATGTTCGTGCGGATAAATGTAAAAATTGTGAAGAAACAACTTCAAGTTCCAGAAAAACTTTTTATCCATCGTCATCAGTGGTCATGCTAACTAGCCTTAGCACTCATGGCAGACTCTGCTGTGGTGAACCAGTGTGAGCAGAGTGATTGACAGCACTGATTAACAACCAGGGCTCTGATTGGTTGTTTCTGACTGAGGGTACTATGTTTAAGGGACATATTGCCTCATATTATACTGTCACGACATAGTAACACTTTTAGGAAAAAAGAACAAAAACATTTTTATTAATAAAAGTTACATACTTCAGCTTTAACCAGAAGAATCCAGACTAAAAACATGTTATATTTTCTCATTTTTTTGCCTTTGTTTTCCCTTTTGCACTAAAGTATTTGCAGTTCTTTAATTCTGCTCCACTAAAGTGTATTTTTGTCTGCCTAGCTGTCCAGTCTTTGTCAAAGCAGATGGATGTAGAGAGTCTTGTGAAAACTCTGACTCCGATTTTCCTGGACGAGTTCAACAAGTTAACCTCAACACCTGGATCATCAGAGGCGCTATTAACTGCAGGCTTCCCGACAAATCACGAGGTTTTGTTACTTAAAATTACAGCTATACATGTTTTATTGTTGAAACTATTTTTGTTGTTCATCCAGTGACAAAACTTATTTTTTTGACTGCATACTTGTGACAAACTGCAGACAGCTGTTACATTTAAGTGTATCTAAACCCATTGTGAAAGCATAAGCCCCGCCCCCTGAAAAAATTCCACTGAAGTAGGCGGAGCCAAGACACCAATGGGTGTGACCAAATGTGGGAATGAGCGAACAAAATTAACAACTTTGTTGCTACATTTAGCAACTTTTCAGACCATTGGTGACGTTTTTCCAGAAATCAATGAACAACTTTTTGTTTTTCTACGATTCCAACTCCTAACCCGCCAATCTACTTACATTTTATGACTGCACAGCTTTCCTTCCACTAAAGTTTGAGGCTTTAATGTGAATTTAAAGACTTTAAAGATGTAAATACAACATCTGACAATTTAAGAAGCAAGTTATATGAAAAGCTTCTTTATTGGCTTTTAATCATTTTACTCGCGTTAATTTAATTAAAATACTTTTATTTACAGCCTCCTGTGACTTCAACTGAACAGAAAACGGCTACAAAAATGTATGATGTTAATATTTAATTTAATCTGTCCTCCTTGTAATATTTCTGATAATTCACCCATTTCCTTTCCTTTATGTTTATATCTGAGCTGACAACAGTTCATTTTGTTCCTTACAGGGAATCTGAGCCATCGAACAAAATTGAAGCCCTAAATGTGAAGGAGAAACCAAAGAATGAGACTGAACTAAAATGTAAGTGGGAAACTACTCAGTGGGTATAGGAAGGAATCTTTGTTGATAATTTTCTCTTGGAAGCCTTTTTTAAAAGCTAGAATTTGGGTTATTTTGCCCTTCATAAGAGCAAAAAAAAAAATTGCTCATTTATAAATTAAACAGTTTCAAACTAAATATTTAAACTTTTGTCAGCATGCTAAATATTTCATTTGTAAAATTTAACTAACTAAAAAAATTGTTTGATAGCTAGCAATTTAGTTAGAAATCTAGTACTTAGTTGAAAGCTAAATATTTAATGTGAAAAATAATTAAGTAGTTGGAAATTTAAGTATTTAACCTCAGACTACATATATGGTTATCAAGTATTCAATTAGCACAATACATATAGTTTGAGGCTATATATTTAACTTCTATTTAACTTGGTAGCTCAACATTGAGTTTGAAGCTAAATGTTTAGCTTGCTTATTCATTATATTTTAATTTAGAACTGCGACATTTATGAATACAAATGATAAAAAAAAATGTAACTTTTAAATTGAGCCTCCATTCTTTTCTCTCATGACAAAATTAAATATTAATTGTTGGTGAACTGGCTGATGGCGAAATGTTTGTGTCGGTATTTTTTGGTTCATTTGTTTTTGTCAGGTTAAAGACGACCCAAATGAGATATTTGACTAATATTAGTTTTCACTTGTGGCACATTTTCTGATCTAAAGGTCTGTTGGTCACACCTACTGAAAATAAACCAGCATCAATCGAAAAGCCGGCGCCGGTGATTTCCTCAGAGGATCTGACTGTTGGGGAGAAGATAGAAAAGTGCTTTGACCCCAAACTCATTTGTATGAAAACATTACAGTTTGACTTTATTCATTTAAAAAAAATGTGGTTTTCATTTTTATTTATTTGCCTCTTCTTTCCAGGGCCTGTTGAATTCACAGATTCCATTTCAGAACCAGAAGTAAGCTTTCTATCTATTTTTATCAGTGTTCCTGAAAACTGAATTAATTTTCCCCCCTGATCAAGACGTAAGCCAGTCAGATTTAAAGATGGTCCCATTTTCTACCCTGGACAAGCATTACATAACATGTGTGTATGTGATGTTTGGAAACAGTAATTAATTGAAATCAGAGTCGCCTGTGAATGGTGGACTAAACACACAGACCATGAGTAAAACTCCTGAGAAACTTTATGCTCACAAATAACCCCCAGATAGGCGTCTGTCATCTGATCTACATCAGCGGTGTCCAAAGTTTGTTGTGTGCAAATAAAAAATGATACAGATAGACACTTTTATTTTGTAATGAGGGTAAAAATTATATGTGATTTTCTGAAACAGGAAAATGTGAAGATCAGCACTAATTATTTGTCTGTTTATAACCACGTTTTAACAAAAGATAAAATCAAGTCTATCCAGAAACTTTTACTGAAAAGCTAACCTTGCTGCACCCAAATAAACTTCTATTCTTTTTAAACTTGGCTTGATACAGCAAGCATTTTGAAAAAAATTGACTCAAACCCTGTTCTTATTCCTTAAATGAAATTTATTCAATTGAGCCCAGAAGAAACTGAAAAGTACGACTTTCTTTCAATAGAGAAAACATGAAAAATCTACTATGGCATATTATTAAAAAAAAAATTTGCCTAAAAACATAGAACCTTTGAGCGTAGTATCATAAAATGTCTAGAAAAACAAGAAAATTTGTGAGGAGAAAAAGTAAAATTTTTAGATGAACGTCAGACATTTTACTGTTACAAAAAACTTGGACATTTCTGAAAACTTTTCTAGAAAACTGTACGTTTTCTAGGAAATTGATGAGATTAATCACAGAAAGGAGGAAATTTACTCCTTTATTTTCTGTCTACAATGGCCCTAATACACCATCATAAAAATCCTTTTCAGGTTTTGGATCTACAATAAATATCGAGCCTCTTTATTTGCTTGTTTTTGGGTTGGAGGTTTTTGACCCACAAATACTTTGGAGTCTATTTTGTGTCACTGGACAAAAACTTTGGTCACCTCTGGTCTACATCATACACAAGCACACAAACGGTGACCTAATCAAAACAATGTCGACACCTGATGTAGTTTTTTTCTTTCCTAACATAACTGCTCTTTTTACTCCGAAGCTCTTGATAACCAACCTTCCGAACTATTTCGACGGCTGCTACACAGAGGACGATCTCGTCGATCTCCTTCGTCCTTTTGGGTTTGAGAAGAGCTCCAACATTTATGTGATTCCTCAGAAACAGCTGGTAAGGATCTGCTGGCAAATCTGCGTTTTATCACTCAAGTTTTGGTTTTACTGGTTGACCACAATTGATAGATGCCTGTCATCCACGTCTTGATGAGTTTTCCTGTTTTTTCTTCTTCTTGTAGGCTATAGCTTTCATGCCACACGTGAAAGGGCTGAAGGAAGCCCTCACACAGTCTAGAAGCGGCATGTTTTTCAAAGGATCTAAACTATGCCTACAGGCTTGTAGAATAGTGGTAAGTATCTCAGTGGTGGGCGCTGGATGATGAACAGTGCGTCATTGCATGACCATTTTGTAAAAAAAAATATCTAAACTCTGTTTTCAGACTTGTTGGAAACCAGGAAAGTCTACATCGGTTAGTATACACACCCATGTTCTGTAGTAAATTACTTCTGTCTCCATAATCAATAAATCTGTCAATTGCATGGTAAATCAAAACTCAATAATTTCCATTTGCATGATTTGTCGGTTTTCTGTCTGGTGTTTTGGTCTCAACTAAACATGTGAAGCATAAATTTATTTGCGGGCTTCATAATTTGTTTTATTTGTTGTTTCTGTTTTTGTTTATTTATATTGATATTAAAATGTCTTCCAAAGTTAAATATTCATTGGAATTTAAAATTTATGATCTTTGAGAACTTGTTGTTGCATTACTATGCCTTTGTTACCATTATATTTCTTGAAATTGGCCTCAGATCTAAGAAATATTATCCTTTATCACAATAACTTGGACAATATATCGTCCAGCAAAATGTGTTATTGTGACAGGCCTATTTCTTCATTTTATCCTTCCCTAAAAAAACAGTTTCCTCATGGGGAGAAAAGTACCATTAAGATGTGAAAATGCTGGTTTAAACAAGTGACTCGTGCACAAAAGGTGACCAAATAATTGACTTTTTCATTGTGATTGGTAGGAGATGATGTCCAGCCTCACCAGTCTTTCATGCTTCTTTTTAGATGAGCTGTCAGGATGTCTGTAGCTGCTAACAGTTTTATGTTTTGACACAGTTGAGTGGCTAGCACCAGTGCAAGAAAGAAAGTCCTGGATTCAAATCCTGAGGGCCAAATTTGTGCCACTGTTGAGCTGAGATCAGGGGCCCACACATAGCTATTCCAAGTACAGTAAAAGGCCCCCAGGCCACACTTTGAACAAACCTAGACTAAATACTTTTAATAAGTTGATAAAGTGTGTTTGAATTCTTTACCTAATATAACTAATATTATTTATGCATGTTTTATACCATCAACACTTACTCTGGATACTTTCTGTTTCAGCTTGGCCTTTACAAAGCTTTGATGCGGTGCTTAAAACATGTAAGTAATACTAAAACGTCTTAAAACATAAAAAATGTATTTACTCTTTATTGAGATCTGAGCATAGGTTGTGTGTTCAGGCAATGGTCCACTATATATCATCCTCCTAAGATGAACTAAGAACCATAGCTGTGATAATCAGGGTGCAGCTCTGATTGTTCACTCATTGTTTTTAGAACATGACTGATAACGGAGAAGGTACAATCTGCATTCATCACATCTCACCAAGCGAGACCCGCGACCTCCGGACGGCTCTGAGGAAAATTGGTTCTGTAAGAAACTTCCTGCCTCTGCTCAACAAGGTACAAACACACAAGGCCAACAGGCACAAGGCTCCATGATATGTTAGGAATATAATGTCGTTGTGCACAATATTCATTATCCAAAACACGGTTGAAGTGTTAAAATTGTTGATTACTATCAGCTTTGGACACTGCAAGCTAAAGAGTTAGCAGGGCTAAATGTAAAGCGCTAACCATAAGCACAGAGTTGGATCCAAATATTGTACTCAACTAAGAGCAGGACTACTTCAGCTTATTTTTACTTAAGTTAAAAGCCCAAGAAATTACTTAAGTTAGAGGAAAAAAGTATTTGGTAAAAAAAAAATCTACTCAAGTACAGAGTAAATGATTAAATTATCAGTCATTTAATATTTAAAAATTACATTATGAGACGGACCAAACTATAAAATTAAGCGGATATTTTGATGTTTGAATGACGAAAATGACAAAAACTCATATAAGTAACAAAAAATAAAATCAGCCAAAAGAAACATTTCCAAATCAGCTTCTTTCAATAAAAATCTTTTGAAGCTTTAACAAAACCTGTCTGTGTTTGGTGAATTTTGGTTAAAACTTTGGTTTTTCATTCAGTGGTTGGAAAATACAGACATTTTACTCAAATAAGAGCAGAAATACTTCATAGTAAAGTTACTCAAGTAAAAGTAAAACTACACCTAAAAGTATTCTTTTGTCAAACAAGTTACTCATGTAAATGTAACTAGTTACTACCAAACTGTGGAAAAGCATCAGCTCTGCTAACTCTGAAGTGCGACACCAACAAGGTACGTAGCGTAAGCTAATGCTAATGCTGCGCAGCATTAAAAGTGAAGAAGATGAGGAGAGGAAATGGAACTGCTGTGTAAACAGCCTTGACTCCCTTCAAAATAAGAGCATGAATACAACTGCCTAACTACTTCCAGAAATCCTAGCAGTCTATAAGCAAAACTTCAACTTTATTCAACTGAAAGTTTATGAAAAAGCCTCATAAATCAGTGATTAGCATTTATCCAGAAAAATGTATTTAGGGTAAGCTAAGTGCGCTAATTGTTTTCAACTTGGCAAAACAAAAAAATGTGCATTAGTGGGTGAGTGGAAATGTACTGCCATTTTCCAAGTGCTTATAAAACACAGGTGACAATAAAAAGAGGCACATATGGTAATCACAAGATTTTGTTATAACGTTGTCGATTTTAAATGCATCTGTTTATTCCTGTGTTTACTTCTGTGTGTTTTGTGTGTGTGTTTCAGGTTTTTATTGAGTTTGAGTCGAAGCACGATGCGGATCGGCTTGGAGTTTGGTACAGCTTCCTGAAACCAGGCCGTAAACACACCGTGGAAAGGCTGAAAATGTTTGTGGCCACCAGTATAGCTCTGCGTGAGTTCACGTTTAAAGAAATAAACAATTACACAATAGACGCTGTTTAGATTACTCTAAAAATAATTAAGATAATATCTAATGTAAAACCCCAATACAAAATTAAAAAAAAACAACTTCTTGATCCAAGTTTCAACCATTATTTAGAAAATCTGAAGCAGTCAGCTCCACGCTTGACTTCCTGTTACAGTCGACATGTTGTAAACATTCCAGTTCACACCAGCGGCTCTCCTTGTGTCACTCATGCGCACAACGCTGGGGACGATTCTTTTACATGTCGTCCAACTGCAGCGACAGAATGATTCCTTTAACGAAATGAAACATGGAGATGTTGGCATTAATTCTGTGCAGCACGCCACAGCAAAGGGAGAAATAACACAGAAAAACCATTGAAGAACAACTCAAAATAACTTTTTTTCTCGCTCTCTATGTTGGCTACACTATAAGGAGACACGTTGACAACAACTAGCAAAGCGTTGCATCCCTTTTACTTTCATAGATCAGGTGTACATTTAAGATTTAGCACCTTATATTGACAACTTGCTGTAATTTCCTGTGTGTTCAGCCCCCAAACTTCCTGCTCAGGCTCTGCCGGACGCCAGTGATGCTGTCGCTACTGCGAGGATCCCTATTGCCAACGGTGTCATTAAAGATTGTGCTGTTCCTCCATTTTGGGTCACAATGTCAACGGCGCCGTACATGTTTCCCACGATGTCTCCGTGGTTTGACATCCCTGGTAAAAACAACTTTCTACTGAAAAAGCAAAAATAAAAAAAAAACCTTCAGAAGAGGCTAATAGCAGATTCACTGAATAATTATATATAATTTCACCTCTAGCTTTCCAGACAGTGAAAGAAGTTAGCGACATCAAGGTGATTGCAACTTTCTATTTTTGTAGTTTTTATATCAACCTGACCATTTAATGTCTGAATCTTTTAATAATAATAACTCCTACTCAGATTATGCAGCAATTAAAATCTTTACTGTCATTACCATGTGAGACATTTTACAGATTCTTAATGTAGCTTTAACCCAGATTGTGTGATTTTAAACACTTATTTATACCAACCTTAACAAACATCTGCATAATGTCACAGGATTGTGCTAAAAAAGGGATTTTTACCCACAGCGTGTAAACAAAGAGATGTTTGGTGTGCTATCATTTAAGGTATTTTAAATATTAAACTATTTCTTTCATCTTTTAATACAGAAAGCTCTCCCTCAGGCCTCCCAGTTCTCCACCATCATGCTGACTGGTTTCCCTCAATCGATAAGGAGACAAAGTGTTGTTGCCCAGATGGTCTCAGGTTATTTCACCAAAGGTTACTCAGAGTCTGTGAACGTCCTGTCACTGCAGAGGAGGGTAAGGAAAGCTCTTGTTCAGTCTTCCAGATTTATTTATTGTTTATTTGCTGCAGTGGAAATGTAATGTGAAACACCCAACAATCAATTGGAGACACCGGGGTTGACGTTACCACCCTCCCATCTCCCACAGGCCTTTGTGTTTTTCCCTTGTTGGGATTCTTGCCAAGGCTTTCTCGAGGGTTACTTGACTTCTAAACCTTCTGGCAAAGACTTCGTTCTTAAAGTCCACTTGGTCTTAGAGGACATGCGTCCAGGAGACACTGAGGTACCGGCACTGGCTGAAACCTTCACAATAAGAGCTCAGAATGTTCACTATTAAAACGTCTTTTTGCTTTTACAGGAGACGATGTACAGGAATCTGATGAGATGGAGCAACGCTGTAAGTTCTTGGTCATTTATTCCAATCTTTTCTTTGTTGGCTTGTATTTGTTTGAGTTATTGTTTTGTCCTGTTTGTTGTAGCATGTTTCAGAGCCTGAGTCCCTCAGTCAGCGGCTGATATGTGTGACTTTCTCTGACATCACCCTGAGCGTCATCCAGGGCTTTCTGATGGCAGTCGGATCCATCGCTCCGTTTGTCAACTACCTGGTCCTCACTGATCGCGTATGTCGGCTTTCGCCACCTGCAGCTGCTAACCTGACGCTGCAGAGCATTTTACATCAGGGTGTCCAAAATGTGGACTGATTTTGTGCAAATACAATTTAAAAATATTACAAATTTGGCCCGAAGATGCAAATGGAGATTTTTAATTTGTAATCGGGGTAAAAATTGTTACCAAAATATTTTTCATACAAAGTACAACACAGAGTATTTGTGTTTTTATAACAAAGGTTTAAAAAAAAGGCAAAACAAGAGACTTTTACTGAAAAGCCAACTTTGCTTCAGCCAAATCGGCTTTTATTCTTTCTTAAACTTGACTAAATATAGCAACCATGTTGAAACAAAGTGATGCAAATCCTGTTCTTATGACTGAAAATACATTTATTCAGTCAAGCCCAAAAGAAACTGAGAGCTACATGTTTTTATTTTCTTGAAAATTTCTGAGACTAATCACAACATTTTGCTCATTTTTTACCATTTAAATGACTCTCATACACAATCATAAAAATCACTTTCAGGTTTTGCACCTACAATAAATATCAATCGACTTTATTTGCTTGATTTTAGGCTGGGGTTTTTAGCCTGCGAACACTTTGGAGTCAACAAAGTGCAAAAAGTTTGGACACCCCTGGTTTAGAGTCTGAAAGATGAAGATTTTAAAAAATCTTCTTCCGCTAGCCACTGATTCATTCTTTGAATTTTTAAGACTGTCGACAAGCCAAATGACAAATCTACAACTTTTAATGAGAAATTAAGAAAAATAATTTGTTCCTCATTTTTTTGCCTCTTCTTTCTGCTGTAGATCTACATAGAAATGTGTGACTCCAGCAGTGCAGCTCAGGTGTTGGACCTTCTGATGTTTAACCTTCTATCTGAGGAAGAGAAGAAGAAGAAGATGAGTGATTGTGATCAGAAGAAGGAGGAAGGCTTTTGGTACGCTGGTCTCCAGATCCTCTGTACTTCCAGGTCGTTTTAACCTTAGTAACTGTTTGGTTTTGCTCCACAGGAGGAAGCGTCAAAATGTCTACCTGTGAGTATCTGAAAGTATTCTTTGTCAGGTCACCACAGTTCAAAGGTCATGAACACAGTCAATCTTTGGAATCCCTTTGTTTCTGTATGGATGTTGTCCATTTGTTTGTCTTTTGAGGTCTCTGTTTTTATCCATCCGCCTCTCTTGGATCTAACTCCAATAAATCAAGTTTATTTTCATAGCACATTTCAGCTGCCAGGCAGTTCAAAGTGCTTTACAGCATAAAAACACAAACAATAGTTTAGAAATGTCACTCTCCGTTCATGTCTTATGAAACGTGTGTAATGAGGCGACTTGTCCTCAGAATATTTTTGAGCTTGCGGACTTAGACCTGCAGACGCAGGTTAGCGACTCGAACAAGTTAAAAATGTCCCAACTTTTGTTGCTGTCGTGGGAAACGTTGACATTTTGCTGTCGTTTGTCGCTTCCCATGTGAACTAAGTAACACTCTGCGAGAGAAAGGCAGAGTTGGGCAGGAACTGGTTACATTTAAACAGATTTACTGGAGTAACTTTTTGAAAAAATGTACTTTCAGGAGTATCTTAAGTTCTTTTATTGAAGAAAACTGATTTTTAAATTTGTTTATTTTGCCTGATTTTCTTATTTTATGTTACTTATATGAGTTATTGTCATTTTCATCCTTAAAATACCAAAATTTTCACATAACTTTATATTTTCCTCAGTCTCATGATGTAATTTTCAAACATTAAATGATTGATAACCTGATCAGTTACCATCAGCTTTTAAAGTCTGATCTCTAATCAGTAGCTCAGCTGTTGGACCTTCAGAACTTCTGTGCCTAAATAACCTGAATAACTGTTTTTGTTTTTGCTCCACAGGTTTAGGATTAAAAATGTCCGACTGTGAGTATCTGAAAGTTGGTCTGTTTTTCACTGTGGCGTTAAAATGTTGTGCTTCAGTGGGTTTAACTTTAACTATGAAAAATGATTGAGATCTCTTATGACAATTAATTTAGATTAAAAGTTGACGAATTCAGAGGCGCCTCCCTTAATAATAATGAGCTCAATGCGATCTTTCTAATATTTTGTGATTATATTTTAATTAGACAACAAAACTATTGGAGTGTTTTTGTTTTTCCATTGGGAGAAGCTTCTGTCTTTAAATAATTAATTGTTTTGTAAATTATATACACATAATATTAAAGCACTTTCTTACAATATGATGGATTGATAAGAATAAATACTAAGATATTTGCAGAATGTGAAAAATTAAATCTTAAAGTGAAAATTGCTAAGGGTTTAGATTTGAAGTATCACAAAATGTTACTAAGACATTACAGGATCTGTGTTTAGTAGCAGCTGATGAAATATTTTCCCTTTTTAATTTCAGTGTGCAGAGGCAGCCCCCAGCAGGGGGCGCCGTTTCAGGAATGGCTAAAGCTTCAGATAAGATCCAACCTGCTGGTGTTCAGGTTGAAGCTGAAGCCTGTGAACAATTAACCCAGACCGAAGCAGCTGAGGCAGAGGATGTTGGAACAGATTCAGCCGAAGATCGGACTGAAAACGAGAGTTACACTCAGCAACGTCAAACTCCTGCAGACGAGTCGACGAAAGAGGAAGGAGAGCAGGAACAAGAGCTGATCGATTTTGTAACGGATCAGGAAGACAAACAAGAAGAGAAACAGAAAACGGCTGGTAAAGAATCTGAGATGAGAGGCGGATCTGCAGCAAAAGAGGACGAGACGACCAGCGGCGACGACGCCATGACAGAGGGGGAAAATAAAGGAGAAGAAGAAGAAAAGGAGGCCTCCACAAAGCCTGAGGTGAGAATATTCTCATCTCTATTATCTTATATGTGTAGAAGTTTGGGGGAATGCTGGGAAAGTGTTTACAAATTCTATTTTTATTTCACAAAATAGAATTTGTAGAATTTGATTTTGTATTTAAAAAACTGAATATAAAGTTATTTATTTATTTTACAAATTTCTGTGTAGAATTCTCACCAGAAATGAGAAGTTTGTATTAATTTTTTTTTCTATATTAAAAATAAATGAGCAGAAATGAAGTCAATCAGAAATCAGACATGAATTCCAACATCTTCACCCTGAAACTAAAACAACTTCACAACTTGGTTTACCATCTTATTCTGCAAGTCACGTTTAAAATACATAACAGTGTATTACAGAGCAGATCAAATTTTATTTTTAAGAAAACAATAAAACGTAATATTTCATGAACGTATAATAAAGCATATTGATTCAATAGAGTGCAGTATCTGTGCAAAGATAATATGTTTTTTTTATATTATCTTTATACATTTATGGCGTGTTTTGTGTTTAAGGATCTATATGGACAGTTGATTGATGTTTATTTGCTTAAGTAAGTTTATTTTTGAGATGAGAATTAGACTATATAAGACTCTTTCTCCTAACTACTCTCTTTCATTCCCATTTTTTTGTTAATCTCAACTTGAGACTTGTTTATTTTAAGCTGTAAATAAAAAAGCAAATTATTTTCTATATTTCTGTTAATCTTTGCTGCTGGGCGTGATGGACGCCTCTGTTTTTCTTCAGCAGGAAGTGGGAGCAGAAACTGCTGACGGCTCAGATCCCAGCAGCCCAGGTTGGTGTTTCAGGACCTCAAACGTTACTATGATAACTGGTAAACTATTCCTGAAGCTAACGGGCGTTTTAGTAATCGATTAGTAGATTATTCTGAAGTTTAATCGGATCAAACAATTGTTCCTTTCTGCTTATTTTTTATTTAACCAACAAAGCCTTTTTTATACAATATTAGAAAGGCGTCATTAAAAGATTAGGGGATTTTTTTAACAGAATTTGAATCAAGTTAAGCTAAAACTACATATAAATTTACAGGGAAGGCATTTATTAAGTTTTTATATTTTTTGTACATTTTTGTCTTAATTATGGCTCCAAGTTTGTTGTTCTTTCATCTAACAGACTTTCTATTAATTGATTAATTGCTTCCCAATTAGTTGACAATTATTTTAGTAATCGATTTGTAACAATTAACCCAATTAATCATTTTGGTAAACTGTACCGCGTCCAGAGCAGGTTGGGTCATCCAGAGCTGAGTTTTCTCTAAAATCTGTTCTTATTAAATGTCAGACTTTAAATAGATGAAACATTGTTTTAATCCATAAACACTTGAAGTATTACTATTACATTAATTTTTAGTTTTCTACCAAATTTAACAAATTTTATTATGTAATTCATAAAAATGTAACCAATCCAATCCTTTCATTTTAAAATCTGTCCTAATGTAAACAGTAGACTTCATTACATTTAGATTTAATGAAAATCTGGTTAAATATAATAATAAGGTGTTGTTTTTTTCTATTTCACTCCAGTTTAGTTTTATTCAAATTTTTCATCATTATTGTGTTTTTATGTTCAGGTTTAGATCAGAGTGTAAACGCTGCAGCTTCAGGTGAGCTGGAGCAGATGGAACAGGAAGTGACATCACTGAGAAAAAGAGGACGACCCAGGAAGAAACCCAGAAAGACTCCTGGTAGCCGACCTACAATCTGCTCCACTGTGACGGCACATCGCTGAAAAACAAAGATTGATCAATAATTCATCTTATTTGCAGTGACAAAATCTGCTGGAGGAAAACCTGAGAGCCCAGAAGAAAACAGAGAAGAAGAAGACAAATCACTTCCTGGTACGCCACTGGATCCTTCTTCTTCTGCTCTATTGAGGGATGTCAAGACGGAGACGGAGGATGAAGCTGCTGAAGGTCCAGACAAACTGAACCTGTCAGAAACCTACAGTTTTAGTTTTTTCTGTTTTAAATTTAATTCCAGGTAGCTTTAAAAAAAAGATCTTAAATCTATGTGTCCAATGTTAAGGCCTTAAAATGTATTGAATTCAAAAAATATGTTGGTCTTGAATTATGTTGTGGCAGGACTATTTATTGTAGTCTTATTTTCCCACGGTTCCTACTGCGGCCAGTAGAGGGCATTACCTTTAGATTTAAAGAAAATCTAGTTAAATGTGATTCAGAATGATATAATAGGTGGTCAATTTTTTTTATTATTTCACTTCAGTTTACAATGATAGTTTTTCCATCGTTGTGTTTTCTGTGTTCAGTTTTAGACCAGCCAGTGAACGCTGCAGCAGCAGGTAATCTGGAGGAAACGGTGCAGACGGAACAGGAAGTGACATCAAAAAGAAAAGGAGGCCGACCCAGGAAGAAACACAGAAAGACTCCTGGTAGCCGACCTCACAATCTGCTCTACTGTGATGGTACATCGCTGAAAAACAAAGATTGATCAATAATTTATGTTATTTGCAGTGAAAAAATCTGCTGGAGGAAAACCTGAGAGCCCAGAAGAAAACAGAGAAGAAGAAGACAAATCACTTCCTGGTGCGCCGCTGGATCCTTCTTCTTCTGCTCTATTGAGGGATGTCAAGACGGAGACGGAGGATGAAGCTGCTGAAGGTCCAGACAAACCGAACCTGTCAGAAAACTACAGTTTTTGTTTTTTCTGTTTTAAATTTAATTCCACCTTGCTTTTTAAAAAAAAAAGGTCTTAAAAGGTCTTAAATCTATGTGTCCAATGTTAAGGCCTTAAAATGTATCGAATTAGTGGACATGTTGGTCTTCAATAAATTATTATAGGTCTTAAATTATCTCATGGCAGGACTATTCAATGTTTTATTTTCCCGCAGAAATGTTCTGTTATGCTCATACATGTTTGCTGTGCAGTTGAGGCTACTTCTAGCTAGCTGCTAATATACTGTTGCTAGCTAGATAGCTGGCTAACTTTTTCACCTTTTATTTCACGCACAAAACCAGGTTCATATTTTTTATTAAACTTAAATGAAATGCAGTAAGTTACCAGTGCCTAAAAAAACTATATTTATAGGTTTTTATCTGTCTAAAATTTCATTCAAGGTGGCTTTTAAAAGGTCTTTAAAAGTCTTAAATTCATGTATCTATAGTTGAAGCCTTAAAATGTCTTAATTTAAAAATGACAAATTGGTCTCAACTAAATTAATGACAGGTCTTAAATTATGTTGCAGAAGGGTATTTAATGTAGTGTTATTTTCTCACTCCAGCAGCAGGTAATCTACAGGAAATGGAGAAAACGGAACAGGAAGTGATATCGACTAAAAAAAGAGGACGACCCAGGAAGAAACCCAGAAAGACTCCTGGTAACCGACCTCACAATCTACTCCACTGTGATGTTACATCGCTGAAAAACAAAGATTGATCAATACTTCATTTTGTTTGCAGTGAGAAAATCTGCTGGAGGAAAACCTGAGAGCCCAGAAGAAAACAGAGAAGAAGAAACCAAACCTGAGACGGATGCTGAAGGTCCTGAGGGACAGAACCTGGACGGACGCTTGGAGGAAGAGGAGGAGGATGAAGGACGCTGCAGGGCCGCCGGAGAAGGTTTGGAAGATGAGACTTTAAGTTGGTTCTAAATCAACTATCATGTTTCTGTGTGAATAGAAAGGTACAAGTCCATTGATACATCTCTGAAAGATTTTTAGATTGAATTCAACTTTTATTAGGTCAAAAAATAGAACCAAACAGTCCTTTTATATTAAATTTTGAACTTAATGAGTCCTATTGAGTTCAATATATTTAGATTTAATGAAAATATAGTCCGGAATAAAATAAATAATTTGATATCATGACGGTCAAATTTATTCTGTTTCACTTCAAGTTATTTTTATTCAAGTTAAATCAAACAATGTCAGCTGATCATTAATACTTTCAAACAATCAGTCTCGGGTAGATAAATGATGAAGCAAAAACTAAAACAAAGTTTGGTCAAAATAATGACAATTAAAAAATTGGCAGGAAAATAATAGGAATATGAATAAAAACAAAGCATATTTAAATTCGACTACAGCAGTTTTCCAAAAGCGAAAACATCCGCCATTTTTCTTCTAATGATGTTGAAGTCCGGGGAACAAAGATGCATTTTGAGTTTTTATTTGGGTTTTTCATTATTGGTGTGTTTTTATGTTCAGTTTTAGACCAGCCAGTGAACGCTGCAGCAGCAGATAATCTGGAGGAAATGGAGGACACGGAACAGGAAGTGACATCACTGAGAAAAAGAGGACGACCCAGGAAGAAACCCAGAAAGACTCCTGGTAGCCGACCTACAATCTGCTCCACTGTGACGGCACATCACTGAAAAACAAAGATTGATCAATAATTCATCTTATTTGCAGTGAGAAAATCTGCTGGAGGAAAACCTGAGAGCCCCAAAGAAAACAGAGAAGAAGAAGACAAATCACTTCCTGGTGCGCCACTGGATCCTTCTTCTTCTGCTCTATTGAGGGACGTCAAGACGGAGACGGAGGATGAAGCTGCTGAAGGTCCAGACAAACTGAACCTGTCAGAAACCTACAGTTTTAGCTTTTTTTGTTTTAAATTTAATTCCAGGTGGCTTTAAAAAAAAAAGGTCTTAAATCTATGTGTCCAATGTTAAGGCCTTAAAATGTATTGAATTCAAAAAATATGTTGGTCTTGAATTATGTTGTGGCAGGACTATTTATTGTAGTCTTATTTTCCCACGGTTCCTACTGCGGCCAGTAGAGGGCATTACCTTTAGATTTAAAGAAAATCTAGTTAAATGTGATTCAGAATGATATAATAGGTGGTCAATTTTTTTATTATTTACTTCAGTTTACAATGATAGTTTTTCCATCGTTATGTTTTCTGTGTTCAGTTTTAGACCAGCCAGTGAACGCTGCAGCAGCAGGTAATCTGGAGGAAACGGAGCAGACGGAACAGGAAGTGACATCAAAAAGAAAAGGAGGCCGACCCAGGAAGAAACACAGAAAGACTCCTGGTAGCCGACCTCACAGACTGATCCACTGTGACGGCACATCGCTGAAAAACAAAGATTGATCAGTAATTCATCTTATTTGCAGTGAAAAAATCTGCTGAAGGAAAACCTGAGAGCTCCGAAGAAAACAGAGAAGAAGAAGACAAATCACTTCCTGGTGCGTCGCTGGATTCTTCTTCTTCTGCTCTATTGAGGGACGTCAAGACGGAGACGGAGGATGAAGCTGCTGAAGGTCCAGACAAACAGAACCTGGATGGACGCTTGGAAGAAGAAGACGAGGAGGAAGAAGAAGGTTTGGAAGAGGAAGAGAAACTCAATTTTTTCCATTTATAATCTATTAGTAGGTCGTCCTACGCTATATAGCCATGACAAATATGAAAAAGAAACATTATAAAAGTTACATACCGCAGTTTTAAAGCAATAAAGCCCCATGTACTGGTCTTGGTGACCTTTTAGAAAATTTTTTCTTGGAGTAGATTATCTTCAGGGTTTCTGCACATCCTTAAAAAAATCTTAATTTTATGTTTCTAAAATCAAAGCCTTAAAATGCCTTAGATTCATTAGAAAAAATGTAAGGTGGACTTGAATATGTCAATCATGGGAGTTAAAAAGAATCTCGTACATGTAGTATATCTGACACCAGCAAAAAATCATTGGTAACTCCAGGCGGCTATTGCTACTGCTAACTAGCTGCTATTATGTTTTAGCTAGCTAGAGTTATTGCGTTTTTTGTTGCTCATTTCTGTTGCCGACTCACAACGCCACATTTATTCTCTGCTAAAAAGCTTGACAATATTATTAAATAAAATCATTTTATTTTTCTATGTTTTTGTTGTGATATTGGTCTTAAATTGAATTATTAATGGTCTTAAAAAGTTTTACAAAACTTGTTGAAGCCATATTCTTAACATCAACTTTAAAGTAAAGTTTTGTTTTTCTTCAGTAGCTTGTAAAAAACGAAGGACGTCTCTTTGGACCGCTGCTGACTTTATCCTGCCACCTTTCAACCCAGACATCTCCTGTGGTGAGAAACCGACACAGACATTCGCCTGCCGGTTAGAAACGCTCTTGTTCATGTTCTCTTCTCTCCTCCTCTTCAGGCGAGGAGTTCACTGCTCGTAAACTGGGATATTTCTGTTCCCTCTGCTCTGTCTTCTACGTGCTGAAGAGCAACGAAGAGGACACTCACTGCTGCAGCAGAAATCATTACGACAACCTGCTGGTAAACCCGAACAATGCAATAAAATCACACACATGTTCACCGTGTGGCGTCTAAATGCTCTTTGATTTTCAGAAACATTCGCAGATGAAAGAAGAGCAACCGTCACCGCCTCCAAAAACAAAAACCAGACGCTCTCAATGATCCTGTTTTTATTTCTCCAGTATTAAAACTGTTCAACTCCTAGTCTGCTTGGATTGGGCAGCTCCATTTTTAAACTCTGAATTTATTTAAGTGCTTTATAATCAATTCATGAAGACGATTCCCTTCACATTCAATGTTTCTAATTACAGTTAGGGCCAGAAATATTTGGACAGTGACACAGGTTTTGTTATTTTAGCTGTTGACAAAAATATGTTCAGAAATACAATTTATATATAATATGGGCTGAAAGTGCACACTCCCTGCTGCAATATGAGAGTTTCCACATCCAAATCGAAGAAAGGGTTTAGGAATCATAGCTCTGTAATGCAGAGCCTCCTCTTTTTCAAGGGACCAAAAGTAATTGGACAATGGACTCCAAAGGCTGCAAGTAACTCAAAAGGCCTTTCCCTCGTTAACCTGTAATCAAGTAAGTAGTTAAAAGGTCTGGGGTTGTTTCCAGGTGTGTGGTTTTGCATTTGGAAGCTGTTGCTGTGACCAAACAACATGCGGTCAAAGGAGCTCTCAATTGAGGTGAAGCAGAACATCCTGAGACTGAAAAAAAGGAAAAAATCCATCAGAGAGATAGCAGACATGCTTGGAGTAGCAAAATCAACAGTCGGGTGCATTCTGAGGAAAAAGGGAATTGACTGGTGAGCTTGGGAACTCAAAAAGGCCTGGGCGTCCACGGAAGACAACGGTGGGTGGATGATCGCCGCATACTTTCTTTGGTGAAGAAGGACCCGTTCACAACATCAACTGAGGTCCAGAACACTCTAGAGAAGTAGGTGTATCTGTCTCTAAGTCAACAGTAAAGAGAAGACTCCATGAAAGCAAATACAAAGGGTTCACATGTAGATGCAAACCATTCATCAATTCCAAAAATAGACAAGCCAGAGTTAAATTTGCACAAAAACACCTCAAGAAGCCACCCCAGTTCTGGAAACGCATTCTATGGACAGATGAGACAAAGATCAACCTGTACCAGATGATGGGAAGAAAAAAGTTTGGAGAAGAAAGGGAACGGCACATGATCCAAGGCACACCACATCCTCTGTAAAACATGGTGGAGGCAATGTGATGGCATGGGCATGCATGGCTTTCAATGGCACTGGGTCACTTGTGTTTATTGATGACATAACAGCAGACAAGAGTAGCCGGATGAATTCTGAAGTGTACCGGGATATACTGTCAGCCCAGATTCAGCCAAATGCTGCAAAGTTGATCGGACGGCGCTTCACAGTACATATGGATAATGACCCCAAGCATACAGCCAAAGCTACCAGGAGTTCATGAGAGCAAAAAGGTGGAATATTCTGCAATGGCCAAGTCAATCACCAGATCTTAACCCAATTGAGCATGCATTTCACTTGCTCAAATCCAGACTTCAGACGGAAAGACCCACTAACAAGCAAGACCTGAAGGCTGCGGCTGTAAAGGCCTGGCAAAGCATTAAGAAGGAGGAAACCCAGCGTTTGGTGATGTCCATGGGTTCCAGACTTAAGGCAGTGATTGCCTCCAAAGGATTTGCAACAAAATATGAGAAAAAACTTTTTGTTTGGGTTATATGTCCAAATTACTTTTGAGCTCCTAAAATGTGGAGTGTTTGTAAACAAATGTGTACAATTCCTACATTTTCTATCAGATATTTTTGTTCAACCCTTTAAATTAAACGTTACAATCTGCACTTGAATTCTGTTGTAGAGGTTTCATTTCAAATCCAATGCGGTGGCATGCAGAGCCCAACTCACAAATATTGTGTTACTGTCCAAATATTTCTGGCCCTAACTGTATGTTTTAGCCTTGATTTAAAGGAACTCAGTGTTTCAGCAGTTCTCTGGCAGATCTGCAGTGCATAAATGTTTTCTAGCTTCCTGGTTTTAGTCAGAGCGCCAGCAGCAGCGTTCTGGATCAAACCCTATTTATTTTTTTAGGTAGACGAAAAGCTAAACACGTTTAGTTTCTCTAGCGGGAACGTTAGAAATGTTCATGTGGTAGAAGGCTGACTTTGTAATTATCTTTATGCGTCTCTGGAGGTTCAGGTTGTTCACGCTGCCATCTTGGAACGACTGTAAGTGACGGGGGGAAAATAACAGCCTTCAGTTACATTTGGCCTGAATGCAGGCCGTTTATTATCAGTTGCATCCACCTGTGTTAATCTCCACCCACAACAGGAAGCCAATAAAATTCAACACCCATCCTTGTTCTTATGCAGACATCAAAATTCATTTACATTTCTAATTTTTTCTCTTTTTTTCATTTACATAGCACACAAATGTGTCCATTCTCATTTTAGTTACAGGTTTGTTCAAATATCTGGTGTCATTTCTGTTGTTGAGCAGTAACAGTTATTTTTCCATCGAACAAAGTGGTATCCAGTGTCAATGTGTTTGCACCTTTAGCAATAAACTGGACTTTTAGAAAGATAAATTGCACCTTCATTGTATGTAAATACTTTTCAGGACAAAGTATATTCCATTCATGGCTTGTTGTTTAAATGTGCTACACTAATAACCTTGATGCGTAATAACTGAACCTATGTACTGAGAGAATATAATATTAAAATAATAAACCTTGTGTCTGTTGTGTTTTGGCTTGTTCCTTCATTGAAGACATTTTATTCGAGTAAGAGCATAATTACTTGATATTTGATCAAGAAGAAGTATGCAATCAAACTTCTCCTAAAAGTGTAATTGATTTTATTTTAGATTTTTTTTAAATCAAATGTTTACAAACTAAAATTGAACTCATTGAAGTTTTACAAATACTAAAGTTCAATAAGAAAATAATGATCGAAAGTAGCCGCAGACTTTTACTTTCTGTTGGATTTTTGGACTCGCGTTAGCTGCTTCCGGTTAGCACTCCGGCCCAGCAGGGGGCAGCAGAGGCGTTTTTTTTTTTTGTTTCTTTAGTCACCGACACATTTCGAAGAAGAGCTGAGACAAACGCTTACAGATGGTGAACCACAATCGGTATGTTTATATCAAACGTTCATTTAACTTTCAAACCAAAGTTTAAATGTAGCTTCTTCTTCTCCGGGTTCCTCAACCTGCGTGTTCCGGTTTTTACCGGTCTCAGAGCTAGCCGCAGCAGGCTAACGTTAGCTCCTGCTGAATCGTGTTGTTAGCCTGAGTTTAACCGTCCGGTGCTTCAATTGCTTTGGGATATATTTAACTTAAAATGTGGAGGTAGGTGAACTTTGGAGTAAAGGCAGCTTCTCTGATTCGCTTACATCAAAAATGATCAGTCATACTCTGGTCTAAATGTGGCGATTTTCTGGTTTTAAGTCTCTGAAGCTTTGAATGTTGGTAAAAATGTAGCATCACTTGAAACACTTGAGGGTCTAATGTGGGTTGAAAAATCAACATCAAACAATGTTTGCTTCAGGGAATTGATACAAAAATACTCCACACCCGTCATATAACCCATTTTTTGTCCAATAACAATCCATAATAAAAACACACATTTCAAACAAAATGGAAATGATCTTCCCTGCTTTTTACAGTGTTGTTGCTGCTTCCAATATTATATTGATATTGGGTATTTAACATATAATGTTTCTCGTAGACTGATGGTGTGTTTTAACCTGTAAACCTACATGGATGCCTCTGAGTTACTTATAAAATAATCAAACACTGTTGCTGTACCCTAATCTCTGTTCCAACTATGCAACATCAGCTTCTTTTCTTGGCATAAATACACTCAAATTTACCCAGATTGGAGGTTTCTTATTTTAGTAATAGACAAAGTAATTATAGTTTTGTCCTCTTTAACCTTTTTTTCCATTTTTGTGATTTTTTTTTTCTTGAAACCATGAGGTACTGTGTGTGGCAGCAGGGAGATCCTGGCACATAAACCCTTCTGAGGCTTTTGTATGTGGAGTTTGTGTGTTTTTCTTCCAGCTTTTGCCCAGAGTCCAGCAGACATTTCAGGTTACCTGGATACTCTGAATTGCTCTCAGATGTATGTCCGACTGTACCATCGGTTCTCCTGTTTCCTGATGACCTGGCATGTGGGTACCCCGCCTCTCATTCAATGACTACAGAAGTTGGCAACACCCCACCGCAGCTCTGCCATGGATGAGATGGAGCACGAAACCCTGTTATTTCTGTTTGTTATCCTGCTGCTGCAGATTTTCCCATTCCTGGTTATGAGATTTGCTTATTTTCTCTTTGACTTTTCTTTATTTGTCATTGCTGGAATGGTTTGCAGCTGTGATTTTGTTTAACAAAGCTGAAGTTCTCCTGTTTCTCTCTTCAGAGAGCGGTGACCCTTTTTCAATAAAATGGATATCTCTTGAACGTGTAAGGTACTAGTAATGGTCTTGAATATCTCTTAAGCAGATTGTCCGTCGCCTTTCTCCAGACTCAAGTTGAACATCGTACGGTGAAGCACAGGGCTCCGAAACTTTCAGCATCTCTGTTGCACCACAGAAAAGACTGAAGTGAGTTTAAAGAGGATGTGAATCCGCAGCCACATGCTTTTTTGAATCTCTTCAATGATTCATGTTTTTTGTCTTAATAAAGTTTGGTTCAGAGTTGGTTTGAATTTTGTCTTGCTATATCACCAGTTCAGTTCATATTCTCTGACCTTGTTCCGTGTTTTTAGTTGTTGCCATTTAAAGGAAAAAAGATAATGTTCTGTTCCAGACATTTGTGTCTTTACTTATTCTTGGTTTCTTTCTGTGTATCAGCCCTGTGATGTTTCACCCTCTTTGTTCTCTCTCGCCAGTAAAAGACCTGAACTTCTTAATGTTGGGAAGAATGTGAAGCTGCTGAGCCCTCAACGCTCACTGGGCGATGGCTGATACCTGCTCTACTCCACGACCTGCTTTTTCTTCAGCTTTTGATTTTCGACTGTTGTCTTCTCTTCTTCAGAAGAACGACTTCCACCATTTCATCCTTGGCATTGTTCAGGCAGCACTGACACAGATCACCAATGCGCTCTTGGTGTCAGTGTCACAACTGGTACCTTAATTGTTAAGAATCTCCCGTCCGCACCGTCCTTCCCTGTGGTGAAGGTGTTCAGCACCCTCACTGCTGGAGAATTGGTAAAGCCATGTCGTTTCCTCCGTACAACCCCTATTCCTCCAGGAATAAAAATCCCACCCAACGTCCCGATCGTCCAATCTATAGTGAAGAGTCAGACATGGACCACTGGATGGCGCGGCACCGTATGGAACCTGATTCAGACTTTATCTCTTCTTCATCATTTTCTGGAACTGGTAAAACTTCAGGAAGAACTATCCCTCAAATGTCAGGGCTGCCGATGACTTACAGGCCTGAACAGATGATGGCCTGGTCAGAAAGGGACCTTGAAAGATCACTTGTTGGCAGAACCAGAGAAGAATTGGTGTCTCCGCATTTAAGCCATGGTTCTCGCTCTTTCTCCACTCAAAGAGACGAGTTTCCTTCCACCAGTATAGAGTCGTATGGTGATATGGGCACAGATGGGGAGCAACGAGATGACAGTGACAACAGCTCCTTGAGCTGGTTGCAGATCTTGAAAAAGCCCACAGAGGATACTCGTGTGAAATTTCATTCACCAGCTTCATCCACCTATCCCAGCAGCAATGATGACAGGTTTTTTGCATCCAGCGAGAGACGGCAAAGTAACCAATCTGTGTCCGGTTACAGACGTTATGAAGACCCAAGTCCAAGCGAACCAGTGCATCCTGATGAGCCTTCTCAGTCGCAGATTACGCCAGAGTTTGCCGCTATCCTTCTTGAGAAATTTGGACTTGAAAAAGAGGACTTGGAATATCTCCTGATGTTCCCTGAAGATGAGATAAACTCTGATAATCTAGTTCTGATCTTGAAGCAGATTCGCCGCATGAAGGAGAAGAGAGCTTCAACAGCGCCTGACTGTGACCCCGAGCCCTCCACAAGCTTCTGTGAGCCGGAGACACATAGCAGCCCAGAAGTGCCAGAGCTTCACGAGGACGATATCTCTAGGGTTTTTAAACCTGCCAAGGTGATTGACTATGGGCATACTGGGAGCTACACTGTGGTTGAGGAAACTAAAGTCACCAGTGGTGGGACTAAAAGCGTACTCGATGGTTATAGCAGCACCAGTTACAAAGAATCGTTCAAAAAAAGTACGTCAGAGGTTGTCGCCTCAGGGAGGAGTCCTGTGACTCCCCGAAGCAGCAACCTATCCAAGTTGCCACAAACGCAATCAAACCAGGCTCCTCAAAAGGTCCACATCCCTTTCATTTCCCCAGAAGACGACAAAGCTTCACCTAAAAGGCCAGTGGCTCACCAAACCCCCACCTTTGTTCCTCCAAAGGCAGGAGCAGATCCACCCAAACCACTACTGAGCCTAACAGTCCAGGCACCTCGGATGTCCTTCACTCCCCTTGTTCTGCTAAAGAAAGATGCAGAAACAAAGAAGAGACCAAAGTTTTCAAGTGCCAACTTCTTGAAAGGCAGTTCTCCGCAAGGGGAGGCGCAAGATTCAAAGTCTAGCACTTCTTCAAGTGAAGGCGCAGAAGTTGGTTGTAAGCAAGATAATCGTACTGATAATCCTCGTAAAACTCACGAGCAGCAGCCAGAGGTTTTGAAAGAGCAGAGGAAAGAGAAGCTAGCAAATGTTCCACAAAGCAAAGCTGCAACGGACACAACAAAGCGAACTAAACCGCCTGAGGAGTCGCGTCCTCTTGTCTCCAGGTCTCTCACCACTCCTCCAGCACAGGCAAACACAGAAGCAAAGAAGCATTATGGTTCGTCAAAGTCCGCGTACAGCAGCTCAACTCCGAAGGTGGCGATCTTCAGGGGTCTGCCGTCAAGGTCGATGATCAACGACTACGCGTGCGTCGCACCGCCAGCCTTTCCACATCGATGCACTCTGTGTGACAGAAAATTTGAGACCATCAAGGTAAGTGGAGCAGTGTGTTCATCATTCTTATATTATTTTGTGATTTGTTGAATATTGGAGAGAACTCGTGTTCAGTCTCTCTGAATAATTAAAATAACATGAAAATTTAATCCAGTGTTTAACTGTTTTTCTCCAATTCAGCGAATTAGAGAAAATCGGCATAAAGTGGACTTTTGTGACGTTTCCTCCAATTTCTACAGTACACCAGTGTCCGGTTCTCCATTTTCCTCTTCTTCCTGCCCTTGACTCACTTTGTAGTTGTCCCAGGTTCTGTGTTGTGATCTGTCCTGATCCAAACCTGCCTGGAAAGCCGTTCCCAAACGCTGACATGACAACTGAGGATGGCAACATCAGACCTGACCAGAGCCCAAGAAGATTGTTTTTATCTACTGTGTGACTTCTGTGTTTCCTGGTTTAAATTATAAAGATTTCTTAATGATTAAGCCAATTTGTCGGGTGTAATTTTTAATGAACTGTTGTTTACACAATGCCTGCTTATTTAGATATGTATTAAAATTGTGGGAAACAATGCGGTAATAACAGTAGAAGTCAATATCTTCAAAGGTTAATAAAATATGTTTGTTGGGTTTGGTGTTGGGAGGGGAAAAAAAGCATTTTATAATTTTTTTTAAAGCTTGTTGGTTGTGAAACTGCTTCCTAACTTTTCTTTGTTTTGATAACCAGCATTGGCTTTTCCACCTCGACTCCACCATCCACCATGAGAACCGCAGGCTCCTTCGGAGACAGTCAGTATTTTGCTCTCAATGTTCTCTGATGTCGATTTATTTCAAGTGGTCACGAGTTTTCTACTTGTAGCTTAAGTATTGGATGCATGCTAACCAGCCTCTCTGAGGTTAGGTGTCTGATTTGCTGCCTGTCCAACGTATAAATGTTTAACGCTGGTTTATAACAATGCGCTAAAAAAGTTATAACCCAACCAGGAAATTCATTGAATTGTTGGCATGTTTTGTGTTTTATATGATGGAGTTCCGCTAATTAACAGCAGTGTGTTTGTTACCTTGTAGTCTGGCTTCCTTTGCTCATGTTGTGGACACATTTCCACTGCGTTAAAAGCTAATTTTTCAGTTAGCGCTGAAAAATTAGCTTTTACCTAAATTAGCCTAAATAAATTTTTCTGGACAAATTCGGAAGCACTAATTCACTTGGCCGTTTTGTAATGTTTCAGTTGAATAAAGTTCAACATTTGTGTTTAGTTTAGTTAGTCTACATGTTTACATTTATGCTCTTATTTTGAAGTGGTCTCACTTTTTATAACCGATGAAACACGCAAACAAAATAAAACATGAACAGCAGAGAACAACCTACAAAAATACCTAAATACTATGACAATATAGAGCCTAAAAGTCGTAAAAATGTAATTTGTGCTCAAGGGTTGTAGTCTTTCTAGAGAAATTTTGAGTTAAAGTTGGGACTTTAGCATTAGCTTCTGCTAACTACAGGTGTTTAGCTTTTCAGTGATTTAAGGGTTATCACAGCTAACTTTTTAGCTAGCAGTGCCCACCACTGCTCCAATCTTTAAACATGGTTTGAAGCAGATTTAATCTTTTAAAACTGAAGTTATTTGGCGTTTGGTATCTTAAGTTATCTGATAAACTTACCGTTGAATTAAATGCCCTTTATTCTGTGCAGTTACTGTCCAGGAGACTTAAAACCTGGTGTTTTCTACAATACTTGTATTTTCTGTCCAGCACTGGACTGTGCTGTCCATCCATCTCTCTTTGGATGATTTAAAGAGAGAAATATTAATTAGTGATTAATGTTTGTTGACTTTCAACTGTGAGGTTTAGAGAACTCTCTGTTTGTGTAACATGTTGTCTCGTTTTATATCAACTTCACCTTTTTTTTTTCATGTCTGAAGAGAACATAATATAGAAAAATATTTTCCCTGTAAATATCCTTTCAATATATAGGCGTGCCTGTATGAAATTTTCATACTTTACAGTGAAAATTACTACTAAGTTATCAGTAGAGCAAAGATGTGAAGATATCCCTCTTTTGCCAAATTGTGACCCGTTTCCTCTTGTTTTATTGCTACAGATATCCAGACTGGGATGGTGAGATACAAGACTGGAGGTAATATTTGTACAAATAAAACCACATCCATTTAAACTGAGAACAAGCAATGTTTACAAGTTATTTTCTGTTATTCTCTCTGTCTGGTCTTTGTAGAGCTAAAAGACCTGCCACCCAGCAAAGGAGTCGTTCTCGTTCCCACAGCGCCCAGCGCCGCTCGCGTTCTTCCTCCCGCAGCCCACAGCGCAGCCGCAAGAAGGGAAGAAAGGACAGCAGCAGCTCCCGCTCCCGCTCGCGCAGCCCTCGACGTCACCATGACTCCAAGAGCAAGAAGACACACCAGAGTTACAGGTACTTGGATTTAGAAATGTTAAAACCACTGCATTCTAAAAGTTCTCAAAAAGTTTCCATAAAACACAAAGTTTTTTCATACAAACTTTGACTAGGTCCCGGTCTCGTTCCTCAAGTCCTCGGTACAAGTCCCGCTCAGCCCACCATTACCGTTCACGATCGAGGAGCCGCGAGAGAGAACAGAGAAAGAGAAGAGAGAGACGATCGTCGTCGGAAAGATCGACTCCTGAACGGAGGAGGTCGATCAGCGCAGAGAGGCTGGCGAAGAGACTGCTGGAAGCATCAGGTTTGATAAATAATCCACAGTTTTGAAAAAATGCAAATGGTTACTTCAGTTTCAAAGTGAAAACAAGGCCTATTGTTCCACGTTTTTACGGTTTGTTTTGTTTTTTAACCCACTGATTGTTTGGAACATAAAGAACGTACCAACCCAGTGATTCTGCTGATCCTTTTCCAGGCGTCCAGTCTCTGTCGAAGCAGTCGGACTTGGAGGCAGTGGTGAAATCCATGACCCCTTCTTTACTGGCTGAACTCAAAAAGCGGAAGTCGACATCGCCATCATTTTTTGTTACAAAACCAGATCCTAAGGAAACCGAGGCAAGTAATTAAGTAATGCAAATAAAACCGTAAAAGTGGAGAAATTACAAATCAGTTGAGACCTTTTTATTGATCACATCATCATTACAAGTCTCCAGTTTTTTTTCATAATATTAAGGTCTCTTGTCCTCTTTTCTCTGTTTTCCAATCAGTTTTACTCATTAATTTACGCATTTTCTGCCTACAAAAACAGAAACATTCAAAGATCTGAAAGAAAATCCAGAGTACGTTTTCTGATGACAAAAACTAAATGTCTGTCCTCTATGAATATTTACTGTCTAGCTTCTGTCTGGTCTGTAGGACGAGCCGAACACGGTGAAGCTCAGAGGGATTTTCAGCAATCACTCGTACAACGACGTGTGGAACGCCATGGAGTCGTTTGGGAAAATCGAGTCAATTGTTCTGTACAGATCCAGACACGAGGTAGGTCTTAATAAAAGATTTAAAAAAATGTTTTAACAAGCCTTCTGTTGACAAAGAGAAGACGGCTCCGCCACGCCCCCTGGTGGGGGACATGTCTCTTCCCAAAGTAATCTCAAATATAAAACTTTTGGTTCCAAGCTGAACTGCTTATTGTTTATTTTTTTTTAAATTTAATAAAATGGTTCAAAAAAACGTCCTGAAATGTGTCTTTGTGTTTGCTGTGCACATGCAGGCTACCGTCATTTTCCAGGAGAAAGACGATGCAGAGGTTCTTCGCAGCATGGAGAGCTTCGACTTCAGAGGAGACACCATCACCGTCGTCACTGAGGTGTGTGAGAAAATCATCATTCTTTAATTCATTCTTCACAAAAAGCTGAAAATGTTCATGTTTGGAAGAAACGCCACAAATACCAGCTTCCAAGTGAAGAAAAACTGCATTTATTTCTGAAATGTTGCATTAACAGTTATGTATTTACAGGACTGTGTTTTCATACCTCCTGGTTCCTCTTCTGCTTCTAAACAACAGAAGAAATCGTGAGTTATATTTTAATAATCCTCCGATTCTTTACGTTTCTTCTCGTTGAACTTTAACCTTTCTCCGTTTTCTCTGCTGACTCAGAGACGACGCGGCTAAAGCAGAAACGTCTTCGGCTGCAAAGAAACATAAAACGGAGGGAGACGGATCAGGAATTAAAACCAAAAAACCCAAAGAGTCGGATGAGAAGCCTGATGCTGCCGAGACCGAAAAACCTAAAAACGATCAGCGAGACGTTTCTGCACAAGAAGAACGTCAGGATGCAGGAGACGGTAAATATTTTACTTTCTACACGTATTTGTTTTAAACGCTGCAGGGATGAACAACATATCAGCATCGGTTCGATAAATAAACCTGGACTGATAATTATTTTCATCTGTTTATGTTTGTTTTATCAGCCAAAACAGCAATATTAATTAATAATCAATTAATGTCTTCAGTTAATAGTTTGTGTCTAAATTCACTCTAAAATTTGAGTGTTTTGTGTGATTTTAAATATAAATTGTTTTCAGTTACTGAAGTTAATGAAACAAGCCTCATAATGATTATTTTTATTATTAATATTTTATTAATAATATAAATATTAATATTTATATTTGAAATGGTGCAAAGATGATGGTGGATCAACTGTCTGTTTTCCATTTTGTACAAATTTAACCACAAGAGAACCAAATGTTCACGTCTTTATACGTTTGGAGAACCAATTATTTGTGGGAAAATGAATAATTTAAATAACTTTATCATCACTTTTGGTAGCTTCATGTTGCTGGTTTGAATCCTGGCATGTGTCTTGATTTTCTCTTTGGCATTTCAGCTCAGAAAAACTAAACGAATAATTAACCGTGTGTGTATTTTACTGTTTGCGGTGCTGATTATTCAGTGATTCCTCTCAAGCTGCAGCATGTTGGGTAAAAAACATTTCCTCTCTCAGACTCTGAGGTGAAGCTGGAGTCGGAACCGGCTGAAGCGGATCCAGGTGACGATTATCACCTGGACCCAGGAACCTCCCAGACGGTTGGAGATCAGCTGAAGTCGCTGCTGCTGACAGAAACTTTCAGTAAGAAACGAAGTTCTGCCTTGTTGTTGCTTCTCCATCGTGACCTCCAGCTTTAACTCTTGTTCTCTTTTGCTTTCAGATTGTTTGACAAACGAAGAAATAAAGTCGGCGACAGAAGTGAGTCGCCTCTATTTTTCCTCACAGTTTCATGGACTTTGTTTGATCCCAACTGTTTTCTTCTGTAGTTTCCTGAGGTGTTTCTGATCAGTGACCTCCCAGACGCTGAAGCCTGCAGCTACACGGAGGCGGAGCTGACCGAGCGGCTCGCTCCGTTTGGGTTCAAACACAAAGTCGACACCATTTACTGCCTTCCTCAGTCCGGCCTGGTGAGCGCCACATTACAGCCAACCTTGTCCTTTTCTTTGATTTTTTCACACTTAAATGCAGAATTCGTCGAGATGCTTGATATTCAAACTCCACGGTTTTGTAATTGAGTTCAGTCTAAACGTTGAATGAAAGCGAACATTTAGAAAACATTATTTACAGTTGAAACCACATTTTTTCCCTCTATTAAGTCTTTTTTTGATCAGCTAATAAATAATATAATAGTGCATTGAAACGTTTTTGTTTAGTTAATTTATATTGTTTTGAATTTGAAGTGCAAAAGGAGCAAATCCTTCATGTTTGTGCAGGTTTATGAATCCTGATGTTGTGGTTGAACTTTCCCATCAGGCTTTGGGCATCATGCCGAGCGGCGAAGATCTACGAAACCTCCTGACGGAGACGTGGGACGGCGTTGCCTTTAGGGGGCAGCAGATCCGCATCAGGCCTGTTTGTGGCGGCTTCCCAATGACGCCTGTAAGCATCAGATCGTCTTGTTCTTGTTTAAAATAACTAAATGACCTTTTAGTTTTTAACATTTAGATTTAGCTGTTGGCGGCCATTTTTATTTTTATTTTTTTAAATCTACTTACCTGCAACATGAACCAAAGTAGAAGTTATTTTTGTTTCTTCTCATTTCAGTCGTTAGTTTTGTTTGTAACTAGCTGCTGTTAAAGTGTTTTTGTCCATTTTGTCTCGTTCCAGTTCCAGTTTTATTCTGCTCTGATGAAACAGATTCACCGTGTAAGTGAACACAGCCACACACAGCTGCAACCCGTCTGCGATGGTCTTTGTAGATTTAAATTTATGCGTCATTGGAAGCTGAGACTGTTGAGACTCCAGTGACGTTTGCAAACGACTGTAGAGAAATGTTTCTGTCAATTTGCCTTAATGTGGAGCTTAACTGCGTAACCCAACATCTTAACCAGGAAATGACTGATAGGTTTTATAATAATACAAGAATCCAGACATTATATTATTACAATAAAGTTTCAGTTTTATGAGAACTCACATGAAAAATAGCAAAATATTAAAGTAAGGATTAAATCTTAAATCTGAGAAACATCTCAGATTATGTTCTTAGTTCACAGGCAGGATAAACGCATCACAATGTGATGGTTTCATGTTTGTTCATATCAATAATTATTGATCAGTTTTTTAAAAATTATATGAAATAACGGCGTCTCTTACGTCCCGAGTAAGAGACGCCGTTTACTTACCCAGAATCCCCCTCACCAAAGGCAACTGGGCTTAATTCTTTGTTTTCTCTTTTTCTTCTCAGATTATATCAAACTTAGAAAAATCTCCCGCTTTACGGTAATCTGGTTTGTTTCTGTTTTCTTTACTGCAATTTTATTACTTTTAACCAGTTGTGAGCAAAACCTTAAACTGCTGCTGCGCCAGTCACTTGACATGTTGTTGCTAGGTAACCAGGAGTTACTCTACAAGTCGTTGCTAGGCAACCAAAAAGCCAGTCGGTTGATTTCAGCGTTTCTTATCTGGCTGTGAGAAGTCGAGTGAAGCTTTTCCTCTTCCTGTTTCGGTTCTGGATCGAAGTTCAATGAATAATGTTGAATATTCTAATTATGTATTTATTGATCTATTGATTGATTGTCCAACTCTATTGATACAAGTTCCTTTTTCTTTCTTTTTTCTTTGGGGCCTTTTCTGAAACTCAAGTCTCTTCCCTGGATTTTCTCGTCTATTTTTACTTTTAAAATGTGTCATGGAGGCGATTAAAGCCTTCAGAGCCTCTGATCGATCAGATCAAATCAATCAAATGCCATTTAAATCGGCTGTTTTTATGTAACGTTCCCGTCGGTGTGCGGATCGTTCATACAGGTTTGCTGCTTTTCTCCAACCAGAACGTCATAGACGACGGGTCCAGAACCGTCTTCTTCCATGACGTCTCTCAAAGTGAAACCCAGGAGCTCAGAGAGTTTCTCATGAGCGGCTTTGCGGTGAAAAACTTCCTGCCGCTTCTCAACAAGGTATCGACACACCTGGACCGTGTTGTGCGTCCCGCCGAGCTCCAGCTGGACTCACCGGTTTGTGTCTGCAGGTGTTTGTGGAATTTGAGTCGAGCAACGACGCGGATCTGCTGGGGCTGTCGTACAGCAAACAGGAAGCCGGTCGCTCTCACAAGCTGCTGAGGATGATGCCGGCGGACGCCATCGGAGGTTCACGAGGTGCGACTTCCTTTAGGGATCAAACCGACTTACATCTCTGGAGTTTTGCTTCTCCGGGACGCAAAGACTGACGTCCATAACGGCCACAGTAGGACAGAAAATACAAATACGAGAATAAATTTATATTAAAGCTTTTTTTCGGAGACTATTTTTGCATTTTGAGTTTATTCCCAGATTACGACTTCACTCTAATTCAGTCTGATTCTTGAAACATTCTGACTATAAAGAACAAATAATTACAAATGTTTCAACACATTTTAAAGGTTATTATACATTATTTAAATATAATAATTTGTTATTGTGATTGTATATAAAATAGTTCAGCGTGTTTTTGCAAATGTATTGAAATCAATACAGGGGGCGCTATAGTTTCTATGTTATCACAGAATTAAAACCAGGTTATAATAAGTATTTATTTACATTTTACTGGAAAAATCCTCAAAATGAAAAATGAATTTTTATGGTGAAAGTAAAAAAAGAGAAAACTAGCAACTAAGAGAAAATTACCTGATTTATAACCAAATGCATAGAAAACAAACCTTTTGTGTTTTTAATTTGAAAATGTTCTATTATTTCTGTTTTAATGCTTATGCTCCTTTAGAAAAGAGTTTTAATCTTTGAAAGGTGTAAATAAAATGTACTGAAAACCTGAATGTTTTTGGACCATTGAAGATCTTTTTAATTCTTCTGCTGTTTCCACCCCAAACATGATGTCGCGTCTGAATTTCTAACCTTTGGGTTTTATTGTTGTCCAGCCCATAATATTCTCTCCTCCCCCAAACAGGGAAATGTAACGTCCCACCAAACAGCAAGCCGCCATTTTGGATCACCATGAAAACCGACCCGTTTATCTTCCCGACGTTGTCTCAGTGGTTCGACGTCCCGAGTAAGAGACGCCGTTTACTTACCCAGAATCCCCCTCACCAAAGGCAACTGGGCTTAATTATTTGTTTTCTGTTTTTCTTCTCAGATTATATCAAACTTAGAAAAGTTTCCTGCTTTACGGTAATCTGGTTTGTTTCTGTTTTCTTTACCACAAGTAGCCGAGTTCAGACATTTACTTGTTTTTAAAAGGGAATAACATGAAATTAAAAAACTGTGCCACATTTTTTATTATAAAAAACTGTCACATTTATTCACAGAAGATGATTAAGGCCACAAAAACATTGACTTAAATCTCATCATTTAGTTTTTTTTAAATCTTCTGTAAAACATTTTAAGTATTGTGGCCAAAGAACTTACTCTCAAACGGATGTGTTTATATTTTGAACTTCCTGGTTGTGCAGGAAGTGGACGGTTGGAGCGCGGCGTCCTGCGCCATCATGCTGACCAACCTGCCCACCGCCGGCTACACGCAGGAGGACGTGGCCCGCCTGGCCTGGCCGTATTTCCCAGAAAAGACGCTCAGAACGCTTTGCTCCAACGTGGTCGTCCTGCCTCTGCAGAGGAGGGTGAGGAGCCGACAGCCATCTGGAAATCACTGCAGGGAATCTGGGAATGTTAATCTGGGAATGTCTGGGATTAGGGATTTTTTTTACGATACTAGGATTATTGTGAAAACAGGAAATAAAAGGAGGGGGAAGGTGACTGTGTGATGTTAGCTCCATAACTTTAATCAAATGAAGCAAAGTTGGTGTCAAACGTTTGTGCAGCAAAAAATTTTAATTTTAAAAATATCAATAAATGCTTCCAGAGGTCAAAGGTTAACCACACGGTTCACGTAATACAAAAAATGTTTTTTGTGCTGTTATAATTTTTAAGCTAAAGTAATGTAACAAATATTTCTGCTGCACAAACGTAGCAACACCATGTTTAGTTTTTAAATCAGGTTAATTGCAGGGTTTGTAATTTAATCATTTTAGCAGACAGACAAAGCAACAGAAGCGTTTCTGATCATTCATGGAACTTTTCAGAAAAATATTTCTTTACCAGGAGTTAAAATCTTCATCATGACTCACAGATTTATATTTGTGACTGTCATAAAGAACCGTCTCTCTCTCTGTCCTCCAGGCCTTTGTTTATTTCAGCGAATGGTCGACATGCAACCGTTTCATCAAAGATCATCTGAATAAAGTTTTGAGCATCAACGACTGCCAACTCAAAGCGTTCCTGGCCCTGAACATGGAGCATCACGGCGCCAGCGAGGTTCAAACATCTGAGTTCAATCAGAAATTTAAAGAACTTTTTAAACCACAATTTAAAATATGTTTACTTTTTCCACCGTTTTGCTCCGAAAGACATTTAACATGATTTTACATTGTTTTCAAAAACAAATGTGTGTTTTGTCATCTTTTGCAGGCGATGTTGTACAAAAATGCGATGAAATGGAGTAACGCTGTAAGTTTTGACTAGTTTAAACTCTGGTTTCATTGGATCCGTCCTGAGGTTCTGGTTGGTTCGTTTCTCAGCCGGTTTCCGACTCCGACCCCCTGGAGGAACGGCTGCTGTCTGTGGAAACCTTCGACGCGTCTCCAGATGTCGTCACTGTGGTCATGAAGGTGGTGGCGTCCGTCACTCCCTTCGTCAACTTCCTGCATCTCGCCAACCGGGTACGATGAGGCGCAACGCCACCGAGATACAGACACTGGAATAAATTAACTGGAATAAAGTAACTGTAAGGTTTAACTGGGGATGAAAGAGGAAAAACTTCAATAAAAAGCTTCATTATTGTAAAAAAAAAAAAATTCAGATTAGCAACAAAAGTCAGGATGAAGCATTTAAATTTAAAAATGGGATTTCAGGAGTTTATTCCCTAAATAAACATAAATCTCAGTTATTCAGATTCACGTTTAATACGTAAAAAAACCCAGATTATTTTGCTGATGGTCTTGATTCTGTTTTTGCCCTCAGATCTACGTTGAGATGTCCGACTCCGCTGCCGTCGCTCGAGTGGTGGAGAAAGTTTTCTTCCTGGACGATTTAACTGAAGATGAAAACTGGTTTGTTTTTCTGATCAGAAGTTGAGAAAATGGTTGATGATCCCTTTTATTCACTTAATTATTTATTTAATTTGATAATTTTCTCCTGTCTGTTTGTAGGACGAAAGTTGGACGCATCGAACCGTAAGTTCTCCATTTGTGGTACCAGTTACCCAAACAAACAAATTTGATCACAACTAAATGTCTAAATTATATGAATCTTATCTTTAAGCTTCATATAAACTATTAATCTGACCACTGGCATCTGGTTTTATCTGGTGACCGATAAACATGAAACCTGCTCATCAATTATCCATCAATGGATGATGAGAGAATAATAATAATCATATAACCAGTTAAAAACATTTCAAATATTGTCTACTCATCTGATGTTGTGGTGCTTGAACGCTTGTTGGTTAAAAATCCAGTTTAGTAACCCTAATTAAACTGCGACAAAATGGTAACGACACTGAATAAATACAGAAACTGCTTGCCCTACCTCATTTGCCACCAGTTCCTTTCTGTATTTTTTATATAATTTAAGTGCAAATATCTTTGCACACTTGAACTAAGATATGGACTCGAAACTAAACCAAAAATACTGGAAATCAAACTCGTTTCTTTCTTCATTTTAGGTTGGTGACTCTACAACAGCGACTGCAGCTAACTGGAAACCTTCCCATTGACCTCGAGACATACTCGCAATCTGTTAAGGCTGATCGACAAGTGAGGCCGAAACCCAAACCTCCAAAAGGTAAAATGCAGTAAAAAAAAAAAAAAAGAGGGTTCTGTTTCTGGAAACGTTTAACACCATTTTCCTCCAAAAACAGAAGAAGGAGCTGCTGGTTCCAAGTCCAAGAAGACGGAACGTCCCAAGGACGGCGAGAAACCAGAGACTGCTGCTCCAAACGTAGCAGAGATTCCTCAAGAGGAAGATAAACCCACGGAGGGTGTAGTGGCACAGACGGACCAGCAGGTGTCAAAGACTGTAACTCCTGAGGTTCTGGTAGAAGAAACATCAAGTGGAGATCAGCGTGACGGTTCAGAAGTTTCTGGCCCAATTCAAGACGAGAAAGACTCTTCCAACGTGTTTCCTGCAGCAGAACTCTCAGAGGAAGTGAATTTAACTGATGATCAGTCCGTAACTGAATCTGCAGTGGAAGACGTGAAAGAAAAAACAGATGATACTTCCACTCTGCCAGAGGAAAAGCCCAGAAGGAGCACAAGGAGCAAAGCATCTAAAGCTGAGGAGAAGCAGGAGACGATGGCGAGGAGATATACGACAAGAGCCAAAACCGTCAAAATGGAACAAGAAGACGCACAAGAGACGACGGACACTACTAATGTAACACCAGACGCTGCTGAGCAAGAGGCGACTGAGGAAGATCAACCAGCGGTACAACAGAAACCGAAGAGAGGAAGACCAAAGAAAAACACCACAGCAACTAAAAAACAAATGGCTGCCTTGACGAAGGAGAGTCTCGACCAAACTGTCAAAGAACTTGACAAAACAAACTCAACGACTTTGAAAAAAGATGTGGCGATGAGTGAAGAAAGAAGTGAAGCAAAAGATGAACTCACCAAAAAGGAAAAAGATGACATGATACCATCTGGAGAACTGCTGGTGTCAGCGGAGCAGAGTCCAACTCAGTTAGTTGGTGGCGTTGCCAATGCTGAAGGGTCCAAACAGGAAGTGGAGGAACCGAGTCCAATTGAGGCTGCTAATGATGTGAAAGAAGAGGAAGATCAACCAGTGGGTCAATGGAAAGCAAGGAGAGGAAGATCGAAGAAAAACACCACAGCAACTAAAAAACAAATGGCCGCCTTGAAGAAGCAGAATCTCAATGAAACTGGCAATGAAGAAGAACTTCATGACGGGACAACCTCAGTCAGAAATCAGGAAGCTGTAGCTTCTACAGATGATCAAGTTCAGGAGATGATGATGAACAAAGAAGAAAGAAATGAAGCAAAAGATGAAATCAGAGAAAAGGAAAGAGACGACGCGATACCTTCTGGAGAACAGCTGGTCTCAGAGGAACAGAGTCTGACTCAGTTAGCTGCAGGCGTTAGCGATGCTGAAGTAATGATGTCTGGTGTAAAAGGCTCCAAACAGGAAGAACCAGAGGAACCGAGTCCAATTGAGGCTGCTAATAATGTGAAAGATGCTGAAGAGGAACAGGAGGTTGAGGAAGATCAACCAGCGGTACAACGGAAAACAAGGCGAGGAAGACCGAAGAAAAACACCAGAGCAACTAGAAAACAAATGGCCGCCTTGAAGAAACAGAGTCTCTGCAGTCCAGTAGTTGAGGAAGAATGTCCTGCAGGAGAACCTACTGATGATACAAACTCAACTGCTAGTAAAGAAGATGGAGAGAAAACAGTGGAGATGGCAGGAAATGAGAAACAGGAGGATCCTCAATTTCAAGTTGTAGCTTCTATCAATGATCAAGTTCAGGAGATGATGAGCAAAGAAAAAAGTGGAGCAAAGGATGAAGTCAAAGCTGAGAAAGAAGACACAATAACAACTGGTTACACAGAGGAACAGAGTCTGTTAGCTGATGTTAGCAATGAAGTAGCGTTAGCTGGTTCTAATGGGTCAAAACAGGAAGTCTTGGAAGAACAGAGTCTCTCTCAGGCTGCTAATGATGTGACAGATGCTAACGTAGCTTTAGTTCCAACAGAAGATATCAAACAGGAAATCCTACAGCAACCAAGTCTGACTTTAGCTGATGTTAGCGATGCTAAAGTAGCATTAACTGATGGAAAGGAGATCAAACAGGAAGTCTTGGAGCAGCAGAATCTGAGTCTGTTAGCTGGTGGTGTTAGCGATGCTGAAGTAGCATTACCTGATGGAAAGGAGATCAAACAGGAAGTTGTAGAGGAAAAGTGTCTCCCTCAGTTAGCTGGTAGTGTTAGCGTTGCTGCAGTAGACTTTCCTGGTACAGAAGAGTACAAACAAGAAGTTTTGGAGGAACAGAGTCTGAGTCGATTGCCAGACGATGCAACAGAAGTCAGAGTGGATTCATCTGCTGCTGAACAGTCGGAAGAACACGTCTTAAGAGGAGAAAGTCTGACTCGGTTAGCTGAAGATGTAAATATCACTAATGAAGATTTATCTGATGAGGAAAGATCCAAAAAAAAGATTTTAGAGGAGTTTTTATCTCAATTTAATGAAGATGTTGAGAATTTACCTGCAGCAGAGGAAGAGAGTCTGACTGAGGCTGCTGAAGATGCTAAAGGAGCATTGGCTAGTATGGAAGACTCCAAACAGGAAGTCTTAGAGGAACAGAGTTTGACTCTGTTAGCTGGTGTTAGCAATGCTAACGAGGCTTTAGCTGGTTCAAAAGAGTCCAAGCAGGAAGTCGGAGTTGGCGATTTAACACATGCAGATCCTGAAGGGACAAAACGGGACGTTTCAGAGGAACAGAGTCTGGATCAGCTCACCTGTAATTCAGAGGATTTATCTCCAGAAGAATCTGTAGCCGGATCAAAAGAAATGACACCAGAACCTGAGACTAAAACCAGTCCTGGGTCCCGGGAGGAGAAGATGGAGGACAAAGATGGCTCCCTCCTGTCTGAGGTGATGATAATGAAGTACTAATGGGTTCATACTGGTGTTTTCATCAAGGTTTTGGCTAAATAATCTTTTTTTAGGCCGTGTTGGATGGAATTGAAGCGGAAAATAAACCAGACGAAACCCCAAAATCTGCTAAACGAAAACATGAAGGCGCCACAGGTTGGTGTGCCTGAATGTTTCCGGGTTTATGTCCGTTTTCAACAACAGAATGTTTATTTACCGGGTTTGGATGGAAATAATTCAAAATGGTTGAATTTCTATACATTTTTCTCAAGATTTGGAAAGTTCTTCGTATTCAAGCTTATATTTTATTAGGTTAGTTATAATTGGCAGATTTCCTTTGTTGTTAAATTGTTTGCTTTTTGGACTAGTTGGGTGAATAAGGCGTGAGAGACAATTAAAAACATTAAATTTAGTTTTATTTTAATTTACCTTGTCTGTGCTGCTGAATACTACCACAAATAATGTACATTAGTGAATTAAAACTATCTTTTTCAGTTTGTTTATGTCACTAAAAGATGGGTCTTTGGATAAAAATATACAAACTCTGCATTTAGATTCCCTTCTGAAATAATTTGACTCAAAAATCAAACTTTATTTTGACAAATTCCAGTTTTTTATTGGACTTTTTTCATGCTGGACTGAAACAAATCTGTTCATTGTGAAGGAAAATAATCGGGTTTAGTGCTGCTGCCGGGTTGAAACTTTGATTTGTCGTTTCAGATGAAACTGTGAACGTCGTAACAGCAGAAGAAGAAATAAAGGAAATAAAAGCTCCCAGAACCAGAGGCCGACCCAGAAAGAAGGCGAAGACGACTCCTGGTACCGGCGAGACGTTTAAACGGAGAGAAATGGAGACAAATCCAGAAAAATCACTGAATGTTTTCTTTTCTTTCAAAGTGAGAAAATCCACCAGAGGTCAAACAGTCAGCGCAGAACCCGAATTGGAAGCAGAAGAAGAGAAGGAATCGCTTTCTGCTGCTTCAAGCGACATTCCGTCAGAGGTCCAAAAGGATCCGGAGGAAACGGACAGCGGTTCTGGTGAGCAGAAGCAACACACTGAATCCAGCTTGGATCAAACAAAAGGTGAAAAATCAAACGTTTCCATGAAAAAAAGGGAATTATGAAAATAGCATCATAGAAACACGAAATTGTAATAATGTCATTTTCACCATTTTCTGCTCAACTACAAGGAACATTTTGTTAATATTCAAAATAATTAAACCAAAATTTAATTATTTAAAATTTATTTTGGAGTCTGAACTCGTCCTGTCATGTTTACTAATGTTGCTAAATTGTCCCAGAAGTTATTGAGATAAACATTATTGTTGTTTTAGACCATTTTAAAGTAACATATTGATAATGGCAAAAAACACTTTAAAAGATCAATAAACTTTATAATTGATTTATTGCTGCAGACTTGATCTCAACAAAACAAAATTGCCCTTCAGTATTGCAAGTTAAGACTTTTGTAAAAAGGTGCAAATTGATTACTCTGTTAAATATTTCCAGCATTTATGGAACAAAAAAATGTTCCAAATAAAAAGTTTTTGTTCCTCAGTTTCCTACATAAACTGATGTTTGAGAAGTGCAGGCTGCCACAGAGCATCAGGATTTTAATTTCTTCTTCTGCAGTAGTTGGCAGACGGCGGAGCGAGCGGGTCGGACCTGGAGCAAAGAGATGTCGATCCCAGTCTCCGACTGTTGCTGCCAACGTCAATCTGCCGCCGTTCGACCCGGAACGCCCTCTAGGTGAGAACGAGACGTTTCCTCTGCTGCTGGTCGGTTGGGTTTAACCCCAACTCACCAGCACTGGAAATCTTTTTACCACAAAACCACCTCAAGTCAGCATAAATGATAACGTTAGTCTGGGGGCTTTCATTTTGAAAATTTTAATGTTTTTTTTTTTCTTTTTTTGCTGATTCAGGTCAGGAGTTCACGGTCCAGAAACTGGCGTTTTTCTGTAACCTTTGCTCGGTTTTCTACCTCAACGAAGGCGCTGAGAAAGACCTGCACTGCTGCAGCAGAACCCACTACCACAACCTGCAGGTAAAAGGAAACAGACGTAGAAAACGTGACCTTGGCGCGTCGGCCGCCTCGCCGTGACGCTTTTCTCCTCCTCGTTTCAGAAACATTACCAGGAGCTCCAGCAGGAACCGTCAGAAAATTCCCAGGGTTGGATTTCTGACTGAAAACAACGATGGAGAAAAAGTTTGTTTCAGTGATGAATGGAACAGATCTGATGACTGAACTTTGTACATTTTTTTTTCCTTTTATTGGTTTAATTAATAAATGAAATGCCCTCAATAATTTTCCTGTACATTTTTAATTGCTAGCTTTGTAACGCTTATTTCCTACCTAAAATATTTTACTGCGCTAGAATAAAGACCAAACTAACTTACGATTAAATCTAGATAAATCACTAGTGCTAACATTCCCGTTTATTTTCCCGCACTTGAAACAATCTACCAGTGGAACTAGAATTTTACTGTTTATGGTAAATAATTTGCTGAAAAATGTTAGTCTATTTTCTACCAGAACAATAGCCACTAATGTTCACTGCAGTGGTTTAGAAGTAAACTTTTATCTAACAGTCCTGAGTTTTATTTGATATTTTAAACAAAAAGATACATTTATAATAATACGTGCACTTGATTGCATAAACTTATAAACTAAAAGTCAGGAAGAGAAAAATAATTTTTAGCTTTTTGGAGTGTGGACAGATTTGGTTCTGATCTGATCTGGATCAGGAAAAACTTTAATCTGCAGGTGGATTAAAAAACACTGGATTTACCTTCACATCCTTCCTCAGATTAATCAGATGAATGTTGTAAAAGTTTCTGGTAATGAATCTGAAAAACAGACAAACAGAAGCCGAGATCAGAGTTTGGTAAAAATGTTTCCACAGAAAAGTTCAACCATTTTCAAGGAAACTGGAGATAAAAACACAAATGAACTAAAAACATTGAAATTTTCTGCATTATACAACAGATATAAAATAAATCATGTTTTTATTCTAACTGATCAAATTATTTAATATTTAAAAATTACATCAGATTAAATTATACAGTTGAGATTTTGGTATTTTAAGGACCAAAATGACAATAATTTGTATAAGTAGAAAACATTTTTCCAAATCAGTTTCTTTCAATAAAAACCTGTGAAACTTTATCTGCAGGTGTTTGTTTTTCATTCAGTGGGGAGAAAATCCAGACATTTGACTCAAGCAAAAGTAGAAATACTCCTAAAAGTAAATGTAACTAGTTACTTCCCGACTCTGGCTGTGTGTAAATATCGTTTTCCAATTTTTTCAGATTTAAATATGAAGCACTTACAAGGATTTTCTACAGCAGTCTTTTAATGATTTAAAGTTTTAAAGCGAACCTGCAGGTTGTCGAGGTGAGCGTGGCTGCAGCAGTGCCGATCCTCGGCTGCGTTCTCGTCCAGGAAGAAAACCGAACAAACGGCGCAGAAAAAACCCGATACGGGCTCCACAAACTCAGCGGCTGCAGGCGGCAGAAACGACGACGAATTACAAACGAAACCTGGAGACTTAGAAAACTGGATTCACTGAATAACAGTGGATGTTACCTCAAAAATATAATTTACATGATTAACTGCATTAATTTATGATACTACAACTAAGATGTGCTATTATATTTGGCCCTTTTTCCTGCATCAAAATACTTCCAGGGATTTGCATCAGTACAATCCTAATATACCAGACATGCACAAAATGTTTAGAAGGGAATTGGTTTCATTGTATCTGGGAATGCAGGGAAATTCAAACATTTTGGAAAGCAATCATCAAAATGATAAAAGATCTTATCTCAAAGGATGTTGCACTAGATCCGGTTTTTCTAATTTTAAGTTTGCATCCAAAAAATAATGTGTTTACCATTATTTTAAAATGTGAAGAGATGTTGATTGATATGTGTGGACTTCAAGCTAAAAGACTGATGGCACTATTCTGGAAGACCAGGGAGCAAACGATGGACCAGGCTGAAAACTTTGCCTCTGGAACGCATTACGCATCTCCAAAGAGGGAAAAATGGAGACTTTGAAAACATTTGGAGACCCTTGAAGTGATGGACTTGTCTCAGGCTGAAGAAGACAGCGAGAGTCAAGTTTAATGTTAAAATATGTCAAACAAAGGAGCCTCAATAAAGGACTGTAACTTTACGTATACTTAAATGAATATATGCAGATATGTAACCAACAGGGCGTTTGTTAGTCTTGTTTATATTTGTTATATGGCAGATATATTTGTAAAAAAACAAAATCAATAAAAATTGTTGGAAAAAAATATACTTTCAGGGTCCAGACTGAACTTTACCCCATCAGATAATATCTCATGTCTAACATCGTAAATTTATGCATTTTCATCTCGTCAGTTTGCAAGAAAAAAAATTATTATTTTCCAACTTTTCTTCTTGTAAGTCAAATTAATTAAACCTTTCCAGACTTTCTGTCAGAAATTGAGCCACATTATTTTATCTTTTAACTAAAAACGTAAACAAATGAAGAGTGGAATCAAAATCAGTTTGTTACTGATGACTGACGAAGAAGAAAGAATATATTCGTCATTACTGTCAATTAATACTTTTGGATTAACTTCTTACTTTTTGTCATTACAATTTCTGTTGTGCAAGTTTTTCTTGTTTCATTTGGATTTAGTTGAAGACAGGCCTGGTTTTTCTTCAATGCCTTAATTTTAGATAAGCTGATTTTTTTAAGGATGCAGATTCTTTGATTCAAAAGCATGCCACACTTTTCAGATGCGTATTTCAGTGTAATTTATCAGACAAATGACAGTGAATGTGACAAAATGGAAACACTAATTATGGACGATAGAAATCCAGACCTGAGTTTTCCTCATTCTTAAGGTTTTCCCTCAAGTCTTCCTTCTTCACATCGACTTCCTCTTTCACTCCATCCAGATTCCTGTGAACTTTCAAAGATGACTTTGTTTCTTTCTTTCTTGTTTCGTTTGCTGGCTTTTCCTCCTCATTTGCTTCCTTCTTTTCGTCTTTTGTCGCTTTCTTTTTGGAAATGTTTCCAGCTCGTCTTTGTGGATGAAATCTAAACCTTTTCGTCTTGTGAACCATTTTTTTACCTTTGGGTCGATTGGTGGTTCTGGTTGGTTCTTTGTCTCTTGAGGCGGCAGCGATGCTCTCTCCGTTAGTTTCTGACTTCATCGTTTGGTAAAGTTTAAAGTCTTCAGACAGAAGGTTGGACAAACGTTCTGGTTTCTGGACTTTAGTCTTGTTTTTGGTCTGGTCTTCCTCACGTTTTATCCAGGTTGTTTCATTTTCATATTTATTGGTAGGAATATGGGATTGGTCACTCAGCTCCACCAGCTTCCTCCTCTTTGGAGAAAAATTCTCTGATGGCGTTTCTGGTTCTGAACGAAGGTTTCTCTTGTCTGGTTTGGATTCTGATGCAGCCGCTGGTTTCAACGATGAGTCCGATTCAAGGTTTATCACAGCCTCACTGGCGTCTCGAAGACGCCCCTTCAGAGTCTTCAAACTTAAATTAAGAGCAGAAACAAGTTTGATGTCTTTATTTTGCAGAAGTTAATATTGAAAATTGGTTCTTTTTATGGTTTCATTTTGGTTTCAAAACATTAAAAACTAGGTAAAAGGCCGTATTTTCAGGTAAAACCCTGAAAACTGAGACTTTCCTTGCTGTTGCCTCTGTGTACAAGTAGCTGCGTTTCCATTGTTGTGATTAAAAACATAAATCTGGAAACGTAATAAAAACGCAGCTGAATGTTATGTTCAATAAAAACAATAATTGATCTACAAAAGGTTTTGTTGTTCATATTTGAAACGTAACAAAAGAGTTTAAAATTATACATATGGACTCAATTCACTCTTTTTGGTAATTCTTACACCCGGTTTTGTCCCCAACACTTTCCAAATCAATCCTTTGTCCATTTATTTCTATTAGTTGTCGATAAATTATTAAACTTTCACTTGAGATTTTATATTTCCATTCATTTCCACCAACTATGGTCCAAACTGGGTTGAGGACAGTCATCGGTAAGTCAAACCAGTTTGACACTAACTACAAACACTAAACAGTAGAGTAAGAATTTCTTACTGTAAACTATGAGTAGATTATAAATGATGACTTTAGAACCGAGTGTCTCAGAAAAAAGTTCAGCATAAAACAAAAAACTGCAAAGAAATAAACAGGTGAAGTTTTATATAAATGACCCGACCACCAAATAAACATCCGATACTCACAGTTCAATATGTGTGACTTTGCTCCTGTTTGGGGGGGGAAAACATAAAAAATGAGATGGATCAGAACCATCTCGATATCATCTGGGTTCACTCAGATCAGCTGAAACACACACGTACCACAGCTGGTGTTCTGGTGAGGAGTTCAGTAAGATTTGGAGAACAGCTGCTGATACTCCGCTTGGTTCAGCCAATTCAATCACAATCTGACAGAAGACAAGTGGAAAACAATTATTCTCTTCATATGTGGGATTCCACAAGGTTCAATCCTGGGGTCCCTCTCATTTGATATCTTCTTGCTCCCACTGGCTCATATTACAAATAGGATTAGCCATCATAAGTATGCAGATGATACACTGTTCTACATTACAATGTCATCAGTCATTAGAACCCATTCAAGCGCTAATGGAACAAATCAATCAATGCCAAAACTGAAGTTTGGACCTAAAGAGGGACAATCCAGAGTCAAGGCACAGCTTCAGTCATTACAGCAGATTAACTCTGGCCTGAACCTTCAGAGCCACATAAAGACAGTTACAAAGTCGGCTTTCTATCACCTGAAGAACATTTCCAGGTTTATAGGAGATCTAGAGAAACTCCACCATGTGTTTATCTTTAGTCGCATCAATGACAAACAGTGTCTTCACAGGTTGTCCTAAAAAAAAATCAATCAGATCCAGAACGGTGCTGCTGGAGTTCTGATTAAAGCCAGGAAGATTGAGCACATCACCCAGTTCTAAAGTCCTACACTGGCTTCCCTTAAGTCAGAGGAAACACTTTAAGTGCTGTTAGTTTATAAATCACTGAACGGTTTTACTACATTAAAAATCTGCTGTCGTCATAGCAAACTTCCAGACCTCTCAGGTCTTCTGGTTCTGGCTGCTAAATCCAGACTAACTCTGGTTAGAGTTGCTTTTTTATTACTTTAGTCTGTTTCTGCTTCAGTATATCACTGTGATGTAATATGTTTATTTTCATCATATAAAGCACGTAGAATTGCCTTATTCCTGAAATATGCTGCACAAATAATCTGTCCTGCCTCCACAGACTAGATTAAAATCAAAATAAAGAAAATCTAGTTCCTTAATTTCTGTCTCTGCAAACAAATCAAGGATCCTTTAAATGTTTACGTTCCTAATTAATCCTATAAGTGGTGCCAAATATTATGACAGAAATGAGGCGAGTTGCCTTCAATGGGACTAGTGCAGACGTTTGGGTCGTTACCCTGTTAGCGAGCGGCAGGAAGTTGATGAAAGCAACAACGCTTGCGACTTGTTTCATGACCACCATGACGAGCTGAGTTGAAGGGTCAGAGATCTCCACGCAGAGCAGCCGGTCCTCCAGAGGCTGCAGCTCAGAAATGTGCTGCAGAGACAGAAAGCTGCAGGTTTAGAAGCTGCTAGTGCTGCTGCTGGTTCCTCTTGGATCGGATCAAAACGACTCACAGCGTTGCTCCACTTCATCACAGATCGATACATTGTCTCCTGCAAACAAAGCATGGACGGAACCAGACAAAAAGTCACAGAGAAATAAAAACCGTCATGAAAAACCCAGAACTATTCTAACGCTGATAATCGCCCTCAGTGTTTGGGGCAAACTCGTACCTCACTGAATCCGGGCTGCATGTCCTCCAACACCAGGTGAACGCTGAGCATGGAGCCCTTCACAGAAACTGGAGTCATGATGTGATTTATGACAAAATCACTGCAGTCGTCCCAGCTGCTGAAAAACACAAAGGCCTGAAGCAGAAAGGGAGAAAACTGAAAAGTTACGACGCAGGGAGATTTTTAAATCTAATCATTAACTTAATGTGATGTTTTTACCCTCCTCTGCAGTGGTAAAACCACCACGTTGTAGAACAGAGTCTGCAGATTCTGTTTGGGGAAATGTTTCCACACTAGCTTAGCGACGTCCTGGTGGGTATAGTTACTCTCAGGCAAACCCGTTAGCATGACGGTGCAGAACTTTGAGGCCTGTCTGATGGTTTTCTAAAGGTTTTAAAGGCACAAATAGAAAAGAAGGCCTAAAATATTCAAAGGGATTTAATGAATACATTTACATAAACAGAGTGCTTTTAAATTTCTCCTCAGAGTGTTGGTTTGCTAGGTATCCACTAGCACTACATCTCAGACCACATTTCTACCACAAGCTACCTATAAATTAGTTTAGTCTTATTTAAAGTGTACTAAAATATTTGCACTAGAAACAAGACGAGAAATGTTCGGTAAGATTTTGTATTCCTCTGTAGCTTTAGGCTCCACTTTACAAACAAGAATTATTTTCCTCCTTGATCAAAATTACAGAAAAAAGAAATTACCTTTGAAACATTCGAACTGACTGTCAGATAATCTGTGGGAGAAAAATGTAACGCAGTCACTTCAAGCAACATCAAGCCTCCCAACGGTTTCCGTTTCTTTTCATTTTGTACCTGGGATGTTGAACCAGGGACAGTGGGTGGGAAACACTAAAGGCTCAGTTGTCATGGTGATCCAGAACGGAGGAGTGCTGCCCTCAGGAACGGCACGTTGTAAAGTCGGGATGATGGCGCCATCGATGGTGTTATTGCCGTCCGGCAAAGCTTTGTTTGGTGCTGCACAAATAAAAATGAAGGTCAGTGCTTTGCTTATGTAGATTCTCAAGTCTGTCCGTGACATGTTGAAACGCGTCTGAAGTAAAATGTCTCGGGATTTTGATGTTGACCTGAAAGTTGAATGGAGATTGGAATTACAGGTCAACGTTTTGAAATCAGGGAATATTTCCAGGGTTTCTGGAAAAACTCAAATTTAAGACTAAAACCTCAAAAAAGTAAAACTTTTTTCCAGGCAAGTGGCAATGAATCTGCAAATACTCATGATTGTTGCAAAAAAGTTAGTTAGCCAGCAAAGGTATGCTAACGGTAAGCTAGCGTAACCTCTGATGACGGTAGATAAACGGTTTTCCTGTAACGGTAAGTTGTTTCTCCACCATTAGCACATTTAGCTTTGAGTACATGAGATTGATTGACAGCTCTAAGACCCTCCTCTTGGCCCTGATTGGTTGTTTTTGGCCCATTTCTTCAGGCGGTCATAGCAGCTTAAGGAGGAGGTGGGGTAGATCGATTTTTTTAACAGATTATCCCTCCATTCTTGGTTCTGATGGCTCCACAAAAGGTCGTTGCTTTCAGGGTGGCAACATTTCAACATTTATGTCCTAAGATAGAAACTGACATGGAGACAGACTGTTGCTGTGAGGTATTTTCATCCTGTAGACTTGATGACCTGGAGAGCGCTTCAGCAGGCTGTACCAAACTCCCAACATGTCCGCCTCCCGTCTGTTTTCAAATTCAACAAAAACCTGAAACGCACAAAGGAATAATTCAGCTTCTTTCTACAGCCACACACACGTGTGTGAGACGCTGCAGTCCAACACCTTGTTCAGAAGAGGCAGGTATCGTGTCACACTTCCGATTTTTATCAGAGTTTCCCTCAGAGTGCCGACTTCGCTCTGGGAGACGTTGTGGATGAAGATCAAATTTCCTCCATCAGCCTTCAGTTTCTGTTGACACAGATGTGTTATTTTATTCTGCAATCACTTATTCTGAAATAAAAATCTGTATCAAAGTGAGAAATAATGTGATACGCACAGCATGGGTCCTTTTGATCAGAAATGAATAAAAGCCCAACTGAAACAAACAGAAACAGAGTTAAGGTTTTTCTTCATATTCATTTGTACTAAGACAAACTCACTGATCTTTAGGAAAGTCTCAGTAAATTTTGTCTTAATTTGTTCAAAAATAAATAGAAACTATTTAGCTCTAACTTAAGCAACAGTGATAAAGTTTTAAAGCTTTTACTGCCCGTTTTGGGTCAAATTATATCCTACGTTCATTTATTCGTCAGATTTTCATAGACAAAGTAACATTCTTTAGCTTTTATACTGAATAAATTTGTGAATTTCCATATTTTGATACGTAAAGAGATAAAATTTAAATATTCTTACTGGCGTCATGGAAACCATGTCGTGAACAACTTCGACTGTTAGTTTATATCCTTTGAAAACTATGTGGTTCTGGTCGGAATAAGCCACGACGTCTTGAACAGTTTTCACAGACGGCATCAGGGCAAACGCCTAAAAACAAAAAGGTTAGGGAGTCAATTTAATAATTATAGCATTCATACATTTTAACTGGGCTTGTATGGCAGAAGTGAAGACATTTTTGTAACAAAGATGGAAACATTTTAAAAATCACTTGTTGAATCAAGAGAAACTTTAATTTATACTCTTTTTCTTTCTAACAAATGTACATTTGCATATAGGGAGTGCTTTTAAATCCCTCCTACGAGTGTTTGTTTGTTAGGTATCCACCAGCAGACCTCAGACCACATTTCTGCTGACTTCCTGTTCCTCACTGCATATATAAATATACAAATCTTTGCTTTTTGTGTCTTTACTGGTTTTCCCTGAATGGTCGGCTGCTTTTCTTCATATTTTTATTCATATTTCGCCGTACTGGTTCAGGAAATGCAAAAAACAAATTAAAACTGCACAAATGGCTGAAGTCTCTCAGGCCAGGGATTTTCAGGTTCTTACCTCCAGTGTCTTGGTTAAAAAGAGAAAAAGGTAAATCTCCGATGTATTTGCTACCCACCATGCACTTTTCAGGAATAACGTAGATGTTGCTCCCCTTAAAGACGAAGCCAAACGGGCGGAGCAGATCAGCAACTTCATCCTCTCTGTAGCAGCCGTCGAAATAGCTGGGCAGGTTTTTTATGAGCAGCACTTTTGCATCGAGGGAAACCAGCTGAGAAAAACAGATTAACAGAGAAATGTTCACACAGATTTTACATTTTTCTGTTCAACTATAGATTAGGCTTTATGTGGAGCCAAAAGGTTGGGAGATAATTTGGAGTAAATGACAGAAACAAGACAAAACATTTGGTTATATTTGCATTACTGATCCTAAGACATATTAAATAGTGCATCAAGCTTACGATTTAAACTAACAATGTATAGTTTGGGTCAGTTTAAAGCAAACATTTTAACTTTAGAAAGCAGATATTCAAGATGCATTTTTCATAACTGTTTAATAAAAACTTACCTTCGGAGACATAATGGTTCTCCTGCTTAAACAACCTGGAGAAGAGAGACAAAACAAAGATTCACAGGTCAGTTGAGATTAATCGACTGATTTTCTAGCTTTTCTTTTCTTTTACTGTTTTTTTTTTTTTTTACCAATTTGTTTTTCACTCAGACATTTCACCAGGTGTTCTTTGAAGGTCAGGATGGCAGCTGAAGGACTCTTTTTGGTAGCTGCAGGAAATACATCAAATATACAGATTAATCATTAACCATAATATTCTGACTTTGAATTCAGATCAAAATTCAAATCCTTGAAATAAAAGCCATTTTTTGAAATATACTTTGTTTGTAATTTTTGTTTTGAGGGGCAAAAAAATCTTTTAAAGATTTTAAGCCATATTTCTTCTTGTTAAGGAGGAGGTTTTCCTCGCCACTGTCACTCCATGCATGGTCTGTTTGAGGGATTAAAGTTAACGAGTCTGTGTTCCTTGTGAGTCCTGCAAGTTAATGACTCGATGCAATCAGCTGCGTTCCTTAGACAAAAACATTTTAAACTACTTTGAATAATAGTCTGAACTTGATCGTATCGCCTGATAACTGAGATCAAATTAGATACAAGACGAGATTTAATACTTTTTTTTCTGTTAACTGTCTCCGTACATGTTGTGAATTGGCTCTATAAAAATAAAATGAATTGTACTACAATAAAGAATAAAACCAATACTTTATGAAGTTGGTAAATAAACCATGATGAGCCAAAACCCACAAATTCACAAGAAAGAATCACAAACCACTGAGTTTGATAGGATTCACTTACCAGAAAAGAAAATACCATCAGATGTTCTTTGATGGGTTTATGTTGTTAAATTTACCTTTTTTCTTTCTTTTTTTCTTCTCTTTTTGCTTGAAATCAGGCGAAGTTCCCTTTTTCAAAATCTGATTTTCACTCCGACTCTGTGATGATGAACCAACTGAAGCTTTGAGGAGATTCTGTTCGGTCTGAGGCAGATCAGCTGGTTCTGGTGTAAAAGCGGAGCAGCTTGATGCGTAACTCTCTACTGGCTTACTGCATAAACTCCTCTGTGGTTCACCTGCAGTTGTAGTTTTAAGCTCCACACAATGTGCTGATCTTATTTGCAGATGTTTCAGAGTTTCAGCATCTTTCAACTCTTCGGTACAAAGAGTTTCCAGGTTTTCTGCCTCCATAACATCTTCATTTTCTTCTTTCTTCACACCCCCATCTTCCTGTTTTACTCCAATTTTAGGTTTCTGTCTCATTTCTTCTGTAGTTTTTTCTTGCAGTCCCTTTAGAGATTGTTTCAACTCTTTTTGTGTTTTTCTGGAGTCTCTACCAGCCACTTTCTTCTTTGTAAACATCAACTTTATAGATCCTGGAAGCTTTAGAGATCTGGCAATCTGCCGGGTTAGGATAGTTCTTGATTTGAAAACCAAAGCTTTTGTTTTTGAGATGCATCTGCTTGTTCTCATCCTTCTTTTTGGTAAAGCCGCATTATTTCTAGTTGAATGTAGAGCCAGATCAGTGCTGGACACAGGTTTTGTTGGTCGTCTGAGGACTTTTGATTCCTCAGGTAATCTGAGAAGACAAGAAAATGAGCTGAAGGTAGAAAAGCTTTACTGTTTGAATATGTCCATTTTAAAATGGTCTAATTAATGTAAGAGAAACTTTCCTTGATTGCAGTAATGTCTGCTTATAGTTGTTTGTTGCTTTTAATAATATGAAACATTTAGCGCTAATCTGTTAACCAGTTGTAGCGCAACTAGCCATGTGGAAGCAAAACTCCGCTCTAGAAAAAAAAAACAACTTTAAAAATGTCCTAAAGTGGGCGGAGCCAAAACACGTAGGGGCGTGGCTACCTGTGAGGATTCACTGTTGGCAACTTAAAAACTTTGTCGTGACTTTTCAGACTTGTCTATAAACTTTTTTAAGCAATCACAAAACTCAAAATACAATCATATTTCTGAAATAACTTGGACAATTTTAAAATTTCTTGTAAACAGTATTTTTCTTTTTTCACAAATATTTATTCACATTTTGAATATTTTTAAATTATCACCTACAATCAAAATCTAAAAAAGAAAATGTATAGAAAATGATTCCACTGAGTTGCAGATTTCTTTGAATCTCGGTCTATTGCTAATAAGTTTGATATTTTTTCATTATTGTACAGTAACTTAATTTTTTTTCCAGTTACTTCGCTGCAGGTATACCTCAATTTCTCAACTGAGGGGCAGTAAATTATATTTCTATCCCACCGTATTTTTTTTTCCCTTTTAAATAAGATCTGATGAATATGTAATACTAATATGCGCTATATGTGCTTTGCTACATAAACAAAAAGTAGACTTAAAGTGTAACATAACCCTTGTGAAAGCTTAAGAATTTTGAAAAGTTCCAAAAGTGGGCGGAGCAAAAAACTGAGTGGCCAACTGTGACAATGCACTGTAGTTAGAATATTTAGTAACATTTTAGGCTCCCCTTGATTAAAAGCAATTTAAAAACCTCTCAAACTTAAGATTTGTATAGTTCTGCTGTTATTTTGTAGTTTTGAAAATTTCTGGAAAATAGTATTTTTCTTTTTCTTGCACAAATATTCAGTCACATTTTAAAATTCTCACCTAGAATCAAAATATAAAAAATTGCAGTTGTACATTTCTTTAATCTGGGTCTGCTATTGCTAATAACATCAATGTTTCTCTTGTGTTTGCCATAAAGTCATCCAATTATTTCTTTCCTTCTTGTTACTTTGCTGCTGGTATACCTCAATTTCAGACAGTACATGATATTTCTATTTTACTTTAATGAAAAATCTATTTTTCCTCTTAAGACCAGACACTGTAGAAAAATGTTAACTTACTGTCGCAAAGCCATTTTCTGCTTCCTATTAGTAGGAAAACATTTTCTAGGAAGTATATTATATAAAAATAAAGATTAAATTTTAACATGTTGATGTAAAGATGTAGGTGTGAATTAAATACAAACTGCTTCTCTTTTTCTTCAACCACAGTGACTGATGTTTCTTGAATATCGAGGCTCTTCATCCTTTTCACTTTTGGTGCATCGACCTGGTTTTTAAAACAAACAGATAAAAGACATTTAAGAGTAAAAGGAGCAAAACTAATGTTCTGTAGCTTAAATAATAGTCAAGTTGTAAAAAACATGTCTGGGCTGTAAAAACACATCTGACAAAATACACATTTACTTTTATTTATATGTATTAGTCCAGATAATTCATAGCACAGATTACACCTGAAAAGCAGAATGTTTTTGATGATTACATCATTTTTGTGATCATTTGGAGCAAAAATTTAATTACAGCAAAACAATTTAAGTAAACTACATAAAACCTTTTAACAAAATATTTCTATCTGGTAGCTGTGAAAATATGCAGAGCTTTAGTTTCTAGAAATAAATTGTTAAAACTTAACTGAAGTAAGAATTTCTCTCCATTTAGTTCTTTGGGTGTCGATTGTTTTACAGAATCAAATAGTCAAGTTTTATTGTCGTCTGATGTGCTAAATGAAATTGAATCTGTACAATAACTAAAAAAGTATGAACAATTTAATTACTACATTCTTTTTTCCATCTATCTCTAAATGTTTTATATCTGCAGTAGAATTAAAAACTTGTGAATTTATAAAATTGTTTATCCATTTCGTCGTCTTTTTTTTTTTTCAATATGGCGTGTAAACATTTATTTTTTTTGTCTCATTTTTGTACTTTTGTATGGAAAAGTTAAAAAATGATTTTAAAAAAATAAGTATTACTGTTCTTGACGTAAGACGTGGCATTTGTACATTCAGAAAATTGGAGACAAGACTAAAACAAGTAGTTTATTTGAATAAATTGAGTTTAAAAAGTATCTTAGCACTAACCTCAGGCTTACTGGAAGAGCCAGGTTCACCGATCTGAAGGTCAGATTTCACTTTGGTCAAATTTGAATCCAATTTCTTCTTTGATGAATGAGAAGATAATGATGAAGAAGAGGATTTCAGGTTCCTGAGTTCAGCCAAGATGATGGGAACCAGAGTTCTGACCACAGTTTTGATTTTCGGTTTCTTCATAAGCGACTGGACAGCTGCAGGAGAGAAAACGTTTGTTTCAGAGGCTCATCGTTGTGGCTGATCTCTTTTCATAATACGGTCAGAAGCTGTCCTGCATCTCCAACCTGATGTTCTCAGCAGCTTTTTGGTTAGCTGCTCTACTGTGCTCGACCTCAGCATTGTTGATCTGTTGTGTCTCCGGTTGGGTGAAGACTTTTCCTTCTTGCTTCTCACGGATGAAGATCGCCTCTGATGGCTCCTCGAATCCGAACGGCCACGCCACATTGAAGATGGTGAGACAGATCTGCCGGAAACCAACATCAGATTGAAGACCTTAAAAACTGTAAATTACCAGCAGTTTCTCTGACATCAAGAAGGCTTTAAAATGGATCTCTTATTCAAAATTCACACTTTGTTCTTTTTTTGTTTGTTTTTATGCTTCCATTTGGGTTTCTACTGCTTCTAGAAACAGCTGCACTTAAAAAAAAAAACAACAACAATACTTTTCAGCAAAACATTTCAAAAACTACAGGAATGTAACAAATCAGCAGGCACTGCCCCGTTACCTAGCAACAGATGCCACGCCCAGACTCATCACCTAGCAACCCAAACAGAGCTCGTACCGCCAACAACGTAAATGGATTTAAAGTGACAGAGGCCCAAACACTGAACTGGCCAGACTGAAATCTCATTACCTAAGACTTATTTAGTGCAAAAATATTTAATGAACATAAATAGACCAGAGAAGTATCCCAATGTCTTCAAGGAAGCATAATAACTCATCTTTAAATTTCTGCCGAAAGATTTTCCTGCATTACTGATGAGAATTTCGCTGTTTTTCTCGTATCTCACCAACCTGCGAATGTTTGGATCCTCCCGCTCCTCTGGTCTGCTTCTTTCCATCCAAGCATTGCGGAAATAAGTGCCTGGAGAGCAGGAACTGCTCCTGGATCTGCAACATTTATCCTCCAGTCTGGATGGACTGATGGATCTGGATCTGGACCCAATACTGTGATCGTAACGCTGGGATGTCTGAGCAGAGGCGGAGGCGTCTTTATCAGGAAAACTGCAAAAATAAAACAACATTTAACCGGTAGAAAATAACCTAAAAAGATACTTTTTAAAAATGGAGTCAAAGGATTTTCATTTGACTTACCTCTCAAACAGTGGTACTGTACAATCCCAGTTTGGAAATCTGTAGAAAAACAGAAAAATGGAAAAAAGATCTAATTTTATTTTTTTTAAACAAATTCTCTTCAATAAAAAGTCCTAATTTGGTTTTCCTCTTGGAAGGGCAAAACATTAAAAAAGAAAAGGGGAAAAAAATGTATTAGAGGTTTCTACTATAGCAACACCAGAAATCTCTTAAAAATCCTAAAATATTCTCGATAGCTCCACAAAAAGATAAACATCCATGAAACGCAGTGAACAAATTTTTAATTGAGGTTTTAAAAAAAGGACACTGACGTTTTGCGGAGGAGAATGCAGGCCTTGATATGAAAGCTGATATTCTGGTGGATGATCCAGTCCTGGCAGGAAGAGCAGCAAATGTTACAGCAGACTCAACGAAAAACATTTTAATCATTGCAGCCAGAAGGAGCATCGTTTCTTTGTAAAGGCTGCTCATTTTGAACATCTAACCAATTCTTTCTGCTTATTTTCTTGTAAGTTTTATGTCTGTTGTATCTAAATAATTCCATCAGGACAACAATGACATAAAAAAGTGTGATTTATGTAATTAAATTCCACATAGTAACTGCATTTAATTATAATTTTGAATTTGATATTTGACATCTTTATGAAACCAAAACTGGAGAAAATAGCATACTTTTTCTTTTTTACAAATTTGACAGTGTTTGCGTGCATTAATTGGAATTTATTTTTATTAGAATACATTTTTACGATGATAAATGATAGAATAATAATCATGGTTATAGTTTCCTTTAACAAGAAAAGGTGGGGTGCGGGGACCCTGCTATTTTTCCTTATAGGTTTGGTGATATGTTTCTACAAAACATAAAATTTTTATATTTCTAGTTGAAATATTAGTTATTTATACTATTTGAGCAAAAACCTTTCTGTGCTATAATTAGGGGTGCAACTAATAATTATTTAAGTATTAATTATTCTGATAAATTGACACATTCTTCAGATTTTATTTTACATTCAACATTAGAAATACAATAAATAAATATTTTTTTATTAAGAAAATATACACTTCTTTTGTGGATTTGAACTGGATGAATATAAAAAATGCCATTTACATTTTGATGTCAATGTAAAAACATGGTGTTCTTATCTTAAATGAAAACTGAATCTATTTTATAGTTTAAGCTGAATTACTGTTCTGAATACATTGTTTTTCAACAAACTCTATTTTTTGACCGTATACTCCGGTCTAATTACTAAATCGATTATTACTTCAAGATTTGATTAATCATTTCAGCACTAGCTAAAGTAAAAGTGAATTCTACGACTGAAAATGTTTTAACTTTAAATTAACTTGTCAATGGAGGGATGGAAAGAAAAGTCCCAACTCACCTCAATATTAACGCACACTATTCTGCAGAGAGAGCAGATGTGTGGGAACGCTCCCGGCATGGCAGCAACATAATCCTCCATCATGGCTTGTGGAGGTAGACCATTGAAACCAGTTGGATCAGGTAGGAACGCTCTGCCTGAAGGCGGCAGCAGCCACTGGGTGGACGCTGCCTCCGGCGGACACGTTGGCCTCATGGATGGAGAAGGAACTGGATTTAAATCAGAGTAACTTTGTATTTTCTGGTATTTCTGCTTTGACATGTTATTCTTCTCTACAACTTCTGTAACTTGTCCATGAGTTTTACTGTCATTTTTGCACATGTCATTAATGGCTTGGTCAGGGTCTCCGTCTCCAGGTATTGAAACAAATTCCTTCATTTCAGCAATTAGTTTCATTTCAGGTGTTGAACTCCAGTTGGATTTTAGTTCAGATCCTTCAGAGTTGGAAGAACTTCTATCGGTTTCTTGCGTCACCAGAGGAAACGAGGAGAGAATGGATTGTAAACTCTGATTTGGTTGGGTCTGCAAGTTATTCAAATTACTGGGTGGATGGTCCACAAAGGTCCTGACTGAGCTAGAACTGGTGGAAGAGCTTTTCTGATCATGTAAACCCCAGTTTTTCCCCTCTGCTGAGCTCCTTCTTTTACTGGTTTCTTCCAAAACTCCATCAAATACAACATTTTGATTGACTCTGTGAATCTGTTCACCTTCTGAACAACAAAAATGGTCAAATCCAGTTGTGCTTGTGACACGTGGAAAGTTTGAACCATCAGTTGTTTTCTTTTTCTTCATAATGCAAATTTGCTCCAAGATGGCAGGCAGATTTGTTACAGTGATCTGGTCTTCAGGGTAGGAGAGGAGATTTTCTAAATCTTCTTTTTCAAGCCCAAACCGTTGGAGGATCTTGGTGGCCAGTTCTAGAATATTCTCTGGGCTATCGGGGTAAGGAGAGGGTTGCTCTGGCCCAGCTTTGTCATGGTTGTCTTGTTTCTTGCCGATATCGACTCTATTATCATTTATACTTGTACTTTCATCTGTAAAACATGATGAATTCATTGTGCAAGAACTAGAATCATCCAAGTTTGAAGGTCCTTCAGAAGAAGAGTAATTTGAAGAAGAAAGCATATTTTTTTATGTTTTAGAAACAAGTGTTTCTACCGTGAAAGATTTCAAATCTGTGCTTCCCAGTGTGGATGTTATAAATATCAGGAAATGAATGAAGGGTGATGGTTAGAGAAGTTGAAATGAAAACATTGCGTCACAGCTTGGCGTTGCTACAATGCTTGGTGTTAAACTGATAGCCTTGCTGTCCACATTGATGCAAAGCTACCAGCTACAACAGGAAACAAATGACCAAATCTTCTTTGTAGCAAATGCTCCAGCAGCCACGGCGCTGAAAGGGTAAAGAAAGATGTTAAATGGAAGTTTCTGTTCCTTAGGATGTTAGAATATGCAACAAAATATCTAAAATGCCCTTTATGTACCGGTAATGAAGTGATGCACAAAAAGTATGTTCTAGAAAATATATCCATTAAATGCAAAATGTAACTTATCATTTTTCAAATAGACAGTAATTGCGCTGTAAATGGACAGATCTAAGAGCTATAAGAATTTCAATTATGAAACTGAATAATGTTAGATTTTTCTACCAAGAAAATTAAAATCTGTAAACTTGCTATAATTTGTTGGTTTAGCCACATTTTATCATAAGAACTATTTACCAGGTTATACAAATTTTTACTTGCACCATGTTACTGATTGCATTATGTTTATCGAACAAGAAATTTATTTCTGCAGTGTTGTCTAATTCTTTAATTACCATGCAATCTATCAAATCAGTTTGCTTTTCGAGTTGCCCAAACAAATTAGCTTACTGGCTGTTGATTACATTCTAATAAACAGAGTGGTACGTGTGTGTGAAATGTGCAAAGATTAAAAAGAAAAAGTTTATAGGGTAGCGTAAATCACAAATACACGTTAACTTGACAACCACAATGGTAACTAACACAAAACAAAAACAATGGCAACTAAATTATGCTAATGAGAAATCTGTCATTCACACAAAAAATATGAACCTATGACTACATTCTTAATTAAGGTGGATTATCAATGATAAAGTTAGACATGTGAGCATAATGTGAGAGAGAAAACATTATAAAACACAGCATTTTAATTAGACTAACGTTAGCGCGGGAGCAAAAACCGTTTGTTAGCCAGTAGGCTAACGAGACGCAAGCTAACAACGAAGCAAACGGCGACGGCATTTTCATCTAAACTGTTTTAGCACACGTTTATTTTTCACAATCACTTGCTACATACCTTTAGTTGGTTTTCTTTCAGCTTACTCATACAAAATTAACCACCGTTTGTCACTTTTTTTGTTTTGTTTTTTTTCACATTCATTATCAACTGGCAGGTGAGCCAGTTTGAAGATGGCGAATCTATTTAGCCATATCCGGTTCAGGTGCTGAATTTCAAAATAAGAGCGTAACTGTTGACAATTTCAAGCGAATTTACCCGATAAGCAGAACCTGTGATCAAAACAAGATATTTACTTATTGGTATTATATATATTTTAATGAGAGAGAAGACGAAAATGGTGTGAATTAGTATTTTATCTCAAGGTCTAAATATATCATGGGTAACATCCTCTACCCATCATTAGAGACAAAACATTAAACAAAATAGCGAAATTAAGACATACTAAAAAAGTAGGCTTCACACACATTGAGTTTTAGTGTTAAATTATATTTTATTTTACTTTGAGAACTATGGATTTCACCTGAAAATTTTCATCATGACAAAAGAAAAAACAAATCTCCCTGAAAGACATTTTCTTATACAAAAATGGCAATCCTGTCAGAAAAGTAATTTTATCTCAAAATAACATCTAGATAATCCAGAACAATGCTTTAAAATTACTTCACATTGTGACAAATTGATTATACAAAAAATGCTTTGTTAGCTATAGTTAACCAATTTGAAAATTACTGCTTAGATTAAATCTGATAATCATGAAAAATAGAAACAAGCAGAGAGTGTAAACAAAATGTATGTTCAAGTAATATTGACAGCAACACATTCTTCATCAAAAACCAACAAGCTGATCAAACAGGAAGATGACCCTCAGCTTTGGTTCAGTGTTTTTGAAGGCTTTAGCTTCTCCCGCTTCTGGTAATATCTCTGAGAAGTGAAAGAGAAACAAACATGAAAAAAACAAGCAGGAGCCACATACATGCAACAGTGTATTGGTTTCTAATGTGTTCTTATGTGAACCTGCAGGTTGTCGTAGTGGGTTTGGGTTTTGCAGTGCTGGTCCTCCTTCAGGTAGGAAACACAACACAGGTTGCAGAAATACCCCCACTTCCGACTCACAAACTCCTTCCCTGAAGTTAAGAACAGACAAGAAAAATGTGTGAATAACAAGTAATTAATCAAACGTCACAGTGTCGGTCATTAGTGAGGTAAACAGAACTTTTATTATGAAATCTGGACATTAAAAGGTACAAATACTTTAACACCAAGTCGTGGACTCACGGCGCAGTACGAGAACCTCTGGTGTTCCTTAGTCTGTACCCAGAGTGGGGTAGGAACAAAGTACAGTTACATTTAAGTAACCTTTTTGAAAAAAAAAATGTACGTTTAGGGGTATATTTCCTCCTCTGTTAACTTGAGTAATTTCATTATGAAGTATTTCTACTCTTACTTGAGTAAAACGTCTGGATTTTTTACCCACTGACTGAAAAACAAACATGTTTTAACCAAAAATTCACAAATCACACACCTGCAGTTTTTGTTAAAGCTTTCTAAGTTTTTATTGAAACAAACATTTTGTCATTATTTTATTACTTACAAAAATAGTCATTTTGGTCCTGAAAATACCAACATTTCCACGTAACATTATATTTTGGTTCATTTGATTATGTAATGTTTAAATATTAAACAATTTGACCAGTTACTCAGTTTTTGAGTAAACTTTTTTACTTGAATAATATTTTGGATGGTTGCCTTTTATCATTACTTGAGTAAAACTATGTTGAAGTAGTGGTACTTTCACTCGTACGATTTTTGGATTCTCTACCATCTCTCGCACCTCTAGGGACACTCAAAAGAAATGTTGGTATATAATATTTGTAAAGGCATGGAAATGAAACACAATGTAGTTAGTAAAAACAAAAAATATGCAGATTAGAAAAACATAAAATATTGTGAATTTCCCTCTGGAAATAACGAAATTATTTATTCATTCATTTGTGACGTATGGGCATAAGGGTGAATCAAGTGTATCCCAATAGTCTACATAAAATAATTAAATTCATAACAGTCTGATATTTCTATATCTACAATAACTCTTTGAAGAATTTTAATTAATATGAGTTACAACAACATTACATTTTTCTTTGGGATGAATAAAGTATTTTTGAATTGAAAAACTACAGATTATCATATATAATCTGTAGTTTTATATTACACAGCAGTGAATTGAGATTTCACTGCTGTGTAATCTCAATTGCACTCAACACAATGAAACGGCATTGTTGCATTTAATACATTGTGTTACATGTTCTGTTTACATCTGAAATCAAAAGAACTTGGTGACAAGTTCTTTTGATTTCAAACAAACAAATGTGTTTTTACAACACTGCAAAAATACAAAATCTTACCAAGTATTTTTGGTCTAGTTTCTAGTGCAATTAACTTGAAATAAGTTACAAATAACTATTCAGAAACATATAGGAGTTTATTTCAAGTCAATAATTTTAAATTATTTCACTTATGAGCTATTTTTGCCATGTCAACCATTCCCTGGTTCCAGGTTGAGCAATTTTTAATGAACAATTGTTGTGATAAATTGTGCGTGTCTCACCTAAAGGTTCATTAGGGTTGAATGGAGGAAGTTTGACGTTCGTGTCCACACAAGGTTTCTTTGATTCAGGTCCTGAAATCTCCATCTTCCGTTTACTGGGGACTGAAAAGAAAGGACTGATTAGCATAATAACAGTGTTGGAATTATTAAACGGGTCATTCTGAGGCAGAGTTATGTTTCTGCTGGTGGACATTCACTAACTTAACAATTAGAAGATACCTCTGTGTGGAAAATATTAGCATTCTTCTGTTTTTTTGTATGTTTATTTTTGGTGTGGATGTTACTGACGCACTTGAACATGATCTCAGCTCACTAGGCTAACTGAGCCGTTGTCAGCAGGTTGCCATGGCAATGGACGCGGCTGTGTGGAGAAGGCACGTGTCTAACCGTTGGTAACCATGGAGACAATGTCATGTAGCCTAGCATGTATGGAAAAAAAAAACCTGGCTAGCATCTCGTATTTTGTTCGTTTTTATCACACAGTGACACAAATCGCGTGGTGTGAATTCAGAGCCGGTAATTTAATGAACGCGTCAGAAGGGAGGCGGTTCGGGTCAGGTTCTAAGCTAGTGTGACTTCCTCCCCAATACAGCACACAGTGGAGACCAGTTGGGTAAATTTCTGTAATGAGTGTTAACAATAACAAAAACACAGTAAGCCTCCCTACTGGTTCGCCAACTCTGTGTACACAGTGGAGTTCCTGACAGACTGTGTCCTACAATAATCACTACAAATACATTTTTATAACAGGTGATCGTATAGTGGATTTTCATTAATATCAAAACTTTCAAATAAAATTCATACAATACTTCTCTTATAAATCAATAAAATCAGAAAAAATAAACATAGGCAGCAGTCAAATTTAACTAACTAACTATCCAACAGTAACTTCCAACTGAAACAGAGAACAAACAAACTGACAGACAGGCAACACAACAAACTGACAACATAATAAACACACTGACAAACTTAACTGAAAAATAACCGACAACATAAATTTCTGACATTTAACATAATATAATTAGCCTACCTGTAATGAGTGTTAACAATAACAAAAACAGTAAGCCTCTCTACTGGTTCGCCAACTCTGGGTACTGCAACAAAACTCCACGTTAGTCTCAGAACACAACCACTACTACTGCTCAGAAAGGAACTGGACTTGATGACCTACCACAGTAGAGCTTCTGACAGACTGTGTGGAATCTGCAGTTCTTCCTCCTTTTATAGGCAACCAGCAGGGGCGCCAAAAAAAAACTCATCACAGGACAACCATAAAACCCATACTAGCAGAATTTAAACTGAACCGTTTCAACTATGTTACATACACCCCCCTTAAATTCTGCTAAAACAATACCAAACATCACCAAAGAAGTACATACTACACTAAAGTAAAAGTATGATGAAGAGAGCACATAATAGTCACATCAGTTCTAAACTTTCCCCAAGGAATAATGTTAGCAAAAGTGAGGCCAAACGCTTACCAACACAGACCCAAAAGATGCCATTTACATCTTTTGATGTACAACATTGCTCTACAAACAATCACTGAGAAAAAAAAATCTAAATAACACAAATTTACCCTGCAATCTTGGTCTTTACAAAGGAAAACAGAGAGTCCACAGTTGACATTTAACCATCCACAACCTGTTCATTCATTTCACATATAAGTCTGGCTGGAGGCTTAACAAGCCTACCCGACCTAGTGCACAGCTGAGACGGCTGAGTGCAAACGACATCAATAACAGGCAAGTCTAAATTCGTGTCAGCACTATATTCGGCTGAAAGATCATGCTGAATAAGCTCAGAGTGGACAGCTGCAGTTGTAAGGTTGGGAACTGGTTCAGAAGAACTTGACAGTGCAGCAGATTCAGGGAGATCAGATTCAGGTAAGTCCTTGGTCACATCACTTGAGACAGGAAACAAAATGTCCACTGAAGAACCGCATACTGGAATGTCAGAACCACAGTCAGGGTGATTTCCAACTTCATCCATACAACTATTGTTGTCCATCTGCAAAAGCCAGTTCACAGATTTAGTTTCATTCTTCTGTACTTCATCAGGCACAACAGGATCAGGGGTCCACTTCCTGCTGTGGAAGGGCACAGGGAATGATCCGCATCATCAGACATGGCAGTAGCAGTGAGAAAGTTGACAGGAAGGAGAAGATTTCTGTGGAGAACCTTTGTCCTTGATGTGACAGGGTCCCTGATGCAATACACATTTATATCAGGCTTCACAGACACCACTTCATACACTGTTGATTCCCATTTGTCTGCAATTTTTCTCTTCCCTCGCTCACCACGATTAGCAACCAAAACTCTGTCACCCACGTCAAGAGGAGAACCTTAAGCTTTGCAGTTGTATGACATTGCTTGATGGACTTGTTCTGATGAACTGTTTTGTTGAGCAATACGGGAAGCCACAGAGAGGTCATGTTTGAGGCGGGACAAACTCATGATGGTCTACAACAGGGCATTTGACAGAGCATGCTGGAAAACCACATCGATGGGTAGACGCGGGATCCTGCCAACAGAAGGAAAAACGGTGCAAATCCAGTTGTTTCATGCTCAGTGCAATTGTAACAGAATGTTAGCATTCTGAGCATCTGAGGCCATCTTGCCTTGGACTGGGGAGGAAGTGCCCGTATCATGTTTCCTAATGTTCTATTGTAACGTTCAACAATGCCATTCCCCATTGGGTGTACGGCGTGGTGTGAGATTTCTGTATGCCAGCCATTTCCAGAAGTTCTTTGATGAGAAGACTTTCGAAATTTGCTCCTTGATCTGAATGAATGCGTTTAGGGAAGCCATATATGCAGAAGAAGTCATCCCACAGACGACGAGCAAACTTGTTTGGCTGACTGATTTTTGCATGGAAACGCATGTGCCATCTTGGAAAAGTGATCCGTTATCACTAGAACATCCACACAACGCTTATCTGGGAGCTCAGCTGTCCAAAAGTCAATACAGACCAGTTCCATCGGCTCAGAGGTGTGAATACTTTCAAGGGGAGCTCTGTCTTTGGGTTCTGGAGTTTTGCCAACTAAACATCGAAAACAGCACTTCACATGGTTAATGATGTCATGTTCCATCCCAATCCAAAAGAATCTCTGTCGGGCAAGAGACAGTGTGCGGGCCTGGCCCTGATGACCGGCTGAATCATGCACCCTTGAAGGACTTTAGCTTTTAAAGAGTCAGGGACTATAAAACTGTCGAGTTGTCATGTTCATTTGTTTGTCTTTCTTAACTCTATACATCAGGCCATCTTTAATGACAAGTTTAGGCCAATGTCTCAGTAGGTTTAAAACACCAGGTGACTCACTAGCTCGTTCACGTCTGGTGGGTCTCTGTGTCGCTGCATATAATAGAAAAGTCTGCCCAGCACACTATCCTGACCTTGCAAATTAGCAAGTTCACTCTTTGGCATCAAGGCAGATTGATCAATGTCACTGAGTTGCAAGACAGCTGGATCAGTGACTCTCATCTGACTGAAACCTCCAGACTCATGTGCCTCAAGAACAGCTGACACATCTTGTGATGTTAATAATGTCTGGGGAGCCGGTGAGGGCACCTCGGCATTGCCATCTGTGCACTCCACAACTAGCTGACAGTTGGTTGTAAAACGAAATGCATCTTGGACCGTTTTGTCCAACATACCATTCACCTGGTTAATTAGCGCGGTATACGGTTCAGTTACAATGCGATGGCTCATGCATGATTGAACAAATGGTTCCCTACTTAAGGCATCAGCAACAACATTTTTGCTACCAGGAACATAGTTCAGATCGAAATTATAGGCAGCAAGCCTGGAAACCCACCGTTGTTCACATGCATCTAACCTTGGCTTTGTTAGTATGTATGTTAATGGGTTGTTGTCCGTCCAGACTGTGAAATGACGTCCTTTTAACCAGTGGCTAAACTTGTCGCATATTGCCCATTTAAGAGCAAGGAACTCCAAGCGATGTGCTGGATAGTTTAGCTGCGAGCGTGAGAGAGTCCTACTGGCAAAAGCCACTGGTCTAGCCACCTTCCCCCAAGAGGAAGCTGTGACAAAACAGCTCCAATGCCATCAAAAGACGCATCAACCGCAAGGATGAATGGAGCATTAAAATCCGGATTATGCTGTTTCTGTAAATACCGCCCGCCGTCCATGAGCCCCAACCGGGCGTGCTACGTTCACAGGCAAGTTAACCCGACTTTAACAAGAAGAAGCCAGGAATAAACCGACAAAAACAACTTTGGAAAACACTTTCAGATCCTCATTTCTATAGCGACATCCATCGTGACGCCTCCAATGATTTAGTGACGTCGTTGAAAAGTGTCAAAGCTAATAGCTAATTGTTGCTATCAAATCTAGTTACAGCAACCAGGTAATCGGTGTTTTTTGGATTTTCAATTGTTCCGTAGCTAAAGCACTAACTACCTCTTACATTTATTGAAGCCGACGGTAAATATTTTCTCTTTTTTACCTTTAACGTCTTCTTTTCTGTCCTCCTCACATTCTTTCAGAGTCTCCCCACCAGGAGATTCAGACTCCCTCCTTCTGGTGGATTTCCTCACTGAAACAGACGATAAATTAATCGGCTTCTCTCGTGTTTTGATGTTCTGGTGTGAGAGTAAGAGATGGATGGAAATCCGGCTGTCTCACCAGGAGTCGTCGCCCCAGCGTTCTTGGCTCGGTTGCGCCTCCTGGTGGTTGTGGCTTCAGTCCCTGTGATGCTGTCTGAGGTTCCTGATGATGGTTCCTGTTCACATGTTACTGGTGAAACATCTCCAGAAGTCATTTCTTCATTTTTGGTTTGTTCCTGTGAATCTTGGGCATCTTTCCTTCTTTCTGTTGGAGTTTTGTCTTCTTTTCCTTCATCTGCAGGTATTGTCTTTCCTCTGATAGATCTTGTTGTGATACTTGGTTCATTAGCATCTACTTCATCTTGTTTTAAACTTTTAGTTGACCCTCTAGCTGAGGTTTTAGTGACAGATTGATCCTCAACCGTTTCACCAGCGTCTTTATCTTCTTTCCCCACCTCTGCCTCTCCACTGCTGTCCTTTGTTTGAGTGTCAAATTGTTTATCTGGTGAATTTTCTCGCTTTTCAGACACATAAACAATGGTGTCCTGGTTTGGTTTTACAGTTAAACTTGCGTCTTCAACGTGCTGATGTTTGTCTTTCTCAGAAACTTCAAGGTTTTCAGTGGCTTTCTCCTCATCACAGATAGCTACGTTTATCTCTTTGCCGTCAATGCCTTCCTTTTCTACGTCATAGTTAATCTCAGGGTCTTTATTTGTTTCTTCATAACTTTCATCTACCCCGTCCTTTATGCTTTTGCCACTTTCATCTTTTTGTGTCTCCTTTTCGGTGATGTCTCCGAGTGTTTTATCTGCAGAATCTGCCTCTGGGCTCTGGTTTTGGTTGGTTAAATACAAGTTCTCTCCATCTGGTGAGGTCTCTGGCTCAAACTCAGCTGCTTTTCCCTCATTACAGTCAGATTTGACCATTTCACTCTCGTTTTCCTGTGACATCCCGACACCTGAAGATGATGAAAGAACTCCCCTAGTCTCTGAATACGAAGAGGGTTTGGGTGAGAGTCTAATTTTTTTAGATTTGGGTGACGGTGATGAAGACGGTGAGCGCTTGTTTTTAGCGGAAGGCGTCTCGTCTGAGCTCTGCTCCTCACTTCTCTTTTCAGGACTCTGTTTTGATAAAGATATGTTATGATCAACAACAACAATGAGCAACTGAGAAAATATCTTTCATGTGATTTAAAAATCATGAGGCTGAAATCAATCAAGGCACCTGCAGGTTTTCAAACTCAAAATTAAGACTTTTTAAAATGATTACATTTTTTAAGATAAAAAAATGTAATTAACTTTTAGATGCACTGTAGCGCAAGCTATAATCACTATAAAACAAGCATGGGACTGCTATTAAGTAAACCTAAATAAAATAAAATAAAAATTTTTTGCTTGAAATGGAGTGAGAAGAAGAAACTTTAACTCGTATAAAAAACAAAGTCACCTGTTGTTTTTGTGTGGGACTTCTTTGTTGGCGTTTGAACTGAAGAACCAGAGATTTAATCACATTAAAACTGTTCATATCCATTTTAGGAAGCTCTACGTTTTCGTCCTTTGACTGGACCAGACTTGCGGTTTCCGGCGCAGAGCAGCTTCTTGAATCTGCTTCTTTTCCATCTGCTCTCTCCACGTCAGGCACAGCTGATGTGGAGTCGGCTGCTTTCTCGGCTTCACGTTTCTCAGGAGTCGCTGCATCAGCTGATCCTGCTGTGGGTTCAGCAGAGGGAACGGGCTCAGCAGGATCTGGGGTTCTGGAGCTTGGTTCTGGACTTTTCACAGCACTGGGATCAGGGTGGTTTTTCTCTGGGTCCAGTTCCAGATGTTCTGGGATGAATTTGTAACCCAGAAGGCGAAGTTTTCTGCTCTTTACACTGAAAGTGACATCAGAAAAAACTGGCTTATTCGGAGAAAAAAAAATATATATATACACAATAGAATACAATCCAATAGTTTGAGATAGAAAAAAATTAAACAATCACTTTTCAGACTGTAATCAACTAATTGTTTTATGTAGCTTTTGACCAAATTTCAATGTTGGATCTTAAGAGTTTCAATTAGTAACCGAATCCCAAATCAACAGTTTTTTTTCCTGATTAATTGTTTTTGAGTTTATCAGCGGTCAAAAGCTGTTGGTGCCGTCTGAAGAAATCCCAAAATCCTGACCAAAAACAACCAACCAGAGCCAGAAGGCGGACCTTAGCGCCAACAATCATCCTCATGTCATCCTAGCAGAGAAACGACTTATCATAAGAAAACCGCTTATCTTGACCATGCTAACTAGCCTAGCATTTATGATAGGCTATGCTAGCTGTAGAGTAGCAGACAGAAAGAGGGTGGGAGATTCGCAGTACGAAGAGTGATTGACAGCACTAAAGACCCTTCTCATGAATCTGACTGACAGATTAAACTACCATAGTGACAGTTTAAACATAAAAAAAATGTTTTAACATAAATACTGCAGCTTTAGGGGCACCATCTGCATGCACAAAATTTTGACATTTTCATGCAAATTTTTACTTGTTCTGCAAATTTTTGTATAAAACAGTTTCATATAAAACTGTCATTGTTACTAGTTAGTTTTAAAACAAAATTGCTAGAGGGCTCCAAAAAATTAGCTAAACATGGTGACAGTCGTAAGGTGGCAACAGTGTTTAGCTTGCCCTGACCCCTCTGCTTATCTCCACACTTGACCACGCCCCTCAGTGTTTCTTGGCTCCGCCCCCTTTGAAATTTTTCTCAATTTTCCAGTTACACTTTAAAATCACCTCTATGGAGTCTGACTAACTTCACATAAAGCTACAGCTTTCTGTGAATATTTGCTCCTTCACGTCCTTTTAGCTGGTTTGTCAAGAAGTTCCAAAAGATCAAATCAACCTCATTATATGAACATATCAGTCAGGAGAAAGATACTAAAAATAACTCCAGAGCCATAACATCCAAATAGTTTATTAATCTTGGTCTAAATTATAGAAAATTAAATACTTACGGTTCAATGGGTCCAACTTTCTTCCTGCATGATGACAAAGAGAAACGACTTTCAGCAAGAGAGACGTTTGATCTAAGACTTGACTGCTGGAAGTGAAACTCCTGAACTTACCAATCGTCACATTTTTCACACAATTTTGGTAGCAGCATGTTCTCCACCACCTTTGTTACTCCGCTGGATGCTGTCATCTCGATATAAATCTGTTAAAAGATAATCATGGACAAAGACAAAAAAATCAATGAAAGATGACCACAATAGGTTTGTAGTTTGTTTTTTCTTCAAGAAAGAAAAAGTGTAACTAAATATATTATTTGTATTTCATTTTTTATGTTGATTTTTTGACAATAATGAAGGAAATTGAGCCTAAAGACGTAACATTTCTAATAGAGACAACTCCAGAAATTGTCCGACCGGAATGAGCCATCTATCAGCGAAACTGGAAACTTAAAAGTTGTCTTAATTACGAGAATAAGACTTCTCATTGTAAATACTTGCATTATTAATATAGAGACACATTACCAGAAGGAAGTTGTAAAATTACGAGAACAAAGGTTATTTTAATAAGAAAAAACACTTCAAGATCTGAAATGATCAGCTCTGTAAGTCTTTCCTTCACCTAGTTCAAAAGTTCTTCTTTTGAATTAGGCAAATTCATTTGCACAACAATTTCAAAGTCCAGTGATCAAGATAAAAAAAACACTAATAATCTTTTAATACATCAGCATCAAAGTAAATAAAACTTTCCTGCCAAGTATAACTTGATCACATTCAGAAATTTGACTTTTTTCACAAAATCTTTACTTCATTCTCATAAATTCTGTTTTTATTCTGAATTTAATGTAATATTATGACTGTTCCTGTTTTATTGCGACTTTGTTCCCGTATTATTGCAATTTAGAAGTGAAACTCAGATCAGGCAATGTCGTACCCGGTCAGCAAGCGGCAGGAAGTTGGTAAACGTAGCGATGTTCGCCACCAAATCCATGACCATCATGACGATATGCTTGTCAAACGCTGAAACCCCGATGCAGAGCAGCCGCTCCTCCAAACCCTCTGGTTCTGGGACAGGCTGGGAAAACAAAGCAACATCTTGGTTTTCCACAAGTTGCTGATGTGGAACCGTAAACTAATGACAGAAGGTGAAAATCGCTCACAGTGTTGCTCCATTTCATCAGAGTTTCGTACAAGGTCACCTATAAAAACATAGGAAGAACGCAAATAAACATCAACAGGACAAAAAGCAGAAATGACTAGAAGTGTGATTATAATCGTGTCCAAAATAAAAGCTACTACTTTAAAACTATAAGACTTCTCATTGTAAATACTTGGAATATGGCGCTTATAAAAACTAGTCTATGCTAAATTGTCAAAAGTTGTACCACCAGCACAAAAGCACTAAGCCAATGCAGTATTTGGCAGAAGCTAATGCTAAGGCACTAACTTAGCATTAGCATTAGCAAATTATATCTCCCTTTGAAAGGGCACCAATTGAATTTTGACAATATACTTTAAATGTTTTCCCTTAGATACTGTATTTATGCTTATATCTTGTTATCCAATGTCCGTATTTTATTTTGTTTTTGTACGTTTCTTGCATACTGAAACAAATGGTGGAGGGAAAAAAGTCTTCAAAATAAGAGCGTAAACTTGAAAAATTAACAGCCGATAATAAAAACTTCACAGATGTCAAATTTTATTAAACAATATTAAAAAAAAGACTACAAAACAACCAAGTAGATAAATACTTTAGAATTTATCTGGAAAATGTATTTAGGGGAAGCTAAGTGCGATAAACATGCTCAAGGATAGCAAAAGCGCTAAACAAAAAAATTTGCTCTAATATTAGCAGAAATGTGCCAACCACTGGGGCGGTACATTGAATTATCTGTGGGACCTCTAAGTTTTAATACCTCGTCATCTGGAAGGGGGAGATGAGTCTGCACTAAATAGGCGTAGATAGTGGAGCGCTTGAAGGTAATTGGCTTTCCAAATCGATCTGCAAAAAAGGCGAAGCAAGCATGCCAGCTCTGAAAGAATACAAACGCCTAGAGGTGAAAAAAAGAGAAGAGAGTCACATCAAAACCATGTTTCACGAACCAGGAATGTTACAGACAAACATCAGTAATTCCTTACCCTCTTCTGTAGAGGTAAAACCATCACATTGTAGTAGAGCGTGTGAAGATTCTGCACATTAAAATATTTCCACACCAGAGCCGCTACGTCCTTGTGTGTGTAGGTTCCATTTGGCAAACCCGTCAACATGATTTTTGGTTCCATGAAACCTTTCGGCATATACTTCTACAGGGATCAAGATTAAAACAAAGTTAAACAATTATGCAAAGAAGAAAAACACAACTACAAGAACAGAAAGTGCCGCAGATTAAACTTTTTTTGAAAGGCATTAAAAATTAACAAAATCAAATAGAGCAAAACAACAGAATAACTTCGTGCAGACTGTATGAAAATCTCGTGAACAGAAAAAAAACTCTTACCCTTAGCTTTCTTGGTGAAGTCTTTTTCAAATAATCTAGGAGTAAAAAAAATAATTAAATTATAAAGTGAAACACACAAACTCAACCTGCAGAGAAACATAAATTTTTATATTTTTAAAGATGTCCATTTGTTTGAGTTTCCCAAATCGGACAGATGAACTAACTTTAGTTTGCTCTGATTTTGCAGATCCAAACCCAATCAGCGTTTTAGCTGCCCTTTCTTACTGAATGTGGCTTAATTAAAACAATTCTGCAAACGAGTGGGCCAAACTCCAGCAGTATTCCAGGCTTGTTTGGATAGTTTTATTCCCTGCTTTATAAAATAAATCCTAATTTGAAAACTTCTTTCTGTTTAGCCAGGTTAGCTATGCTATGCTATGACGCTTATAACAAGCAATAATAATGTAACAATTCTTGATATATTTTTATATAAAAGTAAGCAAGAAATGATTTTCTTTAAAAAAGCCCAAAACAAACCTGACATTATTTATCAGATCAGAAAAGAAGTAAAAGTCACATTGTTATGAGATGTGTTAAATTTCTCTGAGTTTATCTTACATGGGATGTTGAACCAAGGAGATGCAGTAGGGTACAAAAAAGGTCTAGTTGTCATCGTAACCCAAAATGGTGCCGGGGAACCAATTGGGATGATTACATTTCGTTTCGGGACGACTGGATTCGCCACACAAAGGCTCTTGTCCGGCAAAGCCAGTTCTGGACGTCTTGGTGCTGCAGGGAGAAAAAAAAATATAAATCAAAGCATCTTCAGATAAATTTCCAAAAACATTTTCTCGCCAAGTTTTCTGACACTTAGCAGAAATAATTTAGGTAATTCTAGTTAAGCAACAACAAGAAATGCTTGGTCTGATTTAACCTCAGATATATTTCAAATAATTTTTTCTTTTAATGTTGATAATTATAACTCACAACTAAGGAAAACCCCAAATTTGAAATGTATCAATCTGTATGTGACGAATGAATATAAAATATAAATGTTACTATTTGAATGGAATTACTGATTTAAAGTTTTTCATGTTATTCAAATCCTCCATCTCTGAGCCCCATTTATACACTTTACTAATAAAGTTGCCGCTTTAAAATTTGATGAATAAATTTTTTTTTTTTTACATCTATGCCCATGAAATTGATGGAACCATTCCACTTTTTTAAGTTATTATATCACCTTTTTTGATTTTTAGTAAGTTATACAATGAGCACATTAGTTAATGGTTTATGTTGTTTCACAAGGAGCCTTCTTCAGTGTTGTAAGACTCACGCTTTGATCTGTAGCTTGATACTGGCAGCCCCAGCCTGTATATTTTGTAGGAGCGCCGATCCTTCAGGAAACTGTGCCAAACTCCGATCCGATCCGCGTCAAATAAAGTTTGAAATTCAACAAAAACCTGAAACGCACAAAACAGAATGTCACATTTTCACACAGACGTCTATGATTGAGTCTGTTTGTGTTTGTTTTTCACCTTGTTGAGCAGCGGCAGATAGTTTGTAACATTCCCAGTCGCTCGCAACTCTTTTCTGAGATCTTTGGCTTCATTTACTGAGATGTTCTGGATGTAAACGACTTGTGACTGAGTGCAGTTTTTCTGTCGATGCTGCTAGAGGAGACCAACAAGAGAATTGGTTTGCTGCCGTAAATGTTTGAGTCATGGTGAATCGATTCTTTCTTTGTGGTTTTAGCAACATGAAATAAAGGAATGACTCAGGGTGTTGTGAGATACTTACAAATTCGGTGAAACTCATCAAGAATTTATAAATGCCAAACTGGAAAGAAAAAAACAAAATAAAAATCTGAATGTCATCTCCGAACATAGTTTGGTTTGTTGAGCTAAACAGTTACAGTTTAGCTCATGGGGATTTAAACTTTTCTTGATTCGAACACATCAACGCAACTCAAAAATTGCTAAAAGTATATCACTAATGTAAACTTTGAGATAAACTTACTAAATTCGAGGGTTCTTTGCGTTTTATGACACCAAATTTGAGCTTGGACCCTTTGAAGAGGACGTCCTCAAAGGAAGACATCAGATTTTGCACAACCTCTATATTTGGAAAAACAACAAACGCCTGAAAGGAAAAAAAAAGAAAAAGTTACTCACTGAAAAAAAATAGATCTGTTGAGAAAGAAAAGTAAGAATGGCCCTTACTATCTGAGACAGAGGAAGGATGAAAATTTTGTCATCTTCACAGTGAATACCAAACGTCTGGAGCAGAGCGAGGACTTCAGCTTCTGTGTAGCAGCCGTCACCAAACTCTGGCAGGTTCTGGATGACCAGAGTTGCATTGAGTGAAAGCAGCTGGAGAAAAACGATAAAAAAAAAACTTTATTCTAGAGCAATTAACGTTTAGGAGAATTTTTACCAGTACACGTAGCATTTTAATAATCGATTTAACAGCCGTAACTGAGGCTCCCCTTTGCATTCAGAATGTTAGAAATACAAAATATCAAATATTCAGAAAAGTCAAAATCAGTAGATTTCATAGCCATGAATGATCTACAACAGCAACTTTCTTAATGTCTGAGCTACATGAGCAATGCATTGTTTAGCATCATTTTGACTTCTCTTTCAAGCTTCACATGTGAAATATTAGCTTAAAGACAAATGTCAGGGACAAAGATGCGCCACTGTTCTCAAAATTATTTCAAATATTACGCGATCTATATTGATAATACGTCCGATGGATTATTTCATATTCAGTGTAGACAATATTCTCTGAACTCTCACGACTAGCTAAGGGAGGTTGGTGAAATCAAATCACTCTCTCACTCTTTGGTTACCTAACAAAAACTTGATGAGAAACAGGCACAGCAGCAGTTCAAGGTTTCACATTATAACTGTTAAAATATAAAAAAACAACGGCATGAAGTGAAAACTGTGTATAAAACGGTTCAGTTTTCAGTATTTCAGATATTTATAACTAATAATTACTGATAGCAACTGATATAAAATGCTTTTATTGTGATATATTTTTCAGCCACATTGTACAGCCCTATTCAACTTTTGAACTTGCTTAAGGTTTGTACATTATTTCATCGGTTTCTGAAGTATGTTTTGAATCAGGACAATAAAGTCATGGAGGTGATAACCACAGAGAGCCTAAATGCAAACATGTCAGCATAAACTGAATGAAAAAACAGCTTTTCTACAAATTAACAAACAGAAAAGACAGAAAAGAAACACAAACAAAGCCTATTATATTTACTTTTTTATATAAACCTCTTAGTCTAAAAAAATTAATTTTTAAAAGGATTTCATGAGGAGCAGAGCTTGTTTAAGTATGCTTACTGTTGAAGGAGAGATGCACAGAGAGACCCAGCCTGTTAACAAGATCCAGAGATTAATAAAGAGCTGAACCGGAACGATTCAACAGAAATCGCTGAGCTCTGCAGTTCTTACTGAAAATTGTTGTCATGTTCAGGTGATTTTCAATCGTTTCTCCAGGAGTTAAACAAGAATCAGGTGAATTTGTAGCAGACGTTTTGTCAGATGCAGGAACTTCAGTTGTCACAGCTGAAACTTTCTGGTCCTTAAATGCTGAAAAAAAACCCAATTACTTTATGTATCAAAAAGCTTCTAAGAACTTTATTTAGTCAATTACTGACTCAAAGAAGAAGCAGTTTTTAAACATAAAATATAAGTAACTCCTCTGAATAATAATAACTTCTTTTAAAAAGTGCATTAAATTGGAAGTAAAACACTTCAAATTTAAACCCAAACTGCAGATTAATTGACTAATTTACTTTAATTTGCAGTTTAATAAACAAATATTGCAGCTAAAAGTACCTGAGGTTTTTGTTTTCTCCTGCTGGGTTTTTACTGTGGCCTGTGGTCCCTGAAATGGACCAGTCAAAGTTTCATTGCTTGCAATTTTCACTGTTAGCGGCGGATTTTCGGCAGCTTTCACTTCTTCTTTGGCTTCAGCAGAACCTTTGACCTCGGTTTCCTCTGTTTGCTCCGTCTCCTTCAGCTCTGCTGGTTTAGCATCTTCGCTAACTTGGGGCTGGACGTCTTTAACTGCTTCTGCCTCTTCCGTCTTTTCAGTCACTGTTTCACTTCTCGTTTCTGTCGTCTTTTCTGCAGATTCTTGAACCTTTTCAGAGATACCCTCCTGTTTTTCTGAAATGGTGCATATGGAGGCTACGTTTTTGTTCTCTGCCTCAACTTTTTCTGCCTCTTCTTCCATGTTAGCTTCTGTTTCAGCCACAATTTCCTCACAGGTTTGAGGCGTTTTTGTTTCTGACGATACATTTTCTTTGTCTGCTGAGAAAATGCCGGACATTTCTGCAGAATCTCCGACAGGTCCTTGGATTCCAGGCTGCGTCTTTTCATCAGAAGCAGTAGCAGCAATAGGAAGCTGTGCTTCACTGTTTTCAGCTGGAGTTTTAGCCCCAACATGTTCGGCGTCCAGGTTCAGATTTACTGTGATCTGAGCGGATCTGTTGAGATGCTGCTTCAGGCTCTTCACTCTGAAATTAAACCAGGTTATAGATATTAAAAAAAAAAAATGTTCTTCAATAAAAATGATTAAAATTTAAACGTTTTAACAGCTGCAGTAAGTCACTAATGACAAAGCTAAAAATAAAATACTCACGATTCAAGGCTCTGGATGTTTGGCCTGAGCAGGGAAAAACAAAACAGTTTAGACTGAAAGATGAATGAAACTGGTAAAAAAAAAAAGTTAATAATTTGCTACGATACGCACCAATCTTTATCGGTATTCTCTAGCACTTTTGTGACGCTGCTTGAATCCACCATTTCAATGCAAATCTGAAACAGAAACACATTCATGCACATTAAAACAGGAAAGAATTTATCTGTAAGTGCGTTGATTTAGGACGAGAAGAAATTGTCATGTTACATGTCTCAAATAAAAAGATAAAGAAGTTTAAGAAATGAAAAATAAAAACAGGAAATAAGTTTTATTTATAAAGAGAACAAAAAAACACAAACGGCCAAAATGCATCTAATTCTTTTAGAACCAGAACCAAACACGGGGAAGCAGCTTTCAGCTTCTATGCACAAAAAAATCTGGAACAAACTTCCAGGAAACTGCAAAACAGCTGTAACACTGAGTTTCTTTAAATCTGGACTAAAAACCCTCCTGGTTGAAGTTCCTTTGAAACATAATCGATCAACATCGATCAATGTATTTGATGCTTATTGTTTAAAGATGGAACTAGATAAAATGCAATGTCTGTTAATGGTTTTCACAACTGTTGATGAAATTATGTTCATAAAGTAAAGCACTCTGACCTGCCTTGTTGCTGAAATATTCAATGTATATTAACTTGATTGACCGATTGATCGATCGAGACATTATCAAAGGCCAGTGGAGGTGTTGGTGTCGTTGTACCCTGTTGGCCAGCGGCAGAAAGCTGACAATCGGAGCGATGGACGCCACCTTCTTCAAGACATGGATGATGAGATACACAGAAATGTCGGCCATCAGCACAACGACCAGCCGCTCCTCCAGACCTTCCAGCTCCGGAACGTGCTGGAAAACAACAGACAGTTCATTAAAAACCGATCAGACGAAGGAGACCTTCGATGAAGGAAGAGAGACTTACAGCGTTGCTCCATTTCATCATATTTCTGTACATGACCCCCTGCAAAAAGCAATCAATAAAAAAAACTGTTTACATTTTACTTTTATACACAGCAATATAGAGATGCTCATTATCATAAAATAGTTCATTCAAAATCACGTGTCTATTGCAGTAGATATTGCTATTGATTTACTGTCCAGTCCTAGTTTTAATCAGGAGAATCCGAGGGCAGCTTACCTCAGTCTGGCCAGAAAGCATTTCCTGTAAAACCTGGTGGATAAACAGCTTGGAGTTTTTGATGGAAGCCGGACTTTTGAAGAAATCTTCAACAAAACTGCAGCACAACAGCCAGTCGGTAAAGAAAACAAAAGCCTAAAACACAATGAAAGCATAAAGTCAAAATGCATAGTAATGGAGCAGGCGTTCTCAAATTTTTATACTTAGTGGTGCAGAAGATGATTTTTATTTCAGGTCTATTTTTCTTTGATTATGTTTCTAAATTACAAATAGTCCTAAAATGTAACTAATACACCCAACAAAATGTTTGACATTTTGGAAAGCAAAAAATGCATACTTTAAGAATCTGTAAATGGTTTTACATTAACTGTACAGCACCAGCCTCTTCATTAATATGAACAAAGAAAACAACAAGTGACTTAAGAGGCTAAGATTTTCATTTCAGGTTGTATATAGTAAGACACTTGTGTCAAACTCAAGGTCCGGGAGCCAAATCTGGCCCACTGTAGCGTTTTATTTGGCCTTCTTGACTCCAAATTACATCAATAAGTCCCTCTAGCTTTCAACAAAGCAGCAAACTCCTCACATTTTTTCTAATTTTACTGCAAAGTTTTCTGAAAATTGGTTAAAAATATTGGTTTGATTAACTGCTGCCTCAGCGTTACTTGATGTCAAGTAAGAAAAAGTCACATTTAACATCATATATTAGTGCAAATGTTGTAAAAATTTGTAAATGGGTTAAGTGATCCTGAAAAAGTGATGTAATGGAAGAACAGCAGAGTCTTTTTCTCACCCTCCTCTGCAGAGGGAGAACCACAATGTTGTAGTAGAGAGTCTGAAGGTTCTGCTTGGGGAAATAACTCCACACCAGCTTGGCAACGTCTTCGTGTTTGTAGTTTCCTTCAGGTAAACCCGTCAGCATGATGACGGAGGCCCCGGGGCCCTTATTGGCAGGTATCTGCAGGGGTCAAAAACAAGATTATTTTTGTGATACACTGAGATTTTACTGGAGAAATTTGCTAATTATAGCTGAATAGAGAAGTCCGACCTGACTTTCTGGGACGTGAAATATTAAAAAGGTAAATAAAAACACTTACCCACAGGTTCTTCTTGGTTGTGATTGTGGTAAAATCTAAACGGCAAAAATATGAGTCACTTTTTCAGAAATACTAAGTCTTTTCTTACAGTGGCCATAAAAAGTATTTAGAGGTTTTAACCAGTTTTATTGCTTGAACATATCAGTCATGATCAACAAAACTGGTCGTCAAGGGTTTGACCAATAAAAAAAACAAACCGACATTAATTTCTACAAAACAATGACGGATAAAAATATGGATTTAAGATATAATAAGTCACTCCATAAATATTCACCACTTCATTTAGTGGATATTTGTGTGATATTTTTATTTATTACTTTGTAGAAATAAGATTTGAAACATTTTTTGGTGATAAAAAGAGCCAATTTAATTTTTAGTGCCTTGCTCAACAAAAGAGGTTGAATACTTTATTCTTTACTTCCTCTTACTTGGGATGATGAACCAAGGAGACTCGGTCGGGAAGACGTAAGGAGCGGTTGTCAAGGTAACTGAAAATGGCGGTGAGCTGCCCTGCGGGACACCGTAGTTTGTTGCTGGGACAACAGCCCCGGTGACGATGTTGTTGCCGTCTGGCAAAGCATTTAGAGCCATCTTGGGTGCTGCAGGAGAAACAAAAATTTAAATTTAAAAAAAAAAAAAAAAATATATATATATATATATATATATATATATATATATATATATATATATATATATATATATATATATATATATAATCCTTACGCAGAGATGTGTTGGTGCTTCGGGGAAGTTTCATCCTGTAGATGTTGTGAGCAGGGCAGCGTTTCAGGAGGCTGTACCAAACTCCGATCCGATCAGCATCGCGGCCAGACTCAAACTCTATAAACACCTGAACAATGAAATAAATAAAAACCGCACACAGCAGAGTCAGACTGAATGCATTTTACTTTAACAAATGCATTCATTGGAGGAGTGTTTGTTCCGACCTTGTTGAGCAGAGGAAGGTAATTTGTAACGCGTCTGATTTTCCGCAGCATCTCCCTGAGGTCCCGGGCCTCCCTCGGTGAGATGTTCTCGATGTAGATGGTTCTGGTTCCGTCATCAGTCACTGGCTGCTCCAGGAGAAAAATGTTTACGCAAAAAGTTTTGTGTAACTGTTTATTAAAACCAATATATTTTCGTCTATTCATTGTGGATAGTCTCTTAAATGTAAACACCAGTAAAAAATCTTCTCTGAATGAGACGAAGAAAAATTCTTTAAAAATTTGATAAATCATGGACTTTTTTCCCCCCTTTTCCAGCAGTCACTGTGCAGCGAATAAAGCGATAAAACCTGCTGACAAATCGTGCTGGAGCTCTGCTTGGGTAACTGGGCTGGGGTTTCGCTGGGGTTGGTAGGTGGGGATTGGTGCTTTCCCATTTGTGAAATGGCTCGTTTTCCAGACACCAAAAACAGACTTTTTGTCAAGAAACAGCTTTTTTAAGCTCCTGGGTCGTTTATAGAAACAGTAGAAATGGAAGTTGAAAAACATGCCAAAGGTGATAAGTCCAATTTAAAGACATGGTTTGTGTCACTAAACTGCTCACACTAACTGCATTTATTCATAGTTTCAAATGTATTTATATCTATATTTATTGACACTCACTGAAAAAACGATGGAAAAAATGGTAAAATAAAATTTCTGGTAGTTTTTTTTTGTAACTTTTTTTTGTTTTTCAGTTGAATTATATAAAATACATGTCACATTAAAGGCAAAACGAGATTTTAAAGGATTTGTTATTATCCACTGCAGAAAACGCAGACATACAAAATAAATCAGGTCAATTTTTCATTTGAAATGTTACTGATATAAACCCTATCCTTTTCCAAATTTACTTTTGTGTTTCAAGACTGATTATACAGTAAATAAACAGTTTTTAAGTTATGCTGATGAAGAAAAGTGTAGATACTCACAAATCCGACGAGGTCCATCAGAGATTTATAAAATTCAAACTGAAACAAGAACAGAATCGAGTCACAAGGATTACTCAGCATCAGTTTGTGTGAAAGTTTCTGTCATGTTTATGTTTTAGAGTTAGGGTAGAAAGTCTTCGTCCAGGTTTTTGTTTTTAATTTAACTTATGAGTAAAAGGGACCAAAACCATCCTGTACTTTTTTTCTAAAATGAAGGACATGGTTTTAATGACAAAACCTGCAGGGGCCTTTTTGTTTTCTGCTTATTGCATAAAAATATTGTGCGTGTAGTTTGTTTATTTAGCCGGGGAAAATAAAAAAAAGTTGAATGTCGTTTACAATTATATTTAGAGAGAAAAAAAAACAATGAGTAGCTTCAACTTCGCATTTTAGGCCACAAAATGAAGAAGTTTTGGACACAACTGTTGTAGCAGAAGGACTTTTAGTATTGTGATGGAAAAGTACTGAGTGGGGATGTAATGCTCTTGCTTGACAATGAAAATAATTCCCCTTATGGGGTTCCATATATTTGGCCCTTAAGGCCATTGAAGAAGTTCTCCAGCAAATATATCAAACTGCTCGCTCTCCAGTGGGCCCCACAAACTATCAAAATAAACTAAACCATAATGAAGATCCACTACATTAAACCGACTTACTGGAGCCATAAAAATCTTGCTGACGACAATCTGGACGCGGAGTTTCTGCCCGTTTAGAGTCAAGGATTCTTTTTGGGAAGCTTCTTGCGCAGCTTGATGATTGGGCATGAGCACAAAAGCCTGAAATAAAAAAATGTAATCAATTAGAACAATAAATCAGGATAAATATTATGCAGAGTTAGAGTAAAAAAAGTCAGGCCCACCATGCACGCCTGAGGAATCACATAGATGTTTTTTTCTATGTATTGAAATCCAAGCAGATCTGCAATGTCGCTCTCAGTGTAGCAGCCGTCGTGATACATTGGCAAGTTTGTTATTAACAGCAGCCTTGTGTAAACTGAATTACACTGAAATAAAACAAGCGGGAGAAAGTTTGAGAAAGTTGGTTAGCAGTTGTTGGAGAAATTGTGATATAATTAATCAAATATTTGTTATTCTCATTGATCTTTATGATGTATCTTTATTTCATGCTTTCCTTTAAGTTAATCTCATTATAGAATTAAGAATGTTTCTTGTATTGTTGATTTGCTCTGATTCCTTTCTCAGAAGGCCTCACTGATGGAAAGCAGAGACAGTGTTTTCCTGAAGGGTTATCTTTTGGTGAAGAGCTCTGCTTTGTTGAGTTGCTGGAATGCTGTAAAACTGTCACTGTGAAGATTCACAACATATTCTGCTAGACTTTGTGTCTGGAACGAGATTATCTAGTCCAGGATAATTTGTGTATTAGTTAGTAAATGACAACTGGCGCTGTAGCTGTGTGATGAATTGTTTTCCCCTCCCTTTGGAGCTGCAGCATCCTTGTGATTAGGGATCCTGAAACAATAAAAGTGAGGTGCGGACAAATGTGCTTCAGAGCGGTAGGAGATTGTGACGGAAGCACATCTCTGTCCGTTCTCCTCGCGAGTAGCAAGAATACCGACACTTTTGTCTTTTATGTCTTTGTTAAGTATGTTCAACACGTTTAACCCTAACACAGTTCATAAGGAAGGAAGTTTGAGTGTTTTGTCAACATGCCTTCAAGTCTGCAATCATTTAGTCAGTACATTTACAATAACCAAATCTTAAGAGGACTAGTAAACAGATTTATATACAATTGAAGAGAAAAAAAATATATATATAGGTTTTCTGAGACCTTAATATAGAGAGGGACCAAAAAATCTGTTAAATGTGTGGCAGAGATGTGTAAAAAATGTATATATTTTTCTATTGCACCAGCACATGTTGGTCCAATTAAAAACATCGGAAAAATCAGAACTCAAAATTGTAAACATATGTTGGGAATGGGGTGGTACGGAAGAACATTAGGGCCACTGAAAAAAAAGACTTCATCTCAGAAGAAAAAATCAGGATACCAACTTTTACCAAGTAAAGGTTGAAATACATAAAAATAAAAAAAATAAGATAAAAGCAAAATAAATACAAAATATTTAAAAAAAATGTTTCAGTTATTTATTTGATTACTTATTTTATGATAAATATTTTATGGTTTCACAAAATTTGTTTAATTTGGCAGACTGTGTTTGAGCCAGATATCAAACAGCAGATGATAAATTTGTTAATGAGATGAATTAGGGGAAAAGTGCTTGGACCTCCATCACCTCTTCTTAATTAGAACAAACTTTGTTTAGAAAAAAAAGGAACCTTACTTTTGGTGATATAACAGCGTTTTCATCAAGGCAATCTGTAACACAAGGAGAAAGTTAGTGAAAACAGAACTAGCATAAAAATGTATATTTTTCCTTGTACAAACAGATTTCTTACTAATTTTTTGTGGCAGCAGTAGATATTCCATCCTCTCTCCGACGGTCAGGGAGCGATCCGTAGCTGACGAAGAGGAGGAAGAGGAGGAAGAAGCAGCCGGCTGCTGTTTGGACGCTACAATCAGTGTTGGGGAAACGACGCTGGCGGCTGCTGGAGCAGCTTCTGTCTGAGTTTTCTGTGCTCTCACAGGAACTTCAGGGAACAAAAACAAGATTATATTCGATAAGGTTTTGTTTTATCAAAAAAATCTGGTGAAAAATAGTGTATAATAAATTTAGAGTCAACACTTTCACAGATAATTACAGGATTTTTGAAGGAGGTAGGACACACAGACCCATTCAATAAGTGATAATATTATTGATTTCAGTAACTCCAGTAACAATTATGATGACTTTCTGTTTACAGTTAATTAAATCACAACATCTAGGAAATTACATGAGACTACAGATGCAGTTAACAAATATTTTATTAATTATAATTATGATTAATTGAAAATTATGCACATTCTGCAGATTTTTCTATTTTATACAGTATTAGAAATACATTCAAACATGCAAATAATTAAATCCCTTATTTAAAAAAGAAACTAAAAGTTTGATTACCTAAACACAATAAGAGCATTCCTTTAGCGCATGGTTGATCATTTGCAGCCAAGTATGCTATTGGAGCTAAAATACATTGCAGGGTTGATATATTAATTATTGTCTATTAATGGATTAATAATTAGATAGAAAAGGTACTAATAGGAGATCTTTTTTGTTTTGTTTTACAGATTTTTAATTGTGCTACTTGAGTAGTTTTGGGTAGAACATATTTACAGATTGTTAGCTTAATTAAAACATATTTAATTGAAGTTACTCAAGTAAATGTGATTGAGTAAATCTAACTAGTTACAACCCAACTCTGCAAACAAGAATCATCTGGATGAATAATCTAATTGATTTAATATTACTTTATAAATTAATATGGTTTAAATGTTTCTTCAGAAAATCTCTCAACTTCAAGTTTGTAAACATTTGGAGTCTCGGCACCTTTTGCTCCAGGTTTGGAAACTGATGAAGTTTTTTTAGCTGACGCCTTAGAGCGACGACGAAGGTCGCAGGTCTTCTCCTTACAGCTCTGCAAACGCTTTCTGAAGTCCTTCGAACTGTAATAAAAAATGAAACATTTAACTTATGCAAAAATGTAACCTTATAGAGACAAAAAGAAATCTGTATGAATTTGAGTATTGCATAAAAAAATAGCTCTTAGAAGTTTAATGTGAAAAACCTCTCATTCAATCAGTTTTTAAGTTTATTTTAGGAAACTTTTAAAGGCCAACACATTTCCAACTGTTAATTTTAAATGTGAAGAAACTGAGAAGAAAGTAGAAAATACTCACGACTCCACATGTCCAACTCTGCTCCTGTCGACCAAAAAAAGACAGATAATTAAAAAAATGGATAAGTTGGTACTTTTTATACATTTACAATCGAAAATTGTGTAAATTTATGGTGTCGAGTGAAAAAGTGAAGTGAAAAATAAACCAAAAAAACAACAAAATTATTTTATATATTTTTCTGTTTAACATGTTTTTTTAGATGGTATTTGTCCAAAATTACAAAAACACTAAAAAAAGAATGCAACATCAAATTTTAACAACAAGCCAATGCACCACATCTAACAAAACTTTGTGACGATTCAAAATATATCTACTCACAACAAGAGCAACGATTTGAAAATCTATTGCTATTAGGGCTGCAGGAGAGCGAGAGAGAGCAAGACTTTCAAGAACAGCAAATATTTATTCAAGCCAGTTTTAAAATTTAACTCCTAAATTATTTTCCTTTTAAAAAATGTTTTCTAATTTTCAAATTATGTTAAGGAAAAGGTGACAGAACAGTAATATGTTTTTTTTAAATTTATCAACAATTATTCTACTAAAAAGTCTCCATAACTCTTCAACTTAAGAAGATGAGTAAGTATTTTAATTTTCTTCACTGTTTTCTTTTAAAAACATACCAGATCCTGTCTGTTGATAACTCCTTTCTGGAGGCAATTTCATCCACCACCTTCTTCACGTCCATGGAGTCAAGCATCTCAACGCAAATCTGAGGCAAAATAATGTTTTTAATAAACATCTAAACACAACATTATGTAGAAAAAAATATTGTCTCAGTGCAACTTAATTTTAAAAATATATGTAGTGTGTAACAAATACAAACTTCAATGAGTAACTCAAAGTAGTAAGTGGCGTGAAATATTTGTAAACTTCCAGTCAACTAATTTAATAAACCTTGTGTGCATGCATACCTTCTGTGTGAAATAATTCATAAATATGTTCAACTTGGACTCTAAATAATCACATCATGCAAAAATAGAGACAAAACTACAACTGAAAGTTTTATAGTAACTTGGATGAAAGGGAAAGTTAACTTAATATGATGTTTCAAGTTCAAAAAGTTGTCAAAACAAATCATTTTCCGCAAAACTCTGGTCATCACACAGACATTAGCCAAACAAAAGATCTGCATCACTCCCAAATCAAAGTAATGGAGGGTCTAAAAGTTATCAAAATATTTTAAACCATTACAAAGAAAGGTCAAAACTAACTAAAGTTTGCTCAAAGAAAACAGATGGTTCACAAACATTTGACATAAATGGTTACAACAGATGGATTAAAAAAATACCTTTTAGTAATAAAATTCTTAATAATTATCAAAATTAATGATAATTAAAAAACTGCAAAATTCATGAAAAGCAAACAGCAACAAACCTGCATTTTAGAACAAGTGTGACCTCAATAAACAAGTTTTCCAAACATCACATCGCTGTGAAGAAATGTTTAAAAAGTAGTTCAGAAATTGTTTGACTCCCTCACCCGGTTACCGAGCGGCAGGAAGTTGACAAAGTTTGCGATGGAAGCCACTTCCTTCATTACGTCCTGGATGACGCACAGCTGTAGTTCTGTGATCTCCACACACAGCAGCCGCTCCTCCAGGGAACCCGGATCTGCAACATGCTGGAGAAAAACAACAATGGCAATTTGTTAAAGTGACTCGCTTTATTTATGTGAACCACAAAGACACAGTCTTTCCAAGTATTTTTTATCTAGACATTTGACATTCAATAAAACTAATTCACAAGTAACTTTTCAATACGATCGACGAGCTTGTTTTAAGTTGGGGAATCCAAAGTGTGGCTCGGGGGCTTTTTGCGGCTCCTGAATTCATTCAAGAATGAATTGTTGATGATGATGGAGACTTTACATTTACATAGAGAAAAATGATTACAGAAACTAAAAGTTCTCTTACAATTGAAAATAGAACCAATTTTTTTCCAAATAAAATCACGTTGGATTCTGCTGAAGCTCCACATCTATCCAGTTTCCTCGAATTTAAAGCCGACTTTGCTGCTTTTAAATAATTTATTAAACTTCATAGAAAACAGAGTTTTGTTTTTTTAAAAAGAGCAATGCCTTGTATCCTGATTTTATTGCTCAAAACTGTTACTTTTGAGCAATAACACTGTTAATTTGTTACTTTTTTCCAGTTAACACCTAAATAAACTGAAAATTTCAACAACACTTTATTTGCTTTATTAAATTATTACATGCCCAGTTTATTGTTTAGTAGGCGAGTCTAAACAATATAATTATCTATTGGAAGGGATTTAATTCCTTCATATTGATGAAAAAATTACTTCTTCATTGGCAAATTAATTTACCTGTTAAGACACATTTTTCCCATTTTGTAAGTGAAATAATCTGCCAATGAGCAAGTGTTTTTTTCATCAATATTAAGGAATTACTTACTTAAACCATCCCTATATTTTGCTAAAAACTTACATGTAAGTTAGTTTTGTCTTGTATGTAGTAATATTTTGTGTTTTTTGTAGTGTGACTGCAGATTCGACAGAAAGATGCGTAAACTCACCGCGTTGCTCCATTTCATCATCGTTCTGTACATCACTTCCTGTGAAAACAAACTGAAATAATTTCTACAAAACCGCATTTTATTTAAAACAATGGGAGTTTTTTCCATCCATATATATCCAAAAAATGCACAATTAAATTGAACAGTTTGGAAATCAGCAGCAGATATGGCCTGTTTTTAAAGGATGATGGAGCACAGACAGGTTTCCATACCTCAGTGTTTCCCGGTCGAATACTCTGCATGACCAAGTGGATGGACACAGGCGAATTCTTCACATGAAACGGCTCTTGGCGGATATTCAGGATAAAATTGCTGAACGCCTCCCAGTCGCAGAAAAACACAAAGGCCTGGAGCGGACGAGAACAAAGAGGGAAAAACAAAGAGAATCTATAAGTTTGGGTTGATTAAAGCCAAACATCAGAGTGCATTTTAATCAATCAATAAGTTTATTCACCCAGTTCAACAAATTTCATCATTCATGTACAAAAACACTCATATTGAAATAATAAAAACTTTCATTTATTTACTGAGAGGAATGAACTGATAAAAGTTTCTGACTTTGTGTCATACTGATGGAACTAATAAAATAGAGGTTTCAGTGAAGATGTTTTTTCTTCTCTTACCAACCGAAACTCCTTTGAACCGGGTTTGATTTAGGGACAGAGCTCCCAATTAATCAGAGATGGGAGAAACTGAGAGAAACTCCCTACAGGACAGAGATGGATGGACGGCACCGAGTATGTGACTGATAAGAGAATTGTATGCTTTAAGTTTATTTCTCTCACATGCTGATCGCTCATATTTACTCTGATAAAAAATGTAAAGACAAATGCGCATTTCTCTGATTGATTCAGTGTCTCTCTTTATCAAAACAAAAGAGAATGTTACTAAACAGCACTAAACAACCTCTGATAATTTTTGGACTGTTGACCAGTGTAATTTGATCAGTTCCTCAGTAATATGTTTTTACTCCTCTTTTACTTTTACTCTAGTAAAAATATGTAGTAGTAGTTTTAGTGTTACTTACCCTCCTCTGCAGAGGGAGGACCACGATGTTGTAACAGAGAGTCTGAAGGTTCTTCTTGGGGAAATAAGGCCACACCAGCGTGGCGACATCTTCGTGTTTGTAGTATCCCTCTGGTAATCCCGTCAGCATTACGGTGCAGAACACAGAGGCTGGGTGGGTAATTACCTATCACACAGTTCATAAGAAAATATTTTTGAAGTAATAGAAGGTGAAATGTTTATAAATAAGGATGTGATGCAGAGCACATGCAAATAAAACACATTACAAAACTAAAATTCAGAAGAAGATACAGATTTACAGAGGCACAACCACTAGAAGGAAGCAAACGCACCCAGTGCAACACTTTCATTCTATTGGCTGAGAGGTTGCTAGGCGACTGTGCCAGACAGCGTTTGCAAACGCGAGCAGAGTCTGAGTAGAGACTAAGTGTGAACGAGAGGAGAAGCTATGAGTACAAGTGTTACAAGTTTTGAGAAGAAAGACATGAAGTCCTTATTTCAAAATGAAAATGTGTGCTCCTGGATTATGGCAGGAAAATTTCCCCATATAAGTTGTTTTTCCTTCTTTCAAGTGTACTACAAGAAACTAGACTAAAAAGACTTGATAAGATTTTGTGTTTTTGCTAATATGTGAACCATTTTTTTCCTGTTGTGGTTAGAAATCAGTAGGTTTAAAATAAAGTCTGTGTGTAACGATCGCTCACCGAAAAGACTTGATTCCAGTGGACTGTCAGATAATCTACAAGCAAAAAGCAACAACAAAAAGGAGTAAATCCAAAAAACTGATTTAGATCATAACAAGTACATTGTGTTTCTCTTACTTGGGATGTTAAACCAAGGAGAGGCAGTTGGAAAAACATAAGGTTGCGTTGTCATGGTCACCCAAAACGGCGAACATGTGTCTACAGGGATGCCATATTGCAATGTTGGTGTTTCTGCCCCAGCAATGATGAGATCTTGGTCTGGAAGTGCTTTCAGTGGGAGTAATGGTGCTGGACAACCAAAAACAAGATCAATGGAGAAAGATTGTCAACAAATGGTTTTTCTACTTAATTTCCACTTAAATTTGTATTTTGGTCCATCTGATGATGTAATATTTAAATATCAAATGATAATTGGATCAGTTTCTTGGTACATGAATCAACTTTTTACCAAATACTTTTTTACTCTTATTTGAATAAGGTCTTAGAAGGTTATTTTTTACTTTTATTTGAGTAAAGACATGTTGAAATAGCTCTACTTTTACTCAAGCACAATTTTCTGGTACTCTGTCCACCTCTCATGTAAAAAACATATTCTTTATAAAAGTTCCATACTTCAGTTAATACTTTCATAGAGCAACATTTCTTACGTTGTGATTCCTCGGAGCTCATTGGTACAGTCAGGCGTTTAATCATGTGAGTAAAGCCCACCTTCAGGAGGCTGTACCAAACTCCGAGGCGATCGGCGTCATAAACAGATTCGAATTCAATGAAAATCTAAAAAGCAGAAGAAAATGTATAAACACTACAAATCTGTGCATAGAGATAAAACATGAACTTTGAGTTTGAACCTTGTTGAGCAGAGGCAGGACGTTTCTGACGCCTCCAATCTTTCTCAAAGCCTCTCGGACAGTGATGGCGTCACTGGGCGAAATGTTCTCGATGAAGATCACGTTCGATACCTTGACATTCTGCTCCAACAACGCAGAAAACAAACAAAAACACTAGTTCCTGAATTTCATTTCATGTTAGCTGAATTTTGAGTTTTAGGATATTTATAGTAAGCAGCTGTACATCTTCAACTGATTTTTAACTCCGATACTACAGAACCGTTCAATGCAAGTTCAACCTTTATCCAGTAGTTCGTTCATTAAGTTTAACATGCTGGAGTGTAGACTGATTTTTCAGCTGGGAAATCCATCTGCATTCCAGCAGCTGTCATCTATTTAAAGACCAAAGTCAAAAAAAGAAGAAAGATCTGATTGTCAAACTTACGAAAGATGCAAGATCCATGATCAATTCATAAAGACCAGCCTGAAAGGAAAACAACAAAGTGAGCGGAGGTAAAGCCGGAGCGCACAAAAAGGAGTTTCTGAGTAGCAATAATGAACAAGTTTTTATCTATTCAGTCAATAAAGCAATTAAATAATACTGGCATCTTTCTCAAGAAATAAAAAACAAAATTAGAAAACATTTTATCATTGGCATGATGAAAATGGATTATAGTTTTTGTAATAATCAAACAAACATTTTTGACACCAGAGCAATAAAAAATAAAACATTTTCTACTGGTATTTTAACTTATTGAGGTTGGAAGTCCAAATTGCCATCAACCTAAACTTTATCTCCCTCCACAAAAGTTCTGCCAGATTCTGACTGGGCCAGCCCAAAACACCACTTCCAGTCAGAGGGAACATTTAAATCCAACTTTAAGGCCTAGACATCCATGCTTTTGGTTTTTATTTTTACATTTCAAATAACCAACATGTACTTACCAGTGTCACTGAAATGTATTTTTTCAGGACATACAAACAAAGTTTGTGTTGTTTAAAGATGAGGTGGTTTTCTTCTGAAGCCTTAACCAGACCCATCAATGACTCCTTACTGGGCACCAGCACAAAAGCCTAAAACAGAAGAAATAATAATAAAAAAGAAATGTTTCATGGCAAAACCTTTGGCAGGTATTTCACGATTGATGGACCATTTGATGTCATCAAAGTCCATGACAGTCAAATTGACTGCATTTTGTGCAGTTTACCTATTAAGTGTGAAAAATCTCAAACTTTTTCATACCTTGTTCTTGTCTTTAATCAGTTTTTAAGGGAAACTAATACAATTCTAAATTCGTCCATGTTATTTCAACTAGGAATGCACATTTTTCACTTCTGATACAGATATCTGAGGTTTAGCATCTGCAGATATTGATCCAATGCAGAAAGACACCGTTGAATTAACTTAAAATGTCAATTTAAAAAAATAAAATAAACAAAACAGATGTAAATGTACTGAATTAAACATGTATTTGATAACTCTACACTGAAATACACCAATATCTTAACAAGCTTGGTCAAATAAGTAGAATCAACTTTAATTTGTTGGAACTGTTGCAGGACTGTGAGTCCTGAAAGTCCAGGGCTGAGAAGCACAGAAATGAGATACTTTAACATTATTCAGGTCTAAAGAAGCCAGGAAAAATGTTGATATTCTTCCAGTATCAAACAAGAATTGATCTAAGTATAAAATCCTCAGTGCACTTTGCTAAAGCAAGCAAGTACATAAAACCACCAAGGAAGTCATTTGTGTTCCACAAAAAGCTTTTAAAAGCACTCAAGCCGACTTCTCACTATATCTGGTGAAAGCAAAACATTACAGAAGTAGACATATAAATAGAAAAGAGACATGTAGACAAACAGTCAATTTATGAAAAATTTTGTTAAATTACTTATTTGACAACAGAATGAGCAAATAAAAGACTGGATGGGAGAATAGACAACTTTTAGACAAAGCAATAGAGAGAAACTTGCTGACTGATCCAGCTTGGGAAAATACTGAGATAAGATTTTCAGACTTTTCCAGAGTGTCTAGGAACCGTGGTGATAGACATAGACATAACTAAAGCAGCCTGGTGCTTACGATGCAGCCTTGAGGACAGATAAAGATGGCGTGACCCGAGTATTGAAATCCAAATGTAGAGAGCAGGTCCACAACGTCCTTCTCAGTGTAGCTGCAGCCGTCATACGAGGGCAGGTTGGTGATTAGCAGCAGCTTCGGGTAAACGAAGCCGAACAGCTGAGAGGAAATAAAAGAAACAGAAAGCAATTAATAGAGGGAAATACCTTGCTGGCGTTGGCGTAGCGCTTTAGCATTAGTGGAACTAATGTTTATGATTAGAGCTTTTTAGCTAGCGGTGCCTGATTCACTTAGAAATAGATACTGATTAAACATATCAGTGCAGAAAACCTCCACATAACAATATAAACCAAACTAGCATTTTATTTATGCAACTTCATTAGAAAAGGTAAACTTGAGTTTAGTCAAAGTGTAGAGAAAAGACAGAAGGATGGAACTGACCCTGGGATCCAGGACGCTTGTTGCCAGAACATAGTCTGTGAATGAAGTACAAATCAGTGAAATCCAGTCCCTGTAATTAGCTTACCAAAACAAAATATGTCTGACAATCACCTTTGCTGTTTAGGTTTAGTTGATTCAGGAAATCAGGAACAATCCTCTCCCCAACAGTCAGCTGCTTTTCACTCTCTTCTGTTGAGGTTTCAATGGTTGGACTGGGTGGCTTTGCAGGATCTTTAAAGGACAGAAAATAAAAATAAAAAATCAAACAAAAATAAAAATATTTAAAAAATGCAAATTAATTTACAGGTGAAAAGGGTAGAAATATATTTTGATTGTCCAGTTGTCTTCACCTGTTTGATTTGTTTGCATCTCGATTGGAGCGTCAGCAGAGCTTCCTGCAGTCTGTGGTTCTGCCTGCTTTTCCTTGGACTTCAGATTCTGTGCAGTCGACTCTGGATTTGCCAAAGTTTTTATTGGGACAGAGGTCTCTGGATTTTCACTGGCTATTCGTTTCAGAGGCAAACCGGTTAAAAATCCTCCCGCTGCAGGTTCTTCACTTTTTTGTTCTTGTTCTTCATTTTTTATGGGCTCTGGCGCTCCACTTGTTCCCGACTCGCCATTTTTCACATTTTCCATCTGTCTACTAACTGTGTTAACTTGGGTTTGTTCTGTTGTTTCAGACTGTCCAGGTACAACAACTTCTTGAAGGTTTGTTGTTGAGATTTTGGCATTGAGAGTCTGTGTGTCAGACTCAGAGGGTTTTGCTTCAACTTCTTCCATTTTCTTGCTGCTGGGTGGAAGATTTTCACCCTGCAGGATCTTTGTTTCTGATATTTTTTTCACTTTACCTACCAAAGAGGCATTATTTTCTTTCACCCTTAGTTTTGTTGCAGTTGGGATCTCTTCCTTGCCTTTTGATTTGTGTCCAAGGTTACTGGAACTGAGTGTCATTTCCAGCTTTGGAGCTTCTTTCTTATCTTTAGCTGATTTTACAGACTGTTTTGCTGCCACATTGACTGTTGTCACAGTTTGAACCATCTTCTTCTTGGAGACACACTTTCCTTTGGAAGCCAAGACTTTGGCTTTTTTCACAAGCTTGACTGCTGTGCTCTTTTTGGACTTTTTTTGGATAGACAAAAGCGTCTTAAGTGGCAGGAGAACCAAGTTTCTAGCAGAAACAGACTGATGGGGCACAGTGGGCTTTCTGTGAAGGAAAATGAAAGACAAAAAGGTTTAAAATCATATTAAAAACAGTCACTATCTCTGTTTTTTATGACGGTCATGACATGCTGCTAATCCACCTCATTTGCTTTTGCTGTTTCTCTTTAAATCTGCCTGGTTGTTTGGCTAGAAAGACGTTGGAGGAGGGGATAGATACTCCTGGGATTTGGAGTCGCAGTTCAGATATAGTTTTATTTATATTTTATTTATTTATTAGGCTTCTTAAACTGGAACTTGAGTCTGAATTTTATACCATTTACAGAAAAACATGAGGTGGTCTGACATTTAAACCCTTGATTTATTTGAGCTTTTGCGATGCTAATCAGCTTGTGCTAGTTGAAAAATGTCATAGCAACTGTCCAAAAAACATAAAATAATAATTCTTAACCAGACGGAGTTATCCAAACATCAAATGAATTAACCAAAGCAATTATGAATCTACAAAAAAATAAACCACAACTGACGTAATAGAGCGACTCCGACGCGCCACAGTTCACTGTGGTTTTAAAACTTATTCATCTGACAATCTATAAATCAAGGACAAAAGTTGAAATGCAAAATAAAACTTAAGAGGAACTAAACAAGGCAACCAAGTTATCTAGAAATTACAAGGGTAATTAGAATACTAAAAACACCAAAATATTAAGAATTTCTTGTTCATTATCATTTGTTTATGATTGCTGTGGATATAAAATTGTTCTCCTTAGAAGTTTTTACAGTGTGTTCAGTTGTAGACCCCAGTTGAAATGCAAAAAAAAATGTGATGAATATCTTAAAGCTACTGTATGAGTGTGATTGTGGAAGAACTTACTCTGGACTAAGATTTTTCTGATCCTCTGGAGACGCAGACAAAGGTGCCTCTGAAACGCTGTCCTACAAATTCATTCATTGTGAATTGGTCAGGTTATTGCTAACATGAGGGCATTAAACAGAAGCAAATTCATTTTAGCTGCAGAAACATACCTGCTTTGCAACAAATGTGAGGGAAACTCCTTTTATCTCAAGGTTTTTTAAACCTTTGAGCTTGGAAGCATCTTCTTCTTTTTCAAAACACACAGTCACCTAAAAAGACAGGACTTATTTAACTGCTTTCACAGAAGTGCTATTTGGTTTCCTCATTTTCAGAACAAAGTATTTTTAGTTTATTTTTAGTTATACGTTTTAGATTATTTCCAGTTCTTTAACTGGTCAATTTTATTTCTCATTTTAGTGACGTTTCTCTTATTCTGTAATGCAACTTGTTTGATGACGGATCATCTACATCTGAGACTGTAGCTCCTGTTAGGTTGCTAGACTGTTAGTTCCACCCGGTAAAGTACTCTTTTTTTGTTTTAAACCAACCATAATAAAGTTTCGCCCTAATGAGTTTGAGTTTTAACACTCTGATGTGCCGGCGGGACTTCTGCCGAACCGGACACAGAGCGATAGAAGTACTTACCGGATCACGCAGTGCGACCAGAGGTCAGTCATTCACCGTGTCATTTATGAAGCTAAAGGTGGCAGCGGCAGCAAACACCAGCTACAGCTAACTCTGCCCTCTTCCTCTGTTTGGTCCTCCTCATCTTCATTACCTCTGATAATTTCTACATCCCAATCGATTTCAACGCGCTCCGGTTCAATTTGAAAAGGCTTGCAGACGTTACTCATCACTGTTTTGGCTGTTATAAAAATTTATAAAAACTAGACAGCCCACAGTATTACTGCTATTGTTCTTACATCTAAAATAAATATTTCTCAAATAAAATCTGTTGTTGCAACTAATCCTGGTTCCTTTTGAAAGAATTTTGCATCGTCTACTCGGTTTATTAGGATAGTGCGATTACTGTATGAACAAATGAATCACATCCATAAAGGGCTTCAGTGTCTCATATTCATAGTAATATAAAATGATCAGAATTAAATCTGACGGTGTGAGAGTTAACATTTTTACTTTAGTTTTATGCAAATTATTTACAGGTATTAAGTAGCCGCAGATGGGGACCAAATAATACAGAGCCTACAAAGTATGCAAATATTCTAATTCAACTAAGTTTATTTAGACTAAAATATGACCAAAAATTTTATGTGCGTTTTATTTTTATCACAGGTTTTAGTAAATGTGATTTTTCTCCAATTCTCTTGTTGAAACTCATGTAAAGATACTGTGGAAAGTAAAATACGCACAGAGCAAAGCAAAAATATTCACATAGCATTAAGAGACAGATCTCGGGTTCATACTACATTTTCCATACCTCTTGTTTAGACTTAAACAGTAAGAGGGATTTGGTTTTTCCAAAGGACTCCATGGCTGCGATCACATCACTATGGGAGAGAGAATCAAAATTGCCTCTGAGCCTCAACATAGTTGGAGGTGGCGGTTTACTGCGATGAGCAAATGGAGGCTGGGGAGCAAAGAAGGAAATAAAAGTTGAAATGTAAATTTGGCTGTTAAAGAACTGCAGCTGCTGTTATGAAGGACAAGCTGGATTTAAATAATGTCCACACCAGGCATCAGAATCCCATATATTTGTGATATTCTCTGTCTCATTGCTGGGCAAAACACGAGGGTAACAGTGAAGTAAGAGAAAAGCCCCTTTTCTAAGATATGTTGATACATACAGTTAGGGCCAGAAATATTTGGACAGTAACACAATATTTGTGAGTTGGGCTCTGCATGCCACCGCATTGGATTTGAAATGAAACCTCTACAACAGAATTCAAGTGCAGATTGTAACGTTTAATTTAAAGGGTTGAACAAAAATATCTGATAGAAAATGTAGGAATTGTACACATTTGTTTACAAACACTCCACATTTTAGGAGCTCAAAAGTAATTGGACATATAAACATAACCCAAACAAAAAAGTTTTTTCTCAATATTTTGTTGCGAATCCTTTGGAGGCAATCACTGCCTTAAGTCTGGAACCCATGGACATCACCAAACGCTGGGTTTCCTCCTTCTTAATGCTTTGCCAGGCCTTTACAGCCGCAGCCTTCAGGTCTTGCTTGTTAGTGGGTCTTTCCGTCTGAAGTCTGGATTTGAGCAAGTGAAATGCATGCTCAATTGGGTTAAGATCTGGTGATTGACTTGGCCATTGCAGAATATTCCACCTTTTTGCTCTCATGAACTCCTGGGTAGCTTTGGCTGTATGCTTGGGGTCATTATCCATCTGTACTGTGAAGCGCCGTCCAATCAACTTTGCAGCATTTGGCTGAATCTGGGCTGACAGTATATCCCGGTACACTTCAGAATTCATCCGGCTACTCTTGTCTGCTGTTATGTCATCAATAAACACAAGTGACCCAGTGCCATTGAAAGCCATGCATGCCCATGCCATCACGTTGCCTCCACCATGTTTTACAGAGGATGTGGTGTGCCTTGGATCATGTGCCATTCCCTTTCTTCTCCAAACTTTTTTCTTCCCATCATTCTGGTACAAGTTGATCTTTGTCTCATCTGTCCATAGAATACTTTTCCAGAACTGGGCTGGCTTCTTGAGCTGTTTTTGGGCAAATTTAACTCTGGCCTGTCTATTTTTGGAATTGATGAATGGTTTGCATCTACATGTGAACCCTTTGTATTTGCTTTCATGGAGTCTTCTCTTTACTGTTGACTTAGAGACAGATACACCTACTTCTCTGAGAGTGTTCTGGACCTCAGTTGATGTTGTGAACGGGTTCTTCTTCACCAAAGAAAGTATGCGGCGATCATCCACCACTGTTGTCTTCCGTGGACGCCCAGGCCTTTTTGAGTTCCCAAGCTCACCAGTCAATTCCTTTTTCCTCAGAATGTACCAGACTGTTGATTTTGCTACTCCAAGCATGTCTGCTATCTCTCTGATGGATTTTTTCCTTTTTTTCAGCCTCAGGATGTTCTGCTTCACCTCAATTGAGAGCTCCTTTGACCGCATGTTGTCTGGTCACAGCAACAGCTTCCAAATGCAAAACCACACACCTGGAAACAACCCCAGACCTTTTAACTACTTACTTGATTACAGGTTAACGAGGGAAAGGCCTTTTGAGTTACTTGCAGCCTTTAGAGTCCATTGTCCAATTACTTTTGGTCCCTTGAAAAAGAGGAGGCTCTGCATTACAGAGATATGATTCCTAAACCCTTTCTCCGATTTGGATGTGGAAACTCTCATATTGCAGCAGGGAGTGTGCACTTTCAGCCCATATTATATATAAATTGTATTTCTGAACATATTTTTGTCAACAGCTAAAATAACAAAACCTGTGTCACTGTCCAAATATTTCTGGCCCTAACTGTATCTGCAGTCAGTGAAGGCAGTGGGGTAGCAAGAGAGTCTAAGACTTAAAGCTTCTGACACAACTTTCTGATTGGTTAATAGGAAACTAATATCTAATCAAATCAAGAATATGAAACCCAAACACCAACCTTGGAGATAGTCGTAGAGCGTTCCTCACTCCTTGGAAGGTTAGGTTGCACCAGGTTCAAATTTGTGTCCAACGTTAACTTTGTTGGACTGACGGAAGATGACGAGGAAACAGATCTTAGGCTGCTGCCTCTAGATGATGTTGAAGCCTCCATCTTGTTGGTCGTTGATGATGATTGTGATGATGAAGATGCCCGTTTTTTAGCTTGCTCAGCCTGTACAGTTTTAGCCAAAGGCACGAACACACTGGCAGTGTGTCGCTGCCCAGAAGAAGCTTGAATAATAAACCAAAAAGAAAGTATTAGTTTTGGTGCATGAACCTAAAAAAATCAAATCCAACACAGTTCAAGTATCTCCAACTAGCATTTTGCTTTAGAAAGCATTTAAAAATATTTGGCCATATGACTAATACTGGAAGCGTCAAATGAATGCCACAGTTTCCCCGAGAAAATCTAATAAAACTGGTGCTAGGGGGCGCTAGCGGCCCACCGTGGTTTTGTATTTTATGTTAAGTTACAAAAATTTGCAATAGCAGATAGGATAATTTGGCAGCACAACTGGTGCACCGCCAAATTAATCATTCATAATTTATTAATCATTGAATTAATAAATCAATTCAATAATTGATTCATAAGTCAATTTATAAATCAATTAATTATGCGATTAATTGTTTTATTGCTTATTGTGACGGGCTTATGGCTGATATGCATCAAATATTGTAAAAACAAACCTGAATTCATGAGTTGCTTTGTTGGAATCTGTTCACTGCATGGTTTCTTTTTCGGAGATTCCTCCAGGAACAGCTGTCGCCTATGGCTTCCACTTACTGAAGCCCGCTCCTCACGCTTCTTGGATAAGCACCGTTTCCCATCATTTCCTCTTGGCGATGACTGGGGCTTCTGATTCTTCTGCAGTGAACGTTGTTTGTCATGACATATTGACTGTTGCTCACTGCTCCTTCTTGGTGAACGTTGTCGGTCACGGCTCCTTCCTCGTGACCTCTTTCTCTCCTCACTTCTTGGAGACAACCTTCGATTGGGACTCCTGCTCGACTGCTGTTTTTTATCACTATGTTCCCATTCTCTGGTCGTACGTGAGAGTTGCTCCTGGCCCGTCCTTGGCGAACGTAATTTCTCAGTATTTTTCCTTGGAGACGATGGTATATCAGAGCTCCTTCTTGGTAAACCAAGAGTCTTAAACCTTCTTTTTGGTGACAACCGTCTCTCCCAATCACTTGAATGTCTTGGAGGGTCTGAGAAAATATGGCAGTTGTGCCGCCGTGGAGATGTAGATCTAGACCTGTTGGAAACATAAAGTTCTAATTTCTAAAAAAATAAATGTATTATGGCAGGCTTTAATAATCTTTAACTCTTGCAAAGACAAACCTGAAACTATGCATACAAATGAACATCTTTATCTCTAAACTTAAATATTTAATTGACACAAACCTGCGACTGTGCCTGGGGCTGTGAAGTGATTGTTTCCTGTTGTTCTGTTTTCCCCTTCGACCTTCAGAGCTGCTGCGTCGACGAGGGCTGTTAGAGCGAGAACTACTGCTGGTAATGGCCCGTCTCTGCCTAAAACTATCATGTCGATAAGGACTTTTAGAGCGAGAACTACTGCTGGTAATGGTCCTCGCCTAAAACTATCGCGTCGATAAGGACTTTTAGAGCGAGAACTACTGCTGGTAATGGTCCTTCTACGCCTAAAACTATCGCGTCGATAAGGACTTTTAGAGGGAGAACTACTGCTGGTAATGGTCCTTCTACGCCTAAAACTATCGCGTCGATAAGGACTTTTAGAGGGAGAACTACTGCTGGTGGAAGTTCTTCTACGCCCAGAACTGCGGAGTTTGCGAGGACTTTTAGATGTAGAACTACTGCTGGAAGTGGTGCTTCTGCAGCGTGGGCTGTGAGAGCAAGACCGGGAATGAGTCCCATCACTGGTTTTCTTTTTGTGATCATGGGCAGTGTGGTCTGGAGTTGAGGAATTAAGCTTGGCACTTCTAATGGGATCACTATACAGGAAAAAAATAGTAAAACTTACCATCAGTCAGAGATATATTCACTATCAGTCATTGTCGTTTGTGTAAATACAGAAATATACCTTTGCCCTGGTACTTTGCCATCCCACTCTGGGTATCTGTGGAATATTTAAGAACACTATTAAATAACATTGATTTAAGAGGAAAGGTGTAACCACACCACTTTATAAAATACCCCAGGTCAATTGTTATATTGCACAAATAGTAAATCAGCCAATCACAGGAAAGCAAGTACATCCACTTAGACTTAGTTGCGAAGGGAAAGGCAAACTCTATGAAGATCAAGCCAAGAACCAGAAACAGAAAACCAAGATGTAAACTAGTTTAAAGATGGAGGAGTTGTTGGTGCCAGATGGTCTGGTCTGAGTATTTCCAAAACTTCTGACCCACTGTGTTTAAAAAGCCAATCTCTGTTTAAACAGAATGCCTAGAACAATGGACAATATCAAGTGATCAGCTTTAGTGGTCTGTGGGTTCATGGGGCGACATAAAGCACAGCCTTTCTATATAGTGCCAATGATTCATTGGCAACATGTTGGACTGATCTAAAATGATTTAAAAAGGCAAATTTTCATATTAGGCTCCAACAACAGATCAGAAAAGTATATCATTCCAGTACAATTTTCTTTAAAGTACTTTCATTGCACTTTGATCAACATTGCTGTCCATTTACAAAAATTGTGTAAAACATTCCCTCTTTAACCTAAAAATATGCCAGAAAAAAACCCCAAAGACTGACTGTTCCCGAAGACGTTTGCAGTTCCCAACGTGTAGACTGGATTGCTGGTGGTCAGTCCAATCCTAGCGGTCACAACAACAAACAGAACATATTTGTAAGAGATTCCTACATCGATTTCAGTGAACTATAAACTAAATATCAATGGAAATGCATGTAAACAACTTTATACACTGTGACTAAAACATGACCTTCCATTTAAGAGAGAAATAAACCACCACCACAATAAGGGCATGTATATGAAAATGAAAAGCAAATCACAAGCACCAGTCAACGAGAGAAAACTATTTTTGACTACCTTCAATTGAGAACAGCTGGTCTTGCATAAAGAGCAGGTACGTGGAAACTTCCTTGGTTTGCTCGCAGTACAGTCATGCATCTTGGCTAGTGACGGCAAACCTGGAAGGTTGCAGGTTTTACTGGAGACTGGTGCTTGGATCCTTGTGTATCAGTTGTCTTGACCAGATCCACGGTTGGGACAGAAACAATATTGTTGCCAGAAGGTAGAACGGGATGTGAAACTTCTACAACAGTGGGGGTGAAAGGGAGCAGGAACTTGTCTCAAAGAAGTGGGCTCTGCAGGCTGCACAGCTTGTGTGATGTCAATTGTGACTGCTTCTGAAGGAGCTTCTGTGGTGCCGTCTTTGTGATCGTTGACTGTTTTGATGTAAATGGGTGGGTTGGAGCTTTTACAGGTGGAGAAGCACAGAGGCCAGACTTTGGTGATACAATGACCCTGCTTTTATTTTGTTGAGAAAAGGCCGGGATGCTCGATTGCAAAGTCTGGTTTGATTGAGTTTCCACTGTTGGGCCGAAGCTACAACATTCCTTGCTGAGCTCAAGCAGGTAATAGAGCCCAGCTGGTCACGTGAAGAAGTGGAACCACTGGTGTTTAACTCTAAGCATTTTTCAGACACTCTTTTAGCCTGACTGCTAGCGTCATTGTTCATCAGCACAGTGAATCCACAACTTTGAGCCTTATTGAGAAAGTTCTTAACAGAGTTACCCTCAACATTTGTTTGTTCATCCCCAGATGTGTGACAACTGATTGATGGTGGTTCATCATGAAATATTGTTGGCTTTTTCAAACTAACAATTCCACTTGAACTTGGTTGAGACGTAGAGTCTGATGTGGACGCAGGTAAAGCTCTGTCGGCATTCTTCATACGAATCTTTTGTAAAGTGTAGGGTAGCTTCTCAGCTGTAGTTTCCTCGTCAGGGTACTTCATGAGTTCATTCAAGTCTTCTTTTGAAATCCACAATGCAATAAAATCTTTTCAGCTTGCCAAGGTGTGAGAACAAGCTCATGGGATAGAGGTTGGCCGATTGGTTGAGCTGCGTAATAAGGATTTAACGAAGACTCTGAGGAATTATCTTATTAGAACTCCTACAATCTGGGAACCAGTTAAAAGAACTACTCCCACCACAAACATTGGATTGTTGATGATATTGAGAAGCTGATGAGACAGAAAAGCTTGACTCTGTTGTGGCACCTTGATCAAAAGATTGGTATGTTATTTGATTTCTGGCAGAAATATTGAAGGTACTCTGTAAATGAATGTTTGAAGTGGTTTGACCTGGTTCAGGCCTGTTGATTGCAGGCAAACTAGTTTCATCAAATGACTGTCCAGGTAAGTTTATGTTGGATCCAGGTCCAAGATTATGTATAGTCCTCCACATGGTCTCCTGCGTCTGTCCAGTAGAGAGTCCATATTGTCCCTGAGAGGCATTTCTATTTCCAGAGGCAAATGGATTATACATGGGATGAGACATGATAGTCAGCAGTTTTAATTAAGGAAATTTGGTAGCTTTATGGCCAAGGCAGTTGCTATTGTGGATATATATGTATAGAACAGCACATTGTCCAAACAACACTGTGAACTTTGCTCAATGACAGTGTTAGTTGGGATTTCAGATCAGCCAGCTGCATGGATGCAGCCTTCGCGATGGTCAATGAGGAAGATCTGGAGATCCCTCCAGCAGCTTGTTCAGGGCCCAGGAGGCACACGATGCAAAATACCCTGACAGGAAAGAACAGCGAGATGCAGAGCGACAATTAATAACAATGGTTACTCAAGACAGCTTCGTGTACATGAATGGGGTGGAGAGAGGAATTAATCACCGGCCAACTTTAGTCTGCTCAGGTCACTCCTAGCAGAAACACAAGTCAACATACAGTAAGTGAATGTTAACAGGAAGGCGCTACAGGATCGTGATTCTTTCCTAAAAGTAGTTAACATTAGCATCAATGTGTTGAAATTAATGTCTTGTTATATTTCTTACATTAGTAGTTTTATATCACTAGTTATTTTTTATTTAAAGGTTTAATGTTCTCACCCCAGAGAGGAGGAATTTGTTAAACTGTGTGTAAGACATAACTAACCTTTCTTTAACCTTGAGCATGTTTTTGCATGTGGTGTCTTAATCTTCCTAAGGAGAACTTCCAGAGATACTCCTTAGTTGTAAAACTATCTGTGTGTCATAGGATGAGCTCTAGATAAGACAGATGGTCTGGTGTGAACATCTTTTGCCATAAGACTGTCTGCAGCAGACTAACAATTGCAATAACATGCAAAATACAAGTTCAGAACACTGGATATATTAGCTCACATTTATTGCACTCAAATAGTCCTTTCCAATACAAATGCCGCTTGCACTATTATTGCAATGATTATATATTCACAACACATTGTGCAGCCCCACCTGGGATGGGTTCTGTGCATGGAGATTGTTGCTAATATAGTGGAAAATTTTAAGGTTACTATGACTGTAAGTGAAACAATGCAGTAGAGTGATTCTTGTGGTATGCTCAGGCTCGTGGGAAAGTCTTCTTAAGCTGCTTCTCTGAAATCTGTTTTACTATAAAGTTATTCTGTTGTTTCTTGTTTCCCCCCTCATGATGTCCTTGAATTTCCCGTATGAAAGAAGATGTTTATGTTTGCAATCTGTTTTGCAACAAAGCAGATTGTCAAACTATGTGAATGGAATAAAGCACAGCATGTAAAAAGTATTCATAACTCAAGTGTAAAAAAAAATTGGGTAAAAAGTCTACTCAAGTACAAAGGAACTGATCAAATGATTAATGATTTAATCATTAAAAAGTACAGATGGACTAAAACTTTATGAAAACTACAGGAGTGTGGTGAATATATGGTGAAAACATGCTTGTTCTTCATTCAGTGAAGTTACAGTGGGAAGTGAATACAGAAATTTTAGTCAAGCAAAAATAGCGAAACTTCATAATAACAGTAAGAAAGTACAGCATAGTAAAAAAAATATCTCCTAATATTTTGTTTTCCTCTAAAAACAGACTCACGTAATTACTATCCAGTAGAAAGTGGTTTTACACCATTATTTGGACGAGCATTTCTTTCATTAAGACATGACCTCTGACCTCGGGGTAAGCGTAATCTCTGACCAACACGAGGAAATGAAGCTGAAGTTGGTTTCAGATTGGAAATGTCAGCAGGTATTTCCTTTCAGCAACCTCACAAAACTCTTTGAAGAATTCTTAATTTCCCTTTGGGTTTAATAAAGTGGTTTTGAATTAGAATTTAATTTGAAAAACATTTCAAACCAGCCCAGGTGTTGCATGGAATGAGTGTGAATACGAATCTAAACTTTAGTTTCACAGATGAGATTTTAATCCACAAACTGGGATTAAAATATTCTGCTATGCAGGTTTGATTCTTACAGTTTTGGACCTGGAGCGATTCTAGTGTGATCCAGAGGCAAAACAAAAGTGGTGAAATCAACCTTTTTTGAAGTTTCACAAATCAGAAAAGAACTTCACAAATCCCAAACATGGTTTTAAATATCCTACTATGAGAGCAGAATAATCCAGCCCAGGTTTGAGGAGGCTGCTGTTGTAGTTTTGCAGCTACAGCGGATTAAAGGTGAGCTGTGACGGAATCGCCCTTTAGACATTTCCCGGGTCGGAAGTTGCAGTCGGACATCAACTTCAGCCCTGTGAGCGAGAAGCGGATGGGAGGGGAGGACTGTTCCCTTAAGACAGTTTTCAACCAAAACAAGTTCCCAAATTCAGAGCCTCTTAACGAAGCTCACCAGTTATAGCCGGGCATGTCCAGCCGGAGTCAAGACGTTTTAACGTCCGGAGCTTAATTTAGACAACGCACCAAACTGACATTAAAACTCGTTTATTTGTTTTTAAGCGAGAATAAAGTTACATCAACTCGTCACAACTTTGGCCGTGTGGGACTGTTAGGATCGAGAATGTTGTAATATAGCTGTAACGTCTGTTATTCACGAAGAAGGAGGAAAATCTTCAGCATCTTACCTTCAGCTGTAACTGAAGTTCTGATTCGTCTCCTGTCACTTTCGCCTTCTTCTTCTTGAGTTTTATTGACGGTTGGCCCAAAACGTTCGCTACGCATTACCGCCACCAACCGGTAAGTAGTGTGAAACAAATGGCAAAAAAACCAAGTACATAAAAAAATAGATCCTATTATACAACTTAAAAAAATAAATAAATAGCCCGATATTCCATATTTCCTTAATGTTTTTGAAATAACTACGTTTTTGACTAACTTGTTCCTCTCAATCTGGTAATTTCTGCAATGCAAAATGACATGTTCTTATTGTCTCATCTTCTTGGTGTTTTCCTTGTGCTGGAACCCAAGTAAAATTTACTGTAAGCCCCATCATGTTTCTCTAAACTGTTTTTCTACTTTTGCTGGAACTTACTCACTTCTCTCAAGCTTGGGGACCAACTAAACACTGCCACCTACTGGCTGGTGATGTGAACTGATTTTTTTTTAGGGTTTTAAAAACTTGCAAGTTTAATACTAGCCTGTAATTGGTGACAATATCTTTGTGGCAAAACTTTTGGCACACCTGTCAGCTGTTGTTTAGCTAGGTGTATTAGCATTGTGCTAAAAGAAAAAATGGACCACATTTTCAACTGACAGTTGTAACTGTAACAAAATATCAGGTTATCCTGACTGTTATCTGGCTGACAGTATAAACCAGAGAGCTGCAGTCCTTGTGGGGGAAAAATGTACTGCAACTGTAAAAACAGGCAGGATAAAAACGCCTGAGAGTGGGTGTAGTTTTACAGTAGATTTGTAGAAATGTGTCTTTTCCTTTGCTTCTCTTGGTTTTATCATAAAGGTAAACTAAACTGAAGTCTGGCACCGTGGTTTAATTATTATTTCTATTTTTACATATTTAGTATCACAAGGGATGTTTCCCAGTCCTGTGGCAGCAATCTTCCATTTTATGCATTTTCATCCATTTTTTTTTCAAACAAAAGTTATGCAACATCAAATGTTTTTTTCTATCACGTCTTTTAATAATAAAAAAAAACAGGGAAAAGACATTTGACATGAGTAAAAATCCCACATATGGTAAAGATTTAGCACACTAGAGCATCCTGATAAAAAAAAGTTCACCCCGAGTAAACATGTATTTATACATCCTTGATTAAAAATATGATTAAAATATATAACTTTTACTTTCCAAAAGGTAAGACTAACTCTGTGAATATAGATAACATTGATCCATCTGCAACAAGGTGCTAATCTTAAAAAAATGTAAATACAAAAGTTAATTTTTTTTAAAATTGTGCAACACTTAAAAACAGCATACAGTGTAAAAGATTTTCAAAAAGCATAAACTGTATCTGCTGCTCTAGTTATCCCTAAAACTCAGAACAGATTAAAATTCTCCAAAAAAGGTCGTCGGTCAGGAAAAAAAGGCTGTTCAGCGCTTTGTGTGAGTGTCTGAAGCGCTTCTGAAAAGGAGGAGAGAAAAAGAAACAAAATAAATGAGCAGTCATGAGATTAACCGTTTAACCTCAAGAGCAGAAAATCAAACTCCTCAATGCTAGATTTCACAAAATTTTTTCAGATGTACCAATCTGGAAAAATGAGCCGTTTATCAAAGACCAATTTTAATTAGAGACGCTGTTTGCCAATATTACACACGTTTCCATGTCCTTTCTGTGACAGAACGACCACACAGCTGACACTGCTGATGCAAAATTAATTTTTTGCACATTTTTATACTTCCTTCCTTTTCAGTTTCTACTGCTTCTGAAAACAGCCCAAGCGCTTAAAAAACAAAATGTTTTTAATGTATTTTTGTGTCTGGAAAATGAGCCATTTAAAAAAACCTCCAGATTGTTGAGTCACACTCTACCGTTCACTTATAACAAGATATTTTTCCTATGTTGTAAGTCAAATAATCTGCCAATTTTTATTAATACTAAAACAAGGATACTCATCTTGCTGAAAAGTTACTTGAAGTTAGTTTATTTGCACTGAAAACTAGACCAAAAATACTTGGTAATATTTTGAGTTTTTGCAGTGTACATGAGAGTAAACTCAATTAACTTCCTGTGTGGTTTAGTCACTTGAGGTTAAAATATTACAGATATCTGAAACGTATTGAAGAATGAACTTAATGAAGCACAATTACAGTAGATGGATGATCTTGTCTTGTGTTTTATCACTGCAGAAGTCAATAAGGAGGGCGTCTGACACCGGCAGCAACCGGAGCAAACTGAGAGCAGGATCTCTTTGGCTCTGGTCCAGAAAGATTCATCTTTTGTTTATGTTGTACTAGAAAAAACGGAAGTAAAACAGAAATGAAGAAAATACAACAGGAATGGTGGCAATTTAATCTGAACTTCCATACAAACATATAAATATTCTCCAAATAAAGGTTTTTGAGACTTTTTGAGATGAAAAGTTGTCTGAAGAATAGAGGATTCACAGTGGGGAACATTATTGGCAATTCTAAGAGTTAATTTGGCCAACGTTGCTATTTACCAACAACATTAGGTTTCAACTGGAAAATTTAGCTTTAAGGTGATCTATTATGCTTCCTTAGAAGTTAGGTTTGGTTTATAGATATGTTCATTAAATATTTTGCACAAAATCATTTTCAGATAAGGTTTCAGTCTGCTCAGTTTTGCTTATTTGGGGTTGTTTTAGGCCATCTCATCACTTTAAATCCAAATGAAAATGGAACAAATGTACAATTATACAACTGTACATCTTTGAAAAGCAGAATTGGAGCCTCCTGCACAACCAACAAGAAAGCAGCAAGTGGTTTCTGGGTGGTAAGTCAACAACAAACACTTGTCTTTTCCAGCAGCCATTATACAGTTTTTGAACCAGCTCATTTTCCAGACACCAAAAAACATCAGTTGTTTATTTGTATTAGCTTGTACTAATTAATGTACAGAAATGTGGAAAATATATTTTGCAGAAAAGGTCTCCTTTTAGATGTTAGTTGGTCCTATTTCATCAACTGTTTTTACAAATTACAGACTGAAAATACTCTGTACAATAATTTCAAACTTCAACACAGTCAACGGCTCAAGGAAACAATCGTTTCTCAACAACCAACAGTCTCGATCCTCCATACATAAAAATAAAGAAAATAAATGAAACATTTTTCACGTCGTCTTGTTTGTGTGAAGAGTTTGGAGAGAAACGTCACCACTTACATCTTTCCAGAGTCTGTCCATCAGGATTTAACTTCAGCTCTGTGGTTGGTGTCCTCACTGCAGCAGAAGATAATAAGTTGACCTGGTTTCATCATGGTTTTAGTGATTCCATCAGATGGAGCCCGGTTTACTCACCTAGAACTTTCTTCTTGGGCCGACCTCTTCTTCTGGGTGTTGCAGCTTCTTTTTTCTCCTCTTGAGTCTCTCTGGAGTTGCAAATCATCAACGGGATGTTTTTAGTTTTCTCTTTGTTTTGTTGCTGAGGATCTCTGGCAGGAGTTTTTCTCCTCCTGGTTGGAGTTCTATCTTCTTTTCTTCCAACCAAAGAGTTGGACTCGGTTAGTTTTCCTGCTGTAGCTGCTTTATTTTCATTTGTTTTGTCTTGATTGGCTTGTCTGGCAGTTTGTCTGAAAGATCTTCTTAGACCAGATTTATGTTGAACAGAATCATTATAAACCATTTCCTCTGTCTCCATTTCTGCACTGATGTCTTTTGATTGTGTCTCAATTTGCTCCTGTGAACTCTCCTGCTTTTGTGATGAATTTACTCCATCCTCAGATTTAGATGCTTTAGTTCTCTGGCTTGACTTTACTGCCAAACCTTCGTCTTTGACCAAAGGTTTTTCTTCTTGAGCAGAAACTCCGAGGCCATTTCTAATCTCTTCAGCATAATCATCTCTCCCTGATTGACTGATGGTTCTTATAACAATGGCCGATTTGTCTTGATTTGTTTCATCTTGATTGGCTCTTCTGTCGGTTTTATTAACAAATGTATGTGTGTGAGATTCATCAGGAACAGAGTCCTTACAATCCGTCTTCTCTCCAGTTTCTGAACTGCTTTCCTTTATTTTTGGCTCATACTTTTCATCTGAACTTTCCTGTTTTATCGGTAAAGTATATCCCTCTTCACCACTAGAAGTTTTCTTGGAGACAACCATCGATTGTTACTCCTGCTCGACTGCTGTTTTTTATCACTATATTCCCATTCTCTGGTCGTACGTGAGAGTTGCTCCTGGCCCGTCCTTGTCAAACGTAATTTCTCAGTACTTTTTCTTGGAGACGATGGTATATCAGAGCTCCTTCTTGGTGAACCAAGAGTCTTAAACCTTCTTTTTGGTGACAATCGTCTCTCCCAATCACTTAAATGTCTTGGAGAGTCTAAGAAAATGTGGCGGTTGTGCCGCCTTGGAGATGTAGATCTAGACCTGTTGGAAACATAAAGTTCTAATTTCTAAAAAAATAAATGTATTATGGCAGGCTTGAATAATCTCTAACTCTTGCAAAGACAAACCTGAAACTATGCATACAAATGAACATCTTTATCTCTAAACTTAAATATTTAATTGACACAAACCTGCGACTGTGCCTGGGGCTGTGAAGTGATTGTTTCCTGTTGTTCTGTTTTCCCCTTCGACCTTCAGAGCTGCTGCGTCGACGAGGGCTGTTAGAGCAAGAACTACTGCTGGTAATGGCCCGTCTCTGCCTAAAACTATCACGTCGATAAGGACTTTTAGAGCGAGAACTACTGCTGGTAATGGTCCTTCTACGCCTAAAACTATCGCGTCGATAAGGACGTTTAGAGGGAGAACTACTGCTGGTAATGGTCCTTCTACGCCTAAAACTATCGCGTCGATAAGGACTTTTAGAGGGAGAACTACTGCTGGTAATGGTCCTTCTATGCCTAAAACTATCGCGTCGATAAGGACTTTTAGAGGGAGAACTACTGCTGGTAATGGTCCTTCTACGCCTAAAACTATCGCGTCGATAAGGACTTTTAGAGGGAGAACTACTGCTGGTGGAAGTTCTTTTGCGAGGATTTTTAGATGTAGAACTACTGCTGGAAGTGGTGCTTCTGCAGCGTGGGCTGTGAGAGCAAGACCGGGAATGAGTCCCATCACTGGTTTTCTTTTTGTGATCATGGGCAGTGTGGTCTGGAGTTGAGGAAGAAAGCTTGGCACTTCTAATGGGATCACTATACAGGAAAAAAATAGTGAAACTTACCATCAGTCAGAGATATATTCACTATCAGTCATTGTCGTTTGTGTAAATACAGAAATATACCTTTGCCCTGGTACTTTGCCATCCCACTCTGGGTATCTGTGGAATATTTAAGAACACTATTAAATAACATTGATTTAAGAGGAAAGGTGTAACCACACCACTTTATAAAATACCCCAGGTCAATTGTTATATTGCACAAATAGTAAATCAGCCAATCACAGGAAAGCAAGTACATCCACTTAGACTTAGTTGCGAAGGGAAAGGCAAACTCTATGAAGATCAAGCCAAGAACCAGAAACAGAAAACCAAGATGTAAACTAGTTTAAAGATGGAGGAGTTGTTGGTGCCAGATGGTCTGGTCTGAGTATTTCCAAAACTTCTTACCCACTGTGTTTAAAAAGCCAATCTCTGTTTAAACAGAATGCCTAGAACAATGGACAATATCAAGTGATCAGCTTAGTGGTCTCTGGGTTCATGGGGCGACATAAAGCACAGCCTTTCTATATAGTGCCAATGATTCATTGGCAACATGTTGGACTGATCTAAAATGATTTAAAAAGGCAAATTTTCATATTAGGCTCCAACAACAGATCAGAAAAGTATATCATTCCAGTACAATTTCTTTAAAGTACTTTCATTGCACTTTGATCAACATTGCTGTCCATTTACAAAAATTGTGTAAAACATTCCCTCTTTAACCTAAAAATATGCCAGAAAAAAACCCAAAGACTGACTGTTCCCGAAGACGTTTGCAGTTCCCAACGTGTAGACTGGATTGCTGGTGGTCAGTCCAATCCTAGCGGTCACAACAACAAACAGAACATATTTGTAAGCAGATTCCTACATCGATTTCAGTGAACTATAAACTAAATATCAATGGAAATGCATGTAAACAACTTTATACACTGTGACTAAAACATGACCTTCCATTTAAGAGAGAAATAAACCACCACCACAATAAGGGCATGTATATGAAAATGAAAAGCAAATCACAAGCACCAGTCAACGAGAGAAAACTATTTTTGACTCACCTTCAATTGAGAACAGCTGGTCTTGCATAAAGAGCAGGTACGTGGAAACTTCCTTGGTTTGCTCGCAGTACAGTCATGCATCTTGGCTAGTGACGGCAAACCCTGGAAGGTTGCAGGTTTTACTGGAGACTGGTGCTTGGATCCTTGTGTATCAGTTGTCTTGACCAGATCCACGGTTGGGACAGAAACAATATTGTTGCCAGAAGGTAGAACAGGATGTGAAACTTCTACAACAGTGGGGGTGAAAGAGGGAGCAGGAACTTGTCTCAAAGAAGTGGGCTCTGCAGGCTGCACAGCTTGTGTGATCGTCAATTGTGACTGCTTCTGAAGGAGCTTCTGTGGTGCCGTCTTTGTGATCGTTGACTGTTTTGATGTAAATGGGTGGGTTGGAGCTTTTACAGGTGGAGAAGCACAGAGGCCAGACTTTGGTGATACAATGACCCTGCTTTTATTTTGTTGAGAAAAGGCCGGGATGCTCGATTGCAAAGTCTGGTTTGATTGAGTTTCCACCTGTTGGGCCGGAGCTACAACATTCCTTGCTGAGCTCAAGCAGGTAATAGAGCCCAGCTGGTCACGTGAAGAAGTGGAACCACTGGTGTTTAACTCTAAGCATTTTTCAGACACTCTTTTAGCCTGACTGCTAGCGTCATTGTTCATCACCACAGTGAATCCACAACTTTGAGCCTTATTGAGAAAGTTCTTAACAGAGTTATCCTCAAAATTTGTTTGTTCATCCCCAGATGTGTGAAAACTGACTGATGGTGGTTCGTCATGAAATATTGTTGGCTTTTTCAAACTAACAATTCCACTTGAACTTGGTTGAGACGTAGAGTCTGATGTGGACGCAGGTAAAGCTCTGTCGGCATTCTTCATACGAATCTTTTGTAAAGTGTAGGGTAGCTTCTCAGCTGTAGTTTCCTCGTCAGGGTACTTCATGAGTTCATTCAAGTCTTCTTTTTGAAATCCACAATGCAATAAAATCTTTTCAGCTTGCCAAGGTGTGAGAACAAGCTCATGGGATAGAGGTTGGCCGATTGGTTGAGCTGCGTAATAAGGATTTAACGAAGACTCTGAGGAATTATCTTTATTAGAACTCCTACAATCTGGGAACCAGTTAAAAGAACTACTCCCACCACAAACATTGGATTGTTGATGATATTGAGAAGCTGATGAGACAGAAAAGCTTGACTCTGTTGTGGCACCTTGATCAAAAGATTGGTATGTTATTTGATTTCTGGCAGAAATATTGAAGGTACTCTGTAAATGAATGTTTGAAGTGGTTGACCTGGTTCAGGCCTGTTGATTGCAGGCAAACTAGTTCATCAAATGACTGTCCAGGTAAGTTTATGCTGGATCCAGGTCCAAGATTATGTATAGTCCTCCACATGGTCTCCTGCGTCTGTCCAGTAGAGAGTCCATATTGTCCCTGAGAGGCATTTCTATTCCCAGAGGCAAATGGATTATACATGGGATGAGACATGATAGTCAGCAGTTTTAATTAAGGAAATTTGGTAGCTTTATGGCCAAGGCAGTTGCTATTGTGGATATATATGTATAGAACAGCACATTGTCCAAACAACAATGTGAACTTTGCTCAATGACAGTGTTAGTTGGGATTTCAGATCAGCCAGCTGCATGGATGCAGCCTTCGCGATGGTCAATGAGGAAGATCTGGAGATCCTCCAGCAGCTTGTTCAGGGCCCAGGAGGCACACGATGCAAAATACCCTGACAGGAAAGAACAGCGAGATGCAGAGCAACAATTAATAACAATGGTTACTCAAGACAGCTTCGTGTACATGAATGGGGTGGAGAGAGGAATTAATCACCGGCCAACTTTAGTCTGCTCAGGTCACTCCTAGCAGAAACACAAGTCAACATACAGTAAGTGAATGTTAACAGGAAGGCGCTACAGGATCGTGATTCTTTCCTAAAAGTAGTTAACATTAGCATCAATGTGTTGAAATTAATGTCTTGTTATATTTCTTACATTAGTAGTTTATATCACTAGTTATTTTTTATTTAAAGGTTTAATGTTCTCACCCCAGAGAGGAGGAATTTGTTAAACTGTGTGTAAGACATAACTAACCTTTCTTTAACCTTGAGCATGTTTTTGCAGGTGGTGTCTTAATCTTCCTAAGGAGAACTTCCAGAGATACTCCTTAGTTGTAAAACTATCTGTGTGTCATAGGATGAGCTCTAGATAAGACAGATGGTCTGGTGTGAACATCTGTTGCCAAAAGACTGTCTGCAGCAGACTAACAATTGCAATAACATGCAAAATACAAGTTCAGAACACTGGATATATTAGCTCACATTTATTGCACTCAAATAGTCCTTTCCAATACAAATGCCGCTTGCACTATTATTGCAATGATTATATATTCACAACACATTGTGCAGCCCCACCTGGGATGGGTTCTGTGCATGGAGATTGTTGCTAATATAGTGGAAAATTTTAAGGTTACTATGACTGTAAGTGAAACAATGCAGTAGAGTGATTCTTGTGGTATGCTCGGGCTCGTGGGAAAGTCTTCTTAAGATGCTTCTCTGAAATCTGTTTTACTATAAAGTTATTCTGTTGTTTCTTGTTTCCACCCTCATGATGTCCTTGAATTTCCCGTATGAAAGATGATGTTTATGTTTGCAATCTGTTTTGCAACAAAGCAGATTGTCAAACTATGTGAATGGAATAAAGCACAGCATGTAAAAAGTATTCATAACTCAAGTGTAAAAAAAAATTGGGTAAAAAGTCTACTCAAGTACAAAGGAACTGATCAAATGATTAATGATTTAATCATTAAAAAGTACAGATGGACTAAAACTTATGAAAACTACAGGAGTGTGGTGAATATATGGTGAAAACATGCTTGTTCTTCATTCAGTGAAGTTACAGTGGGAAGTGAATACAGAAATTTAGTCAAGCAAAAATAGCGAAACTTCATAATAACAGTAAGAAAGTACAGCATAGTAAAAAAAATATCTTCTAATATTTTGTTTTCCTCTAAAAACAGACTCACGTAATTACTATCCAGTAGAAAGTGGTTTTACACCATTATTTGGACGAGCATTTCTTTCATTAAGACATGACCTCTGACCTCGGGGTAAGCGTAATCTCTGACCAACACGAGGAAATTAAGCTGAAGTTGGTTTCAGATTGGAAATGTCAGCAGGTATTTCCTTTCAGCAACCTCACAAAAACTCTTTGAAGAATTCTTAATTTCCCTTTGGGTTTAATAAAGTGGTTTTGAATTAGAATTTAATTTGAAAAACATTTCAAACCAGCCCAGGTGTTGCATGGAATGAGTGTGAATACGAATCTAAACTTTAGTTTCACAGATGAGATTTTAATCCACAAACTGGGATTAAAATATTCTGCTATGCAGGTTTGATTCTTACAGTTTTGGACCTGGAGCGATTCTAGTGTGATCCAGAGGCAAAACAAAAGTGGTGAAATCAACCTTTTTTGAAGTTTCACAAATCAGAAAAGAACTTCACAAATCCCAAACATGTTTTTAAATATCCTACTATGAGAGCAGAATAATCCAGCCCAGGTTTGAGGAGGCTGCTGTTGTAGTTTTGCAGCTACAGCGGATTAAAGGTGAGCTGTGACGGAATCGCCCTTTAGACATTTCCGGGTCGGAAGTTGCAGTCGGACATCAACTTCAGCCCTGTGAGCGAGAGGCGGATGGGAGGGGAGGACTGTTCCCTTAAGACAGTTTTTAACCAAAACAAGTTCCCAAATTCAGAGCCTCTTAACGAAGCTCACCAGTTATAGCCGGGCATGTCCAGCCGGAGTCAAGACGTTTAACGTCCGGAGCTTAATTTAGACAACGCACCAAACTGACATTAAAACTCGTTATTTGTTTTTAAGCGAGAATAAAGTTACATCAACTCGTCACAACTTTGGCCGTGTGGGACTGTTAGGATCGAGAATGTTGTAATATAGCTGTACGTCTGTTATTCACGAAGAAGGAGGAAAATCTTCAGCATCTTACCTTCAGCTGTAACTGAAGTTCTGATTCGTCTCCTGTCTCTTTCGCCTTCTTCTTCTTGAGTTTTATTGACGGTTGGCCCAAAACGTTCGCTACGCATTACCGCCACCAACCGGTAAGTAGTGTGAAACAAATGGCAAAAAACCAAGTACATAAAAAAATAGATCCTATTATACAACTTAAAAAAATAAATAAATAGCCCGATATTCCATATTTCCTTAATGTTTTTGAAATAACTACGTTTTTGACTAACTGTTCCTCTCAATCTGGTAATTTCTGCAATGCAAAATGACATGTTCTTATTGTCTCATCTTCTTGGTGTTTTCCTTGTGCTGGAACCCAAGTAAAATTTACTGTAAGCCCCATCATGTTTCTCTAAACTGTTTTTCTACTTTTGCTGGAACTTACTCACTTCTCTCAAGCTTGGGGACCAACTAAACACTGCCACCTACTGGCTGGTGATGTGAACTGATTTTTTTTAGGGTTTTAAAAACTTGCAAGTTTAATACTAGCCTGTAATTGGTGACAATATCTTTGTGGCAAAACTTTTGGCACACCTGTCAGCTGTTGTTTAGCTAGGTGTATTAGCATTGTGCTAAAAGAAAAATGGACCACATTTTCAACTGACAGTTGTAACTGTAACAAAATATCAGGTTATCCTGACTGTTATCTGGCTGACAGTATAAACCAGAGAGCTGCAGTCCTTGTGGGGGAAAAATGTACTGCAACTGTAAAAACAGGCAGGATAAGACGCCTGACAGTGGGTGTAGTTTTACAGTAGATTTGTAGAAATATGTCTTTTCCTTTGCTTCTCTTGGTTTTATCATAAAGGTAAACTAAACTGAAGTCTGGCACCGTGGTTTAATTATTATTTCTATTTTTACATATTTAGTATCACAAGGGATGTTTCCCAGTCCTGTGGCAGCAATCTTCCATTTTATGCATTTTCATCCATTTTTTTTTCAAACAAAAGTTATGCAACATCAAATGTTTTTTTCTATCACATCTTTTAATTATAAAAAAAAAACAGGGAAAAGACATTTGACATGAGTAAAAATCCCACATATGCTAAAGATTTAGCACACTAGAGCATCCTGATAAAAAAAAGTTCACCCCGAGTAACCATGTATTCATACATCCTTGATTAAAAATATGATTAAAATATATAACTTTTACTTTCCAAAAGGTAAGACTAACTCTGTGAATATAGATAACATTGATCCATCTGCAACAAGGTGCTGATCTTAAAAAAATGTAAATACAAAAGTTGATTTTTTTTTAAATTGTGCAACACTTAAAAAACAGCATCCAGTGTAAAAGATTTTCAAAAAGCATAAACTGTATCTGCTGCCCTAGTTATCCCATAAAACTCAGAACAGATTAAAATTCTCCAAAAAAGGTCGTCGGTCAGGAAAAAAAGGCTGTTCAGCGCTTTGTGTGAGTGTCTGAAGCGCTTCTGAAAAGGAGGAGAGAAAAAGAAACAAAATAAATGAGCAGTCATGAGATTAACCGTTTAACCTCAAGAGCAGAAAATCAACAGACTCCTCAATGCTAGATTTCACAAAATTTTTTCAGATGTACCGATCTGGAAAAATGAGCCGTTTATCAAAGACCAATTTTAATTAGAGACGCTGTTTGCCAATATTACACACGTTTCCATGTCCTTTCTGTGACAGAACGACCACACAGCTGACACTGCTGATGCAAAATTAATTTTTTGCACATTTTTATACTTCCTTCCTTTTCAGTTTCTACTGCTTCTGAAAACAGCCCAAGCGCTTAAAAAACAAAATGTTTTTAATGTATTTTGTGTCTGGAAAATGAGCCATTTAAAAAACCTCCAGATTGTTGAGTCACACTCTACCGTTCACTTATAACAAGATATTTTTCCTATGTTGTAAGTCAAATAATCTGCCAATTTTTATTAATACTAAAACAAGGGTACTCATCTTGCTGAAAAGTTACTTGAAGTTAGTTTATTTGCACTGAAAACTAGACCAAAAATACTTGGTAATATTTTGAGTTTTTGCAGTGTACATGAGAGTAAACTCAATTAACTTCCTGTGTGGTTTAGTCACTTGAGGTTAAAATATTACAGATATCTGAAACGTATTGAAGAATGAACTTAATGAAGCACAATTACAGTAGATGGATGATCTTGTCTTGTGTTTTATCACTGCAGAAGTCAATAAGGAGGGCGTCTGACACCGGCAGCAACCGGAGCAAACTGAGAGCAGCATCTCTTTGGCTCTGGTCCAGAAAGATCCATCTTTCGTTTATGTTGTACTAGAAAAAACGGAAGTAAAACAGAAATAAAGAAAATACAACAGGAATGGTGGCAATTTAATCTGAACTTCCATACAAACATATAAATATTCTCCAAATAAAGGTTTTTGAGACTTTTTGAGATGAAAAGTTGTCTGAAGAATAGAGGATTCACAGTGGGGAACATTATTGGCAATTCTAAGAGTTAATTTGGCCAACGTTGCTATTTACCAACAACATTAGGTTTCAACTGGAAAATTTAGCTTAAAGGTGATCTATTATGCTTCCTTAGAAGTTAGGTTTGGTTTATAGATATGTTCATTAAATATTTTGCACAAAATCATTTTCAGATAAGGTTTCAGTCTGCTCAGTTTTTGCTTATTTGGGTTGTTTTAGGCCATCTCATCACTTTAAATCCAAATGAAAATGGAACAAATGTACAATTATACAACTGTACATCTTTGAAAAGCAGAATTGGAGCCTCCTGCACAACCAACAAGAAAGCAGCAAGTGGTTTCTGGGTGGTAAGTCAACAACAAAACACTTGTCTTTTCCAGCAGCCATTATACAGTTTTTGAACCAGCTCATTTTCCAGACACCAAAAAACATCAGTTGTTTATTTGTATTAGCTTGTACTAATTAATGTACAGAAATGTGGAAAATATATATTTTGCAGAAAAGGTCTCCTTTTAGATGTTAGTTGGTCCTATTTTATCAACTGTTTTTACAAATTACAGACTGAAAATACTCTGTACAATAATTTCAAACTTCAACACAGTCAGCGGCTCAAGGAAACAATCGTTTCTCAACAACCAACAGTCTCGATCCTCCATACAGAAAAATAAGAAAATAAATGAAACATTTTTCACGTCGTCTTGTTTGTGTGAAGAGTTTTGGAGAGAAACGTCACCACTTACATCTTTCCAGAGTCTGTCCATCAGGATTTAACTTCAGCTCGTGGTTGGTGTCCTCACTGCAGCAGAAGATAATAAGTTGACCTGGTTTCATCATGGTTTTAGTGATTCCATCAGATGGAGCCCGGTTTACTCACCTAGAAACTTTCTTCTTGGGCCGACCTCTTCTTCTGGGTGTTGCAGCTTTTTTTTCTCCTCTTGAGTCTCTCTGGAGTTGCAAAATCAACGGGATGTTTTTAGTTTTCTCTTTGTTTTGTTGCTGAGGATCTCTGGCAGGAGTTTTTCTCCCTGGTTGGAGTTCTATCTTTTTTCTTCCAACCAAAGAGTTGGACGGTTAGTTTCCTGCTGTAGCTGCTTTATTTTCATTTGTTTTGTCTTGATTGGCTTGTCTGGCAGTTTGTCTGAAAGATCTTCTTAGACCAGATTTATGTTGAACAGAATCATTATAAACCATTTCCTCTGTCTCCATTTCTGCACTGATGTCTTTTGATTGTGTCTCAATTTGCTCCTGTGAACTCTCCTGCTTTTGTGATGAATTTACTCCATCCTCAGATTTAGATGCTTTAGTTCTCTGGCTTGACTTTACTGCCAAACCTTCGTCTTTGACCAAAGGTTTTTCTTCTTGAGCAGAAACTCCGAGGCCATCCTTTCTAATCTCTTCAGCATAATCATCTCTCCCTGATTGACTGATGGTTCTTATAACAATGGCCGATTTGTCTTGATTTGTTTCATCTTGATTGGCTCTTCTGTCGGTTTTATTAACAAATGTATGTGTGTGAGATTCATCAGGAACAGAGTCCTTACAATCCGTCTTCTCTCCAGTTTCTGAACTGCTTTCCTTTATTTTTGGCTCATACTTTTCATCTGAACTTTCCTGTTTTATCGGTAAAGTATATCCCTCTTCACCACTAGAAGTTTTCATCGTCTGGTCCAATATTACTTTTGAGTCCTCATCTTTTCTCAGAGGTTTTTCCTCTTCAATTGCAACCAAAAGCTCTTTGGTGGCAATATGTTTTGAATCAAGAGGGTTATTTTTCTGCTCCACATGATTCCTCTTATTATTGTCAATTTTCTTCAGTTTTTCTTCGCTTTCTGTTCCGTCTTTGAGTGTTTCAGCTTTAAAACAGTCTTGGTTCAAATTTGATGTTTCCACTCTAGGATCTAACTGACTTTTTGCAGTGCAACTCTCTGCTGACACCTTGTGGTTAGCCTTTGCTACTGCAGCAGAAGTAAGTACAGCTCCATGTTTCTCCGACTGAGGAGTTTCTGCAGACGTTGCAGGTGAACTGGAGCTTTGACTTGAGGATGCAGATGATGTTTGTGGTGCTCTGAGAGGAGCCTCTCTCTTGCTCTGCTGATCTTTCTCATTTATAGATTCTAAAGACTTAGAAGTCTGTGAGGAAGAGGAAGGAAAAATTTTACTGCCGCTTGCAGAAGAGTACTGATTACTTTGAGATTTCATATTCTCCGGTGCGTCTTTTTGTGTTTTTACTGACAGAGACGTGGCGCCAGACATCAAGCTACTTTTTGTGGATCCAGTTGATGAGTCTTTATTAGACTTTGGGATGTCTCCAGTTGCAGATGATGAATGCAACATTTTCATTTCTTTGGTGGTTGGGTTGCAAGAAGAGGGACTTTTAAAGCTGCTGCCGCTTCCACTGGAAATCTAGAGGAAAATATATGAAAGATTAATAACTTTTCCTAACAGACGCTCTGTAATTTTGCTAGTTTATGTTTGATTGGACATTTATTAAGAGTAAATGAAATAAGTGTTGGGCTTTGTTGTTGTTTCAGTCAACCTGAAGGAATCTTGTTCCTTTATGAGATGTGATCAGACTTATGTCTGTCAGAGGACTGCATGTTGCAGATCTCTTGTCCATCGTCTTAAATGGTGTGGCGTTAGGTTTGACACTCATGGTGCCGAGTTCAAGGTTCACTGCAATTTTTTCACAGTCCTTCAGTCGCTCTTTTCGGCTCAACAAACTGTAATAAAAGCAGACAAATGTTAGGGAAAAGAGATCTTAAAGATGATCAATCATGCTTCCTGAAACAGGTTAGGATATCCCTTTATTTATGACATTTTTTTGCACAAAATAATTCATAGTTATTGAGATTTCAGTCAGTTTAGTTCTGCACATTTTGAGCCATTTTAGGGCGTCTTGTAACTTTAAATCCAAATAAGCTGCTATTGGTCACTTCACCCAGCTCAAGATTTGCATTCTCACTCTCTGAACGGCTGCAAACAGATGCACAATTATACAAATGTACATCTTTGAAAAGCAGAAGTGGAGCCTCCTACACAACCATCAAGAATGGTAGGTCAACAACAAAACACTTGTCTTTTCCAGAAAGAAAATTTGTACAGCACATTCAGTTGGGGAAAAAAAAAGCTGACCAAATCTGCTAGTGCTCCACTTTGGTTGCTTGACAATAAAGTTGAATTCTATTCTATTCTATTCTATTCTATTCTATTCTAGGTGACGGGCTGAGCTTGGCTGGGGTTGCTAGGTAATGGTGCAGTCAGATGTTTGAAACGGCTCATTTTCTAAACACCAAAAAACATCAAATCCCCAAATAACGGCTGGGTGATTTTTTTTCCTAAGCTGTTAGTAAGCTCTTAGCAACAGTGGAGACAAAATGGAGGTACAAAATATAAAAAATGTGGATTTTAAACAGTAGGTCCCATTTCACTCATTGAACTCACTGAAAATAAAATCATACAGGCACTGTGTTATGCTTGAAGTCAGAAGAAATTCTCACCTTTCAACACGTCCAACCAGATTCCTAAAAAATGCAGAAAAAAAAGAAAAAACACATTTAAGCTTCAGATACACAATCTAAAAAAAATAATAAAAATCATCCGTTCATTTATTTTTATTAAACTTATAAAGTTTACACATTTACCAAGCTTCATGCTGTTGAGCTAATTTGCGAACTGACAACTTTTCCACCACTTTTCTGACTCCGCTGGACTCGGCCATCTCCACGTAAATCTGTGGTGAATCAACAGGATGCAGCAAACAGCAGCAAGGGAGAAAATTTATTGAGTCTACGAACAAAAAAATGTAACTTTACTGACACTTTGGCATGGCCTTTACAATTTTGTTACAAATAAATGTTTAATATCTGTTGTAAAAAAATGTAAATACTGATATTTAAATTTTACTCAACCTTTTTTTTTAAAAAAAACAACTGCATGAAAATTTAATTCCACTAAAAAAAGAAAATGCATAAAACACAGAATACAGTATTTTTTTTTTTTTTGTCGTACCCTGTTGGCAAGCGGCAGGAAGCTGGCGAAAGTAGCGATGCTCGCCACTTCTTCCATAACCATCATCGTAATATGCTCGTTTGTCCCTGAAGCCTCCACAACGAGCAGCCGCTCCCCCAAAGACGTCAGGTCTGGAACATGCTGGGGAAGAAATATTTTTCGGTTTTAGTTTAAAGTCGTAGCAGATTTTACACGTTAAAGTATTTGAAAAAGTGAAAATTCACTCACAATGTTGCTCCATTTCATCAGAGATCTGAACATGGATTCCTGAAACAACATTAATATCAAGTGGATTATATTTACTTATGGACCAGTGGCCGTGTGGCGTCACGCAGCCATTTTCTGCTGGAGGCCAAACTATGACTAGCATTGGTTTTAGCCGTTAAGTTGTCAAAATAACACACCAAATCTTAAATGTACTCCTGATACATAGAAGAGAAACGAACGCAGTGATTTGCAATTGTAAACAATACGGCAACTGGATAGGGTTAAGAAAAAGTTTTAAGTTAAAAAATTAGGGAGGGAGAGAGAAACTGTTCTACTGTGACAGTAAGATGCAATAAGTTAGTTTCATGATGTCCTGGACATACGTCAGAGCTTTACACAAAGCGTAACATAAGTTAATCAAAGTCAAATATCAATAAGCGAAAATAAACGAAAGTTACAGATGGAAAAGAGCCAGTTGTGTCTCATACCTCACTGGACCCAAGGCCGAGATCCTCCAACAGCAAATGGATGTTTGGAATGAAGCCTTTGAAGTAAACTCGTTTCCTGTTTCGATCTCTAAGAAATCTTATGCAAGCAAAACTGCTGCTGAAAATCACAAAAGCCTGCAAATGAAGAGGTATGAAGGGTCATGACACCCTGTACACTAAAAACATTTATGAATCAAGGAAAAAGTGATGAAACTCTGCTGAACTTGGCCTTTACCCTCCTCTGCAGTGGTAAAACCACAACATTGTTGTACAGCGTGTGAAGGTTCTGTTCGGGAAAATGCCTCCACACCAGCATAGCCACTTCCTCGTGTGTGTAGCTTCTGTTTGGTAAACCAGTCAACATGACGGCTGCAAACTTCAAATCGCGCTCAGAAATCTACACAAAAAGAGTTAAAATAAACTTTATTAAAATTTGGAACAGGCTTGAAAATTCAGACATCTTAATTAGAAAACTTTTTAGGAAATTGGTGTTTATGTTGAATCCTAATTAATAGTATTTAAAAAGTTGAAAATACAAGTACAGGAATAAAAACGTACCCTGGCACAGGTATTCCTGTCGACTGTCTGAAAAGCTGGGACAAAAAGGCAGATTACATCAAATATCCATGCATAAAATAATCAAACATCGTCATTGGTTAGTGTGAATGTTGCAAGTATAGAAAAATCAGACATGGAGACGTTCTCAAATCCGTCTGGGAGATAATTCTTGGTGGTTTTTTGAAGTTCTGTAACTAGATGGCATTAATTCAGCTTAATTTTTTGATAAGTAGTGGTCAACACCGATCAGATCAATAAACTGATTGGTGGTTGAAACACCTCAAGAGTCACTTCCAGTCACAATGTTCAGTGTTTCAGTTACATTAGCTTCTCTGTACTTGTCTCACCTGGAACCTTGAAGAAAGGAGATGCAGTGTGAACAACATAAGGACTTTTCGTCACGGTCATCCATAATGGCGGCTTGGTTCCCTCTGGAATGGCGCCTGCTGTTTGTGGGACGCTGGTCTCAACCGAGATATTATCCCAGATTTGCAAAGCATGTTCTGATATGCTTAGCGCTGCACAAACAAAATATGGTTGGTTTGAATTTATCTCAACTATCCTGAAGGTAAAACTACTGCTGCAGGAAAGAGCTGCTGCTGCTGCTGTTTTGTTAGCATCGAGTGCCGCGGCGGGCACAACTCAAGTATGAACGGAGGAAGAAAGGAAAGAAAAAAATAGAAAAACAAAAATGAAGAAACAAAAACAAAACACTCAAAGAATAAAAAAACAGAAAAGGAAAGATTTAAAAGAAAAAAAAAACATGATGGATACAAAAACCAAAACAAAAGAAAACTGGGGGAAAAAGAAAGAAAAATAGAAACAAAAACAGAAGAAAGAAAAAAAGACTAAAAAAAGAGAAACAGAAAAAGCAAAGAAAGCAGAAGAAGAAATAAAAGACAAAAAGAAAACAAAAAAATAAACCTGGACTAAGAAGGGAAATCTATTCTCAGCTCCACCAAAACATTTTTCCAAAGTCTGCTAATACTAAAGTCTTTTCATCTGCTAATTAAATATCGATGAGCTACGTTTGTTTTTACAGTATTTTATTAGGTTGTTTCTGAGTGACTGCCGATGCATCAGCAGAAACCTTCAGTATTTCTGTCCCACCTGTCTGCTGACCGTCGTGGGATCGGCTCCATCTCCAGTAGCTGTACCAAGCTTCCAGTCGATCAGCATCCTCCGGAGTTTCACAATGAACAAAAACCTGGAACATGGCAACAAATCAACACAGAGAAGCTCCACCTCCCTGTGTTTCAGTCTGTGAGTTTTTACCCTGTTGAGCAGAGGCAGGTAGTTTATAAAGCTGCTGATTTTCCTCAGCGCTTCCCTCAGGTCTCTGGCTTCACTTGCTGAAATGTTGGGGAAGTAAAGCACGTTTTTTGTGCCCAATTTCATCTGAAATGTCGGCTGGAAAGAGGGCAAACAAATCCATATATTTCTCTGCAATGCATCTGTGCATTTAAAAAGTTTTACTTTGATTCTTTGTTTAAAATATGTGTAAAATTGAACATGATGAGCGTAGATATTAAGGAGAAATGGTCAGAGCAATACTTACAAAATTGGTAAAAGACATCAAATATCTATAAAACCGAAACTGAAAAAAAAAAAACAAAACACACTTGAATCTAAATATTTCTGTTCGCAAACACATTAAAGATCATTTTTGTGCCTGACAGTCTTTCTAAACAAATGTGAATAAGAAAAACGTACCAAAGTCATTGGTGCAGAACTGGTGACAACATGAAATCCAAGTTTCCGTCCTTTGAAGAAAAGCTCCCTCCACGGTGTCACTCTGAACAGATGCTGCACCTCCGCCGCTCTCGGCATGATGAGAAAAGCCTGAAAGCAGAACAGGAAATTAAAAAATCCCTACAAATAACAGCAAGCAGAGCCTCAGCGCAGTCCGCTACCGACCATCTGCGACTGGGGAACGACGAAGATTTCATTTTCGTCACACTGAACTCGACACTTCTGAAGAATGTTGATGATTTCGGTTTCTGTGTAGGAGCCGTCGAACCATCCAGGCAGGTTGGAGACAACCAAGGTGATGTTGAGAGAGAAAATCTGCAGAACAGATGAATTATTAAAGTTCAGAACAAAACTTGTTACCGAAAGGTTGGTGTTTAACAATACGACCAAAGACTAAATATAAATATATAATATAAAAGTTCCTTTTTGCAAATTAAGCATCAAAATTGTGAAAACAAACATGACATTTAAAATCCAAATCCGATTTTCAAAATTAGAAGCTAAAATGGAGTTTCAGGGTTTTTATCTTCAGCCGTTATATCAAGGTGACTTTTCAAACTTTTCCTCCCTTTGAGAATGAGAACAAAAAAAAATCACTATTTACTATTATACAATCTCATTTATCACTGCTAATATCTTATTGTATTTTATCTTATGCAGCAGAGAAAAAATAAATTAAAATATGACCAAATGTTATGTTTTGAAATGTCTCTATACACTTAAAGGTCAGGGAAAATAAAAAAAAAAAAAATTCTGAAAAAATTTTCTGCTGCATTTTCTGAAATTTAGTAAATAGAAATAATTCTGGTAATTGTTACAAAACTAAAACAAGAGAAGTTTGATCTGATTTAACTTCAGACCACAAGAAATAAATGTATATCTTATTATCCTTAAATGTCTAATTTCAACTGTAAATAAGTTTTCAATCAAATGTTAGATTGAATTTCATTTCAAAACTGCACAGTTTGAATGTCAAGCACTTTATACAGAAATCAACTGTATTGAAATTTAAACATTTCTGATGCACAGAGTCAGATTTCAGAGGAGATTTTATAACTTCAGCTGGAGAAAGAAAAACTTACCCTTGGTGACAAGATGGTGTTTATGTCCAGCTGACCTGAGAAGGAGAAACAGAGACCAGTAAATGAATGGAAACCAGAACCTAACAAGGATCTTTTCGGTCTTTAAATCCCGTTTGTGTCTCACGGAGTTTAAATGGTGTCAGGAAATGGTGCAGCTTCTCTCCGGGGGTCAAAGGAAAAGCTTCGGTTGCTGCAAGCGGCTCCAACTTTGTCGAGGATTTTGTGTTTGGGACAATTTCAGCTGAGGCTTTAGATGCAGGATTCTTCACAGCAGCTACAATTAAAACAGACGTTCAGGAAACGATTAGGAGAATTTCGCTCGAAGGCTTAAATCACATCATGAAACAGAAAAGCATTTAATCACAGGGCAGGACAATAAATCAATAATCCACAACAATTCAACAAATTCACTGAAAGGCAGGAGAAAAAACTGAGGATAGAACAGGAACACCGCCACTCATGTTTCAAGACAAACAAAAAATAATCAATATCGACTGATATGAAACAATTACATCATCCAGCCCGAGGTGATGTCAAACAGTTTATTTAAGCAAACGAACACCAACCAGATCTACCTGAGTTTCCTGAAATGTTTGTTTTGGTCTTGGGGTTTTCAGCAGCAGGCGCTGGTTTTGGGTCCATGCGGTTCTGGAGCGGTGATGGCGCCTTCACCGAGGTTTGCAAGCTGGTTTTTGGGCTCTTATGGGGATTAGCTAAAGGTGAGGATGGCTGAGGCTTAACCATGCGTGATGATGTCAGAGTCTTTGTTGGTTTAGCAGGTGAAGGTTTTTCATCCTCAGTCTTAGCAACAGTTGTTGCTTGTTGCTTCCTCTTGTCGCTCTCGGTTTTGTCTCTAGCTACAGATTCTGCAGATTCTTGAACTTTTCCACAAACGTCAGACTGTTTTTCTGAAACTTTGGACTCCACATTTTCATTTTCTGTCGCACCAATTTCTATCTTTGTCCCAGATCCTTTGGCAGGCAATTTCTCTGCAGACGGAAGATTAGTGACTTCTTGGACGGGAGGTTTTGTTTCAACGGGAGAATCATATGACGGGGGCTGTGGCTCGTTTTTTGTTGCTGGAGTCTCGTCTTTGATGTCTTCAGTGTTGCATTCAAGATCTATTTTTGTTTTGCCTGAGTCTTTGAGACGCAGTTTTAGGCTCTTCACACTAAAATTAAAAGAGGAAATAGGATTATATATTTTTAAAAACTTAGAAAAAATCCTTTACTGATAAAGTAAATAACATGTTGAATGTAGAAAGAAGATTTTATACTTTGTTAAATAGGTCAGGATGGATCTATGGCCTATACAAAACATGTTCGGGACATTTGTGAAACAAAATCATTCTTAGATAATGAGATTTCATTCTGATCATTTCTGCCTGAGCTTTTTTAGAGTTTTACACTTGTACGTGAAAAAGGCTGCACACAGATTATATAACCGGGCATCTTTGAAAAGCAGAAGTGGAGCCTCCTGCACAACCAGCAAGAACGCAGCAAGTGGTCTTTGGATTGTAAGTCAGCAACAAAAACACTTGACTTTTCCAGCAGCCATTGTACAGTGCATACAGTGGTAAAACAAGCTGAACAATGTGGAAGAGTTCTACTTTGGAAGCTAGGTAAGCAGCTCATATTCCAGACACCAAAAGACACCATATTATTGCCAAAAACAGCAGGGTGATTACATTTTCTTTTCTGTTAAAGCACCTAGAATGTTTTCAGAAGAAGAAGAAATTCAAATGGAAGTACAAAAAAACGCGCAAAATGTTAAATTTGCATAAAAGCCCTGCGTTAAATTGGCTGGGAGGAAGAAACAGTATTAAAACAGAAAGACTTCAAATTCTGTGTAGCTTTGTTAATGTAAGACATGACTGTGAAGCTTCAGATTTAGCATTTTGAAAGCTAAAACCTTTTACGGAGTCCCACCAGTCTTAATTTTTTATGCTTTCTTGGATAAAATACTCACGATTCAACACTTTGAACTTGACTATTCCTGCAGTGAGAGAAAACAGATGACATTAGTAAGCTGATGAATGTTGCAAACTAATTTCCGTCAGGAATCCAACATTGTTTTTGTATAAAATGGAAGGTCGTACCAGTCTTCTGGTGTCCGTGAAAACCTGTCGACCACGTGATCTACTCCTGTGGATTCAGCCAACTCGATGCACAACTACATAAATTAAGAAAATAACAGATGAAG